GTGGTGATATTATGGAAATTGCTGGTATATGCAGGCGTCCAGGTGGAATGGTTCTTTACAGGAGCGCCATGTAACAGTGGCCTATCTGGCTACTGTTCTAGTGGGGTGGCGATCAGCCTTTACCACGATTAAACGGCTGTTGGTGTGAAAGGTGGCACGGCCGGCAACGATGCTGGCCGAGGACGCTCTTACTGATGTACACAATTACACAGGTGGCTCCGATTGGGATGACGCTAGTTCATCCCAAGCGGTCAAACGCAACAACGTAACTCAAGGCATGTTTAATGACAAGGGAATCAAGAACACAGCAAGGTTGTAAGCAAGGGTTTCAGCAAGAGGAACGATCAAGTAGATGCAAGCTGTAGCAAGCTGAGCACAAGACTGAATTCTAGAAGTTCATGAGAAAGGAAACTAGCCGGTAAAGTGGACAAATTCATAACGCGATGGAATGATTCATCATAACTGGGCGGTCTTATCGTTCGTACAAATACTATCGCTACAATACTATATACTGGGAAAAGGCATGTATATATATATATAGATATAATACTTGTAGTTGTATCATGTATGTATATATTTAATGTGTATACAGTATACAGTGAAACCTCTCCTAAAATACACTTCTTTATAAAATACCCTTCTCTATAACATTCAGACCGTAAGGAACCGGATCGGCTCGTAGACTATAACATAGGGGGATTCTCTTTATAGCATTCACCTCTTTATAAGCCTTACATACACTATTCGCGGAACCGAATGCATATTTATCGGTGTAGAGAGCCTCTACATAACATTCAGCACCGGTTGCATACAGTTGCATACAGCTAACCGGATGCAGATTGATGCAGTCAGCTCACACCAATCAATCGAATACTTAATAATAATCAACTCCAAATTGTTTGTGTAAATACTAATTAGTTTTACAAAGTGCATCGCAGCAGAACATTGTTATTTCATCAGTCATACAGTCACTTACACCACAAAAAGATGAACTCTAAGCGGAAACGTGAAAGTTTTTCTGTTGGTAAACTTCAGAATATCTAGGTTGAATTGTGTTTCTTGTGTATGTGTATGTGCTTGCTGCTGTCTTGTTAATTGTTAAAGTAATAAAACCTTGCTCTGCCCTCGCCCCCCACGCCCCCAATATATACCACTGCCCCTGGGGGCAGTGTCCCTGCATAAAATACACCCCGATATAAAATACAAAATGGATGGAACCGTGCCTGTATTTTATAGAGAGGTTTCACTGTACGTGTATTGTTATATGACGTGCAGTCACGTATATACACAGCTGCGCTTACCGATAAACATGTGTTTACGCAATTGTTGTGAAGTGGGAACTATCTTTACGTAGTGTGTGTCTAACGACGTCTGTGCATGCTTACTTCTCAGCATTCTGCTGAAGTTTTTGATTTGAGCGATTCGGTACGAGTACTTACAAAATCTATCGTGAGCGGCAACAGTAAGAATCTGTAATGGGATTCGGCAGTATTCTCCGTTGCGTAAATTGTACGAGAATCGTTCATTTGTCAGTATTTTCAAGTAGGTATTTGTTTTATGTATCGTCTTTTGCTAAGATTAATACATTGTACGTGATTGGCTAAAACTGTTTTGAGCGCCTCAATAATTATGCGACTCCTTATTTTTTAGACAAGCATGCCTCAAACCCTCCGAGAGTATCTTTATTTTGTTGGAGCACCTGGTCTTGTTTGCTCTGTTGCCGATCTAAGCAATGCCTTGATGCTGTGGCACCGTGTGCGAAGGATGCATGGATATTGGTTCCTGTTGGCAGTGAATGCGCGGGAAGGCACGTGGATGTCTATAGCCTGCTATGAAAGTCAGCTCCTGCAAGTATTCACGGACGGGCAACTGATGATTGCCATTGTTGCCCCTGTCAGCATGTTAATGGGAGTGGGGCTTATTGAGTCACATTTTCCGGGACTATCCTGGGCTCTCTGCTGGCATGGTGTCGATACATTGTGGCATCGGTTGACCGTGGACGCGGCGCTGTGCGAAGTATTGTTGGTCACTCTCTTGTGCGTCGATTTAGGCTCCTCCAGCTGGATGATCACTCTCCAGTGTCGCCGGACGATTCAGCGGTTTCGAAAAATTTGTTGGGAGGAGGTTGGTATCAACCCGGATCTATTCGTGGGCGCGTTAGAGCGCTTGTATTACATTGTACTGGATCTTGTCAACTGGACTGCTATTTTGGTGGCATACGTTGTCTTTGACCTTCTGCGCCGCAAAGTAGTGTTCTGTGTTAATGATTAAAGACTATGTAATCGACTCGAACGTCTTGATGTGCAACATTACTGTCACCGACCTGACCGTCCTCGCCGTTACAGTTTTGCAAGCTGCTTTTCTGTCTTTATCGTTTGTTGGTGTTCTGTTTCGTAATCACCCCTTAATCGTTTATAATCTCATTCGGATACGGGATAAGGTCAAGCGGTATGTTAAAGGTTTTCGTCAGTTTTGGATCAATAAAGATCCCTTTAGAAATGCGCTTTTAAGCCCACCTGTGAACGAGTTCGGAACACCGATTTTATACAAAATTTTTATGCTATAAATATGTAATTTTCTTTTTATGATTCTGTTAAACAGCTGAAAAATTGCGGTTGCTAACTCGGAAAGCTGCCTTGGATGGCAATCATGGCATCGACGAATTTTTTACCTGCAAAAATTTGGTATAGTAATTTCTACTATTTCGTATATTTCCACTATTTTGTAAACTTACGCTTTTGTAGAATGCATGTGTTAAGTTTTTTCCGCTTTTTATCCCATTTCCGGGAGATACATCCTCAGTTACTCTGGTACATTTCTGGCAGACTGACCGGCAATACTGCGACGGCACGCGCTACTTCGCCCGCATGTTTATTGATTCTGTCAAAACTCAGCGCCAACAATAATGCCGTTTATATCAAACAAATAATCCAGCCAAACTGCCTGGTGCTAACTTTAACATCCATCGTACAGTTATTATTAATAAAAAAATGTGCAAAATCCAAATTTTCTGAGCTTCCGGATTGCTTTAACCGCTCTTCGATAGCGTTGACCAGTCCGTTTTATTTGACCTCCACCTGATGTTGTCACCTGCACGAGGTTGTACTAGACAAACGGTCAAGATAGCTGTCACAAAAAAACAGCCTTTACAACAATTCTTCGAGGCATCACAATCAAAAAAAAGTCTTATCTGTATGAAGGTCCATTCTTATACCGTTGGTGATGCTGTCGTCAATCGTTACCCCTTCGTGCAAAACGCAACCTGCTTATTATTCAGGTAAGAAACTGACCTCAGCGCGGGTAGCGACGTTCTTCAGTTTTTACTAGACCGCTCTTGCAGTTCCGATTTACCCAAAATGACCGACTAGGGTATCCAGTTCACCTCGCAGTGCTGCAGTTAGACGAGAAGTTTGGGATTCTGCTTGTAGAAATGCTCCGTCTGTCAGCAACAAACAAAATCAACGCTTCTGCTGCCAACGTTTTGTTTCCGATGGCAACTGCATTTTAACGCTACCCATACAAGCCGCAAGAAACAATGTACAGATACAAGCAATTGCTGTAACATAACGTAGAACAGTGGCTGTAACATAACGTGATTCCTTGGCTCTCGCCTCTCACTAAAGCTAGGGAAAAACGGAAACATTGCGCAATGCAGAAAATATTTAGGAAATTTAAAAGTATACGGAAAAGTTTTTTTTTGCAGTAGTGGGTAATATTGTCCTCACCAAACGAAGCAAACATCTGTAGCATTCATTTACTGTACGTGGCATTTCTGGTGGCACTGCGTTATTTAAACAGTTTATCAAGGATTAAAGATAAACCAGAAGGAAAAAACACCTTAATATTGCAGTGCACGAAAGATGCACGGGGAGTGATCTCTTTCGGCAGGAAATAGGATGCCAGGGAAGGCACATTGGTTTCTGTCAGTTGGTTTGAAAGCGACTGCCTGATACGGGCCACGGGACTGTATTTGACGTTCGTCATACTGGCCATGGACCGCATGATTTTGGTCCAAGGGATTGTCTAGTTGTATTCCACTGGATTGTGCATCTCTCCCTGGTGGCATGCTAGCTATGTATTCTGGCACTATAACACCGTGCACGTACCGCCCCCGGCTGGAATTGCTGTCGACTGTTCTTCCACGTGCCGGTTTTGGCATTCGAGGCGATCGGTTTGTTTACCGCCTGTCATTGTCGCCGAACATTTCTTCCCTTCGACAAAGTTTCCGGGCGGACGGGCACGACGATAATGTTCCTGACGGGATAGGGTTCTCTTTTTCATGGTTTCAGTCAGTTTAATAGTACTCGTCGGCGCATGAGTGTTGGCTGTTGCTGTTCAGAAAGCGCATGCGATAGTTTTATTTTTGTCCTTCTCCGTCGGCGAGAAGTCTTCTGTGTCCTGGGTCCATGAAGGGAATTAAGTCGCCTCAAGCTTTATGGGGTGGGATTTCCAGGCTTTTTGCCGAATCCGTTGGCGTTATCAGTTTTTATTTTCATTTGGTTTTTTATCCAAAATTTAGCGGGAAGGGCTTTACAGTTAATATATGTACGTAGATCTTCCGTTTCTAAAGAATATTTTCGTAGCAGACAGAAGTAAACAATGACAATATAAAATTTTACAACTGATGCCATCAGTGAGTTTGTCAGTGTGGTATCCAGAAAGGTCAGCCACGGTGCGCGCGCCTCTTTTTGATGACAACCGGCAAAGTGCCGGTCGGCGCATGTATGCTACAGAGGTACACCTAACCGTCTTCTGATCATAAAGAAGACTCTGAACTGCTCCCGACTGCAGTACTGCTACAACAAAACGTAGTGCGACAACCGGTTTTTGTCGCGTTTCTTTGATGCCGGTTTGGTAGTACGTAAAATGTATAGCAATAAACTTTTTGCCGTCTGCTTTAATCGTGTCATGCAGCAAGACTGCTTAAATAATGAAGTGGCTTCTCACAATCTTCGGTCAGCATAATATGTTGATAATGCGAGCTAATGCATCGTAAGCTCAGCGATTACCACGTAGAGCGCTATTCTGAGTATCTGTATTTTAGAAGGCATACCGTGTACTGCGTAGTTGTACCCTGCTCAGCCAGTGTTATTGATTGCTGTTAGCTTTTAGCAGTTTTCATATCATTTTTATTCCCTTGTTTTGGTTGTTAATTTGTTATAAAATTCTTTAAAAATCCAAGTAGTTCGTATCTGCCACGCCGGTAGTGATAGTGGCCAATGCCATGGACGACTCAGCGATCCAATACGTCCCGAATCCGCTGCATATGGTCCGCTCTCGCTCTTGTAGTGATTTTTTCGCGTTTGACTCTGCTTTCGATGATGTAATGAGAAAAGCTGTGGGGAAGAGCGCATATGTCAAGCGTTTCAAGCCCCTCATACGACGGTTGGCACTGCTATCTTTCGTCCGCATCCTGCTAATATGCACACCCTTTGGCGTCGAATTTATGCGAGCCGATTCTTTCTACAAGCGTGAAAACCAGGAACCTGTACACCAAGAGCAGGTAATCGTTCAACGGTTTAAAAGAATATTCTCTGAAGGACAATACAGAGCAATTGTGCAACTATTGAGAATTTTCTAACGTTGGACTTGTACGAGTACATTTGAATTAACTTTAGAAAACAATCTCAATTATATCAGTTGCAGTAACAGCCACTTTAGCATGCAGCTATACTTTACAGAATATACCGTAAAATCATGGTTTAAGGGTGTGCATTAGCTAAATTAGCAAGATGTACCACTAAGACCGTACCGACAACACACTAAAAAAGGGCGGCGCCGCAAATTATTAGACGCCCCGGGGCAATAATTTCGGGGGGGGGCTTTTATTATTTCGTGACTTACGAGAGGGGGCGTTTAAAACCGCACGGGGCGTTAATTTCGGGGGGGGCGTTAATATCGGATTTTACGGTATGCGTTGAGTCTGCAAACATATAAATTCATATAATGATAGGACTAAAAAAAACAAGTTTGTGGTTGTATTCATTTTCGAGTGAGACTGGTTGTAATATGTAACGTAACGCAGTCTAATCAAATTTGTATGTCTATAAGGTATGGCGCGTGATTCTTAAATACAATCTTTTAGCGAAAATTATGTTTCTAAAAAGAAAAACATCTAAGTACAAAATTAAAGAATTTGGTAATGACTTATGCTTACGTTTTCAGTTTTACTTAGTTGCAACTGTGCTGATTCTACTGTATAATTGTGCCGCTGCACGGTTTTTTAGTCAAACCAGACGCCATTCCTCCTGGAGCATCTTCCTATCGCTGTGGTCGGGTGTGTTGCCTTCTCTCTTGCCGATTTCGGCAGTGCTGTCTTCCTGTGGTATAGTGCGCGAAAGATGCGTGGTCAGTGGTTCCTGTCGGCAGCGAATATGGGCGACGGCCTGTCGGTTACGGTCGGTTGGTTCGAAAGCGACGACTTAATATTGACCCTGGGACTGTATTTGACGTCCGCCATTCTGGCCACCGTTAGCATAATGATCTCGGTGGGAATTATCGAGCTGTATTCTCCTGGATTGTTCATATCTCTCTGGTGGCATGTTGGCTATGCTCTCTGGAATTATAATACCGTGGACATACCGGACCGGGTCGAAGTGCTACTGGTTATTCTGCCCTGTGTCGGCTTAGCGGTGTTCGGCTTGATTACCGCTTGGCAGTGTCGCCGAACCATTCTGCAGTTTCGGGAAATTTGCTGGGCCGACGGCCACGACAATGATGATGCTGATCTATGGATTGTGATTGAACGAGTTTGCTACCGTTTACTGGATCTTGTCGACTGGCTGGTCATGATGGTGGGATATATCATCTTTGTCCTGCTGCGCCGGAAAGAAGTCTTCTGTGTTAATGACTAACCCACTTGATTAACCAACTCAATTAACGACCGCATCTTCTCCAATCTCATTCTCCGATCCGGCCTTCCGAGACATTACCTTATTACCACAATTCTTGCAAGCTAATGTTTAGGACAATGTCTGTCAATGTTTTTCTAGTTATTTGCTATGTACTTATTCGTCTGAAAATGGGCACCTCTGATATTCACGTCTCTTCCGGTATGTACAAAGTACAAACCCGGACGAAAAAACTGAGCATGTAAAGGTACCGATAAAGCGATTTTAGCGCTTAGAACCGCTTTTCGTTGCGCTTGGGCCTTGGCTGATGTCGGTTTGGTAGAATGGTCTGCAGGAGTTTATTGGGTTACACTGAAATGTGAAGTACAATTAAGCAATATTCGTCACTTACTCTAAGAGAGTCATGCAGGAACCCTGCAAAACAGATGAAATGGTTCATAATAGCCTTGAGTCAGCTCAATTTGGATTAACATGCGAGCTAATAATGCTCGTACATGATCCTGCTCAGCAGTTATTATTAAATGTCTTTGCTGAGCAGATGACGTACGAGCATCGTACAGCAGATGATGCACGAGCCGCAGATGACTGTACATCGGCTCAGGAAGTACAGCGCTATTCTGATGATGAGAATCCTCTAAGATAGATAGAGGAAGGAGTATGTGCTCGGCTCAGCCAGTGTTGTTGAGCTGATGTTAGCTGCTGCAGTAAACCGTGTTGCACATGCACGGTTTGTATGTCAATTTATTGATTTTTGGTTCGGTTACGGTTGTTATAAAATTTCTTCCAAATTGAAATCTGAATCCTTCTGAAGCCAAACCTGTAGCGATCATGGCCATGGATGACTCCGCCATCCGAAATGTGCAGAAGCCGCTGCACTTAAAGCGTTCTTGCTCGTATGGTGATTTTTCTACGTTTGATTCTGCGTTTGACGATGTGATGCGAAAAGCTGTGGAGAAGAGCTCGTATGCCAAGCCTTTCAAGCGCCTCGTACGACGGTTGGTACTCGTGTCTGTCGCCCGCGGCCTGCTAATATATGCAGCCCTTGCCGTCGAATATATACGATCCCAATCGGGTGATAAGCGTGAAAACCAGGAACGCGAACATCAAGAGCAGGTAATCTTTTAACGGTTTGAAATTGGGGGTATCCTCTGAAGGACTTTACAGTTTGATTCTGTGACCACCGGGAGTTCTCTAAAACTGAAGGGCTTGAACTGTATGAGGACATTAATTGATAAACTTTAAAGCATTAGTAATACTAATAGTTTTTCTTACCAAAAGTCCTTGGTACGTATATATTCCATATTAAAAAACGATTACAGTAATTATTTAGCTGCAGCAGCTGTATATATCAGCTGCAGCCTTCATAAACGACCGGATGTGGATGTACGTTAACGGAATACGATAAAGAACCCACTCGCGACAAACTTGTATGCCAATGTATGGCGCGAGTTTCTGAATATTATCATTTACCGAAAAGGTTTCTAAAAAGCCATTAGAGCAGAAGATTTGTAAATAAATGTTTGTGCGTACACCACTTAGCTAAATTTGTGCCGATCTGTTAGTTCTATCTGAACCTATATTTCTGTGGCTGCTTTCTAGTCAAGCCAACATTCATTCCTGCTGGGGTATCTCTCTACCGCTATAACCGGATTTACTTCCTTCGCCTGCGCCGGTTTTGGCAATACTTGCTTCCTCTGGTACTGTGTGCGCAAGATGCGCGGTCAGTGGTTCCTGTCGGCAGCAAAGACTGAGGACGGCATGTCAATGCCTGTCGGATGGGTCGAGAGCAATGGCATGCTATGGAACCTGAGCCTGAATTTGACGCTCGCCGTTCTGGCCACGGTCAGCATGGTGATAGTTGTGGGGATTGTCGAGTTACATTTGCCTGGATTCTTCATCTCGCTCTGGTGGCTTGTCGCCCATATTCTGTGGCACCACTACATCCTGTACGTACCGCACCGGTTCGAATTGCTGCTAGTTGTTCTCCCGTGTGGCGGTTTGGAGGTGATCGGGTTGATTACTGCGTGGCAGTGTCGGCGAGCGATTCTGCGGTTTCGAAAAATTTGCTCGGCCGACGGGCCTGACAATAACAGCGTTGATTGGTGGTCGATCATTGCGGAGCGAGTGTGCTACACTGTCCTGGAACTTGTCCATTGGTCGGTCATCTGGGTGGGACATGTCCTTGTTCTGTTGCGGTGGAAAGTATTCACGCATTCATTTATTCATTTAATCATGTGTTAGGAGCGGACAACCCGGTAAACAGGTCTTTAAGGCCTGGTCGGACTTATGTGTTAACGATAAAGAACAACCAGCTCGAGAACGCTACCTGGTGTGACGATGCCTCGTACCGACCCGACTTCCTACGTCTTCACACAATTCTACAAACTAATTTCTTAACTTTATCGTCTAAGGTTTCTCGGTTTAATGCATAATTGTACATTTTGCAGTCAGATTCTAAAAAAGTTTTATGCGCGATGGATGTTGTACAAGTCTTTCTCGAAAATGCATACGATATTTTAACGTACCGCAAGCGGTACAGTTATTGGACTCAATTAATCATTAAAAACTACTTACCGAACACTGGCGAACAGCACTCAGTGGGCACTGGCTTACCCTGGCTAGTTTGGGTTATCATATTGTTATTGGTTTGAGTGTTTGACTGCAGATAGCTAGCCATTTTCGAAAGACCTTACCTAACTTGAGCTGCCCGTTTGGCATGGATAAAGCTCTTTCGGGTGTTCGTCTCGAAAGTGAGATGACTCCATGATGCCCACCTAATCATATGCTTGTTGTTAAAAATGAGTTGTTAATTTTAATTTAGTCGGTCTTGTATTATTGTTCTATGGAAGTTTCTGAAAAGGTTTCTAAAAGCCATTAGAGCAGAAGATTTGTAAATAAATGTTTGTGCGTACACCACTTAGCTAAATTTGTGCCGGTCTGTTAGTTCTATCTGAACCTATATTTCTGTGGCTGCTTTCTAGTCAAGCCAACATTCATTCCTGCTGGGGTATCTCTTCACCGCTATAACCGATTTACTTCCTTCGCCTGCGCCGGTTTTGGCAATACTTGTTTTCTCTGGTACTGTGCGCAAGATGCGCGGTCAGTGGTTCCTGTCGGCAGCAAAGACTGAGGACGGCATGTCAATGCCTGTCGGATGGGTCGAGAGCAATGGCATGCTATGGAACCTGAGCCTGAATTTGACGCTCGCCGTTCTGGCCACGGTCAGCATGGTGATAGTTGTGGGGATTGTCGAGTTACATTTGCCTGGATTCTTCATCTCGCTCTGGTGGCTTGTCGCCCATATTCTGTGGCACCACTACATCCTGTACGTACCGCACCGGTTCGAATTGCTGCTAGTTGTTCTCCCGTGTGGCGGTTTGGAGGTGATCGGGTTGATTACTGCGTGGCAGTGTCGGCGAGCGATTCTGCGGTTTCGAAAATTTGCTCGGCCGACGGGCTGACAATAACAGCGTTGATTGGTGGTCGATCATTGCGGAGCGAGTGTGCTACACTGTCCTGAACTTGTCCATTGGTCGGTCATCTGGGTGGACATGTCCTTGTTCTGTTGCGGTGGAAAGTATTCACGCATTCATTTATTCATTTAATCATGTGTTAGGAGCGGACAACCCGGTAAACAGGTCTTTAAGGCCTGGTCGGACTTATGTGTTAACGATAAAGAACAACCAGCTCGAGAACGCTACCTTGTGTGACGATGCCTCGTACCGACCCGACTTCCTACGTCTTCACACAATTCTACAAACTAATTTCTTAACTTTATCGTCTAAGGTTTCTCGTTTAATGCATAATTGTTTTTGCAGTCAGATTCTAAAAAAGTTTTATGCGCGATGGATGTTGTACAAGTCTTTCTCGAAAATGCATACGATATTTTAACGTACCGCAAGCGGTACAGTTATTGGACTCAATCATCAAAAACTACTTACCGAACACTGGCGAACAGCACTCAGTGGGCTTAACACTGCTAGTTTGGGTTATCATATTGTTATTGGTTTGAGTGTTTGACTGCAGATAGCTAGCCATTTTCGAAAGACCTTACCTAACTTGAGCTGCCCGTTTGGCATGGATAAAGCTCTTTCGGGTGTTCGTCTCGGAAAGTGAGATGACTCCATGATGCCCACCTAATCATATGCTTGTTGTTAAAAATGAGTTGTTAATTTTAATTTAGTCGGTCTTGTATTATTGTTCTATGGAAGTTTCTGACTAGACTGTGATACCGCTGTACTTTCGATTAAATACTGTTGCTTGATTGTATTTCAAGGTGGGAGAATGTTTACCGTGCGTTTGATTTTGCATTTGAAACTGGGCCGGTGATCGCCCAATTTTGCTCACACTCACAGCGTCGACCTTTTGACGACTTGAACATGTTTAGCTCATTTGTTTTTTTAACAAAGTTTTCTTCATAAATTTTGTTATTTATTCACCGATCCGACCATGCATCCGCAACTATTGCCCCAGTTCTGAAAAACTAGAGTAACCTTCGAGTCTAATCGAATAATCAATCAATGTTTTCTAATTATCTTCTGTTTATGTTAATAACCGTCTGCTATGTATTGTACATAATCGTCTGCGGTGTACATAATCGTCTGCTCCTTCTAGGTGTAATAGAATGAGCGAAAAAGTAACGGATGTCCTGTAATTTTTTTTTATTATGATAATGTTTATTTTTGCAGTTTCTGAGTACAAGAAAAAATATATGTATAACAAAGAATTCCCGAAATAAATTGCATTTTCTACTGCCAGAGTAACAACTTCTTATTAAACAACTTGCTTATTTAACATTTCAAGCTTATCATTTTTTGCTATTGTACCGGAAGTAAAACCATTCTCTTTTGTACTCTTGCTCGTCTATAGTGGCATTTTCGCCTTCCTGAACATACCAGCATGCGTTCTTCGCTCGCATGAGCGTCGCCCTCACCAAACACAGCGCCAACAACGCGGTTTCCCCCATCAACCCGGCAATCGCATCCTTAACACAAACCGCTTAAACAACAAATAAAACTCTTCTCAATTAATCAGATTCAAATAACCGGTTACAAGTACTTTATATTTTGGCCAATGATAACAGCGCATTTAATTTTCCAGGACCGCGCTTTGCCGTCGTCATAAAGCAAATATGTATCTTTCTTGGATGAATGAAATGAAATTCGTTCGTACAACTATGCTACAAGTGCAGATACTGCGTGCACTGGATTCATCAAACTTGGTATAATCCCATGAGGTCAGCAATTATAAATGTCAGTCCTTCGCGAAATTTCTTGACATTCGGAAGAGTCATATGATTAATGAGTAGGTAAACCGAGCCGTTTTTTTGAAGAACCCAGCAAAAACAACAATCACACAATACGGCTGTGCTTTCGAATATTAGTCTCTGCATATATTCCATTAGTTCTCTCCCTGCAAGTTCCGTTAGTCCTCTCTGTGCAGTTCGGTTATGACTATGCGTCCTCTATCACAGCCAAGATGGAAAGTAATTAAAGTTCAGGTAGACACACTCATACGACATGGCGGACCGAACAGCTGGGATCCCGGCAAAACTGAAGCCGCGTGTAAAAGTGTCATACATCGTATCACGACGGATGTGGGATCCCATTCAAACGGCTACCCACGAGCCATTTCCAACGCGTCAAAATTCAGCTAACTGGACAGCGGCTAATTTGGGCTCCCGTTATGTTAAAGTTTTGGGTGTTTTGAATAGCTTCGAACCTTAGCAGCAATACTCTTCGATATACGTACAAATATTTACAACTATCTGTAGATGTGCTCTGACAAATATCGCTCATTGAGTCACAGTAAATCATATTCAAATAAAAATTTAGCCCAGTATCATAGAGAGGATTGTTATTATAATTATGGTGTTACAAAACAGTCTGTCAATCAACAGAACAGCTAAGAAATTGGAGGGTTGTTAAAAGGGAGCACGATATCCCACGGCCACGATCAACGGCCGACAGTGACTACCAGCTGCTTTTCCCGACAAGCGGCAATGTACAGTACATCGCGTTAAAGTATAGCCCGGGCTTGTTCATGCCACCTTAAGAATGCCGTTGTTAATGTTTGGTTTAACGTTCTGCATTCGAATTCCGAATGTTAACTTCTGACAGTCGTCCACTTCCATTGACTGTGATATCACCCGTCTGCAGTTTTTCTACAATCCCGCCACAACTACATACCGTGAAGAATTGCTGCAGAGGTTAGAAAGCGTTTGTTTGACAGAGACGTTCGGCTAAACGGGGAATCAACATTGCACGCTCTGAAACTCGTAACATTTGCATTCGGTCTTTGAATAATTTTTAAGCAAACGGTCTCCATGCTCCCATCGTTACACAGCAAGACGACACATGATATACAGAGTAGATCTGCCATCGTAATGTACAGTACTTCGGCAAAGCGTGCTGTTATATTCATTTCCGCCGCATCTACCGGCCGCCGAGATGTACAAGCTATCTATGTTTGCGCAAGCGCATCGGCCACCTATATAATTTGCACCGAGCGCGAAGCGCGAGGTGCTGCAATTAACGGATCGTCAAGAGCATAAATTTGTCTCACGCCCCACGAAGAGCGTCACGGCTCACTTTCCCAATTCCACAAACCCAGTACCACTACTCAGTCATATTGACGCTCGCGCTCGTGCAATAATGTGGTTAACAACCACCGCTAGTATCTGTAAGTACATCATTTCACAATTCACACACCACTGGTTTATCGTTCCTCCACGGAAATAGCACGCGCCGGAACCGGCGCGTGCTATTGATTTGTAGTGTTATTGATTGTAGTGTTATTGACTGTAGCGTACGCGAGCTACGTAGTGTTTTGATTTGCTGTTGGCTGATGCAGTAAAGGAGTTGTACAATTTTTATTCCTCTTAATTCCTGCCCGTGTTCTTCATAATCCGAACAGTTCTTAAGTCACGCCCTAACGTTACTGGCCATGAATTTGTCGCATTTCGGACGACAGAGGCATGGTCCTCACGGATGAGTCTACCAACTGATACGCGCCGAAACCCCGGCATTTTATCCGTTCTCGCTCGTGTTTCCAGGTCTGATCCTGTCTTTGACGATGTGATGAGAAGAGCTCTCGAAAGGAACTCGTACGCAAAGCACTGATGCCCTTATACGACAGCTGGCACTGCTCTCTTTTAACCGCAACCTGCTTATATTTGAAGGTAGATCACTAGATCTTTTGTCTTCAAATATGCGAGATCGTTCTGATTCTAGCGATGAACAAGAAAACCCGGAACGCGAAGAATGAATTTAAAGCACACTTCCTCTGGGTTTCACTGAAAATCGAGACGAGGTGTGCTTTAAAGTCAAAAATTACAGCATATCCTACAAAGGCACTGTGCGACCAATGGAGAGTTTTACTGAGCAATGAGCATTATCTAAAATGGAATAACAGTACTCTTCCATTCCTCCTGGAGCCTCTTCCTGTCTTATTTGGAGCCGGTCTTGCAGTGCTCTTTGCCGATTTATTCAGTGCTTCGGCGATGTGGCGCTGTGTGCGGAAGATGCACGAGCCTCGTTTCCTATCGGCAGCGAATATATGGAATACTGCAGGTTGTTATGAACGTGTGTTCATTCAAGCATGCCTTAGAATTTATTTCGCGTTCACCATTACCGCCACGGTCAGCATGATAATGGTTGTGGGGATGGTCGAGTTATATGTCCCATGATTTATCTTGGCTTTCTAGCTGGCGGCAGGTCCTCCATGTATTGCAGTGAAACACGAAACGTTCTTAGCTACCCTCCCGTATGTCGGTTTAGCCGTGTTCGGCACATAAAAAAAAAACAGACAACGCTGTGAAAATTAAGAAAAGCTCGCCAAAAAATACCAACTTTCGGTAAATTTTAATATTATTTTTCATTTTCCAAATGCTATTTGCAAAAATATCGTTCACTGCAGGGCTACAGCCCGGGCTGTGACCCTTCTCCCCGGGCCGAGGGCCGCAGCCCTGCGAAAAAGGCGGGGCCGACTGAACACCACACCAGTGCATGGTGCGTTACATAAATAACCGCTGACCACGCGACTCGCTAGTTGACTTCCTTCACTGTCTTATAATAATCAAAACGAGCCAAAATTTTTAGAAACTCGAAATTAATGAGAATTGAGATTTGTTTACGTTTAACGGTGGAAGAAATTTGTACAAGTGTTCTCCATCACTGCACCCAGCCCAGTTCCTTTTAGTGAATTGCTTTTGATAAAATTTATTGAGCAAGATTTTTAATACATTATGGAAGTTATTCGTATCTTTTCGTTGGGTGTAGAAATTTAACACCCGGTTACCGATGGAAACCCACATGCACAGTGATCAAAATATGCGATAAGTTGAAGTCCAGCACAAGAAAGGCATTTCAGATCGTTTATTTTCCGTTCCAAAGCGGAACTGGAAAATTTGCGGCTGTTACTGCTTTTTTCGAGTATGCAAGCTATATAGTTCCACTGATTTCGTCACTTGGAATTTTTTTAGCCGCTCCCGGAAGTGTGTCTGTTTTCTGCCTGCGTAACCTTTCTTTGCTTGCCTCTTTATTTCCGTCTCTGCTCTTCGGGCGCGATTGTCTCAACATCTTCGGAATTGTTGGGACTCTGTCGACTTACTTACTAGGTCTGTGGACTTAGTATGTCCCCGTGCCGTGTACTATATATGGGAACACTAATGCGGAAATTACGGGATAGGGAAGTGATGACGTAATAAGGAAGTGCGCAATAAGGAAGTGACTGCGTAACAAGGTGTAGTTTTGTCTATGATAATTAGAGCAGTTGTTAGCAATTTTGGGGAAAGCTATATTATAAATGCCAAATTTAGTTAAGTAAAAAATTTTTATCATCACTGATGGCGCCGTTGTTTCCGACCGGAGTAGCGAGCGGACTGTCTTGAAATGCCGCTGCGCCTCAGATTGACCGCCTAAGGTAGTTATTCTGTTCTGCTCGCAGTGCTTGTTTGTTTTGTCGACAAAACAAAAATCCAAAATTACCAATACACACCGAGAATAACGTTTCTGGAATGGCAACTACCGTTCCGCGTTTTAATTCGCAAGAACAATTTATTTTAGGTTTGATTCGATCGCAGTCATTTCGGTTCTGTAGGATCGGGCGTGGAGCACGGTTCATCACCACCGTGGAAAAATGCTCCAGATATTGACAAAGTTTTGGTTGGCGTAGACTAAGCAATAAGCATCGGGACTTCAAAATTGGCGCGGAGGGTGTATAAAACGCGGAATTAAGTAAGTACTCCCGATTGCAACACTGCTACTTTTAATTAAATGTCGTGCGGCAACCGGTTTCCGTCGTACTTTGTTGATGCCGGTCTGGTAGAATGTATGGAAAAGACAGTTATAGTTATACCGTACATCAATTATCCTCGCTTGCTCTTATCACTTCATGCAGCAACAGTGCAAAATAGATGAAATGGTTTATCATAGTGCGAGCTAATAATTACATCGTCAGCTCAGCGAGGCCATGAGTGGTACTCTGACACGTGAGTACCTTCTCTGTTTATTTGAGATATAGTACCGTATGTGGATGGTATGATGGTACTACGGCGACAAAATCGGTTTAGCCAGGGTTGTTGAGTTGTTGTTGGCTGCGGTAAACCGTGTTGCACATCCAGGTTTTTATATCATTTTTGATTTTGGCTTTGGTTGTTATAAAGTTTCTACAAAATCTTTTAGTACTTCTGAAGTAGTTCTGAAGCCAAGCCTGTAGCGATCATGGCCATGGATGACTTAGCGATCCGAAATGTACAGAATCCGTTGCATCTTATCCGTTCTCGCTCGTGGGTGGATTTTTCCACGTTTGATCCTGCCTTCGACGATGTGATGCGAAAAGCTGTGGAGAAGAGCTCATATGCCAAGCCTTTCAAGCGCCTCATACGCCGGTTGGTACTCGTGTATTTCGCCCGCAGCCTGCTTTTCTGGACGGCCCTGATCGTCAAAGCAATCAATGCAAGCCCAATCGGGTGATAAGCGTCATGAAAACCAGGCACGCGAACACCAAGAGCAGGTAATCTTTTAACGGTTTAAAATTATCTTCTGAAAGACAGTGCAGTATCATTCATAACTAGATCATAGAGCAATGGCCGATGTGATACCGCCTCGATTTAGATTCGGTATTCGCCGTACGGTTCAACATCCAGAAAACGTGCACCTGCGCATTCTGATCTTTTTCGTTCCTTTTTTCCCGCGTTAATCAAGAATATCGTCACGCACTCATTTATTCACATATCTTAGTACTCACAAGTTTCAACCAGTTCTTCCTTCAAAAAAATTATTGCATGGCAAAAGGCAAAAACTAAAGAGAGGAAAGAAATTTTCTTGGGACAATCTTTTCTGTACCGCGAAAATTGTTTGTGGGTTCGTTTTGAAAGTTGTAAATAGACGTCTAGTGTCTACGAACTACTGCATATAGATTAAAGAAATATATTTTATGGCCCAAGTATAATTATCCCTTCCGAGTTCCGAGCGAGACTGAGTGGATGTACGTACTGTAACTGAATGCTATGCAGAACCTACTCGCGGCAAATTTGTAAGCACAATGTATAAGTATGATGTGATTTCTGAATATGATTAACAGCGAAAAGGTTTCTGAAAAGAATGGCGTCTGCGTACAATATTTTTAAATAAATTTTTATGCGTATGTTACTTGATGAGTTAAATTAGTGCAACTTGCAACTATTTTGATTCTATAGTTCTGCCATAGTGTAATTACATTATACATGTATAGCTGACTACATATAGTACAGTATATTACGTGTACATGTACGAGTATATATCTGGTAGTAGACTCAGGTTCTCGGTTGCTTTTTCTAGTCAAGCCGACGTCCATTCCTCTTGGAGTATATCCCTACCGTTATAGATGCATGTACCATATTTGCCCTTTTCGGTCTTAACAATGCTGGCTTCCTCTGGTACATTACGCGAAAGTTACGCGGACAGTGGTTCCTATTGGCAGGGAATATGGAGGACGACATGGTGGTGTCTGTCGGTTGGGCCGTAAGTAATGCCTGCTATGGGCCCTGGGAGTTACTTTGACCGTGGCCACCCTGGCCACGCTCAGCATGGTGACGGTTGTGGGGATTATCGAGTTCTATTCTCCTGGATTGTGCATCACGCTCTGGTGGCATGTTGGCTATGCATCGTGGCATAACTCCACGGCGCACACACCACCCCGGCTGGGGCTGCTCCTGGCAATCCTCCCCGTGTGCTGGTTTGGACGTGATCGGGTTGATTACCGCGTGGCAGTGTCGCCGAGCCATTCTACGGTTTCAGAAAGTTTGCTCGGCCGAGGGGCTTCACAATAATGACTCGGATTGGCCCTACATTGTAGAGCGAGTGTACTACACTGTCCTGGATCTTGTCCAGTGGTCGGTCATTTGGGTGGGACATGTGGTCTTTGTTCTGTTGCGCCGGAAAGCATTCGTCCATTCATTTATTCATTCAATCATGTATCAGGAGCAGCCAGCCCGGTAAACAGGTCTTCAATGTCTGGCCGGACTTCTGGGTTAACGTCTCAACGACTAAAGAACAACCAGCTCCAACATCCCCGTATGTTTCGATGCCTTTTTACCAATCCGACTGCCCGCGCCTTAAAACAACAATTCTACAGTACTCTGAACAAACTAATTTCTCAGCCTTACAGTCTAACGTTTTATGCTTGATGCATATCTGGCTGTAATGTACATTTTGTAGTTATATTCTAGAAAAACCTTATGCGCGATCTTTAAGTCTTTCCCTAAATACATGCGGTAGTTTACCGGACCGCAAGCGGTACAGTTATTACAATCGTTACTGTGCACAGTCCCTTCTCATGTTAATTGGGACAAATTCTTCATTTGATTGTTACTGTTGAGCGAAGCTCGCTTTGTACATATTTAGAAATAAATCGCTACTAAATAAAAACTGCTTACTGAAAACAGTACTCAGTGGGCACTGGCTGGTTTGTGTTATCGTACTGATCCCTCTGCATAAGTTCAAGCTTTTCTTTCTTTATTGGACAAAAGCCATCGATACAATAAAAAGTGCATACGCAGAATTAGAGCCCCCAAACAGTACTTATACTGTACTGCCGTATACGGCATACTGTACGGCACAACAGTACGTAACCGTAGTGAAAATTGGTACGGTAACAGTGCCGTACAATAACCATAAAACAAAAACACGGTTTTACAATGGGCTTGCCATAACGGTATACGGTACGGTCAATCCAGTTATTTCTGCCGTGTACCGTAGCCGTGGGCCGTAATGGAAACCGTACGTAGCCGTACAAAAATTTGCTACTGTTTGGGGGCTCTACGCAGAATACTACGCAAAATGATTCACATTTAAACATAAAAAAAAACAACCAAAATCGTTAGCGCTGTCAGTCATTTTAGAACGCATACCCAAAGTACGTGCCCAAAACAGCAGCAGCATTTCCCTTTACAACATCTAGACTAAATCTCTGCTTTAAAAATGCGGTAGTTCAAGCTTGATATCGATGGTTTTCGAAGGAAACTATCGAATTTGTATGTCACAGTTCCCTGACATGTTGAATTTGATGACTTCTATACTTCTGTAAAATAGCTGAAAATTTGCGGTTTGAATTCGACAAGTTGCCGACAACTACTGACCTGTGGTATCGGTCACTTTGCCGAGTTGTCATGACCTTTCCTGTGTGTTACGCTATTGGAAAAAAAGTTATTCGGATTAGACTAATTGGAGATGTAGTGTCGCCTGTAACATTTCTGGTAAATTTTTTATATAGAAAAATGTGTATATTCTTGCGGTTTTGTTTGAGATACTCGTACACGTAATAACGATAATACTCGTATTTTGGTGTTTGTACTCGCATTTCTCTATCTGTACAGTATTTTTATTGTATCACTATAATTCGTTTCTAAACAGAACAACACTTGTGCAACATAATTTCTCTTATTTCCGGGCAGGTACACCCTCAGCGACATGCCTCGTCCAACGCGGCGTCAACAGCGCCTTCTCCGCATCTAGTTCGACTCTGTAGGAACGGACAGTGGAGAATGGTTTACCGCCACCGTGGAAAAACGTTTAAGACGTTGACAAGGTTTTGGTTGGCGTAGACTTGGCAATACGCATCGGGACTTCAAATTTGGCGCCGGAGGTTGTAGAAGACGCTGAATTAAGTACTCCCGATTGCAGTATTGCTACTATAAAAATGTCGTGCGGCAACCGGTTTCCGTCGTACTTGGTTGATGCCGGTGTGGCAGAATCACTAGAATGTATGTAAAAGACAATTAAACCTGATCGTCTCATGCTCTAGTCGCTTCATGTAGCAACAGCGCAAAACAGATGAAATGGTTTATCATAGTCTCGACTCTCCAGTGAGCACATTGTCAATGGCATTGATTATTAGCTCGCATTGCGCTAATAATACATCGTCAGCTCAGCGAGTGCATTAGCGGCATTCTGGAACATGGGTATTCCGTGAGTACAGTATGAGATAATATTATAGTACCGTATGTTGTACTATGTACATGGTACAACTACGACATTCTCGGCTCAGCCAGTGTTATTGAGTTGTCGTTGGCTGCTGCGGTAAACCGTTGTTGCACAAACCGTTCTTCGGTTTTAAATTTTATGTTATAAAATTTCTACCAAATCTAAGTATTTACCAGTAGTTCTGAAGCCAAGCTGTAGCGATCATGGCCCTGGATGACTCTGCGATCCGAAAGGTGCAGAATCCGTTGCATCTTATCCGTTCTCGCTCGTGTAGTGATTTGCATCTTATCCGTTCTCGCTCGTGTAGTGATTTTTCCACGTTTGATCCTGCCTTTGACGATGTGATGAGAAAAGCTGTGGAGAAGAGCTCTTCTGCCAAGCCTATCAAGCGCCTCATACGACGGTTGGTACTCGTGTATTTCGCCCGCGGCCTGCTGATATGTACAGTCCTTGTCGTCAAATCTATGCAATCCCAATCGGGCGATAAGCGTCATGAAAATAAGGGACGCGAACACCAAGAGCAGGTAATCCTTTAACGGCTTAAAATTATCCTCTGAAGGACAGTACAGTATGATTGCCGTCGTAATTTACTAATTTGTCGACCATCGACGATTCTCTAATGTTGTACCGGATGAATACATTTTATAAACTTTAATTATTAAAAAACGGGTAAGTTTATCAGGAGCACTCGCAACGTATTGTACTATTATGTTTACTCTTATATTTTGTTTTAAAATAATCACAAAATCAGAATCATATCAGCTGCAGCCTTCTTTAACAACCCCAAGGCTCTTAGCATGCGGTTATGTATACATATATATACGAGGGCGCTTACAGAAATTTTTGCTTAGCATTGGCATCACCAAAAAATCATAAAATTAGGAACTATTTTTTAAAAACTGTATTATTCATCACTAGATAATAGGGCAGTGGCCGATGTGATACCGCCTCGTAGGACCATGGAAACGATAGCAAAAGAACTAAAACTTTAGGAAGGAACGAGTCGGAGTTTCGCTGCAGCTCCTCTCTGATGAGCGTGGGGATGATTCATTTTTGATTTCCTATTCTCCGTGTACGGTTCAACATCCAGAAAACGTGCACCCGCACTATTTGATCGTTTTCGTTCCTTTTTTTCAACGTTAATCAAGAATATCTTCACGCAGTCATTTATTCACATATCTTTGTACCGTACAAGTTAATTTCAGCCATTTACTATGTTATATGTACTTCAAAAACATTTTCGCGTGACAAAAGGCAAAAAATAAAGAGGGGAAACGAATTTTCGTAGGACGATCTTTTCTTACTGCGTAAATTGTTTGTGGGTTAATTTTGAGAGTTAGGGAATATTCAATAGACGTCTAGGCGGTATATAGACTAAAGAAATATGTTTTATGGCACAAATATAGTTTTCCCGGCCGAGTGTTCTGCGATTCGACAGTTCTGCGTTTGCTTTTTTTAGCCAAGCCAACGTCCATTCTTTTTGGAGTATCTGTCTACCTTTATAGACGCATGTACTACCTTCGCCTTTGCCGGTTTCGGGAATGCTTGCTTCCTCTGCTACGTTACGCGAAAATTGCGCGGGAAATGGTTCCTGTTGGCAGCGAATATGGAGGACGACATGTCGGTGTCTGTCGCCTGGAGCGAAAGCAATGGCCTGCTATGGGCCATGGGATTTAATTTGTTGCTGGCCATACTGGCCACGGTCAGCGTAGTGACGGTTGTGGGGACTGTTGAGTTCTATTCTCCTGGATTGTTCTTCAAGCTCTGGTGGCTTACTGGCTATGTTTTGTGGTACAATGCCACGGTGGGTATACCGCCCTGGCTGGGACCGCTACTGATTATTCCCCCGGGGGCCTGTTTGGACGTGATCGGGCTGATTACCACGTGGCAGTGTCGCCGAGCCATTCTGCGGTTTCAAAAAATTTGCTCGGCCGACGGGCCGAGGATAATGACGACGATGACGACGACGACGACGATAATGACGATTGGCCCTTCATTGTAGAGCATGTGCACTACACTGTGTGGCAAATGTGCCATTGTCCTGGAAATTGTCCATTGGTCGGCCCGTTGCGTGGGACACGTGGTCTTTGTTCTGTTGCGCCGCAAACCATTCACGCATTCATTCATTCATTTATTCATGTATCAGGAACGGGCAACCCGGTAAACAGGTCTTCAGTGGCTGGTCGGACTTCTGGGTTAACGACAACAGAACAATCAGCTCGAGCCTCGAACGTCCCCGTTTGTTACGATGCCCTGTACCGATCCGATTGCCCGCGTCTTAATACAATTCTGCTCTGTGCAAACTAATTTCTCAGCCTTAACGTTTTATGCTTGATGCATAACTGGCTGTAATGTACATTTTGTAGTCGTATTCTAAAAACAGTTTATGCGCGATCTTGAAGTCTTTCCCGAAATACATGCGAGTATACCCTACCGCAAGCGGTACGGTTATAACAGTCGTTTCTAATTAAAAACTACTTACTGAACAGTTGTTCATTCTGCATAAGTTCAAGCATGATACTGATGGTTTTCTTCGGTTTAAATCACTTAGGGTCACTATAATATTACACTTTCACTGCTCATCTTGGGACCGCGTTCAGAACAACGTTTTTCTACATATTTGTATGTCACAGTTTCCTGACATGCTGGATGGTCCTGGATCTGATGACTCCCTATAGTTCTGTAAAACAGCTGAAAATTTGCGGTTTTAATTCGACAAGTTGCCGACAACTACCCACCTGTGGTATCGGTCACTTTGCCGAGTTTCATGACCTTTCCTGTGTGTTACGCTATTGGAAAAAAGTTATTCGGGTAAGGCTGATTACTCTGTAGTATCGCATCCAACATTTCTGGTAAATTTTGTACAGACAAAAATTTTTTATATTCTTGGGTTTTATCGTTTCAGATAGTCGTACATGTAATCATTTCAGTGTTTATACTCGCATTTCTCTATCTGTATTTTTCTTGTATCGCTTTAATTCGTTTCTGAACAGAACAACACTTTCGCAACATAATGTTTCTCATTTCCGGGCAGGCACACCCTCAGCTACATTCCTGGCGGACGTCACACGCCCTCGTCAAACGCGGCGTCAACAGCGCCGTCTCCGCATCAAACCAGCCAATGTCGCCTAATCGCTCAGCACCGACCCAGCATCACGCTAACATTAAATAATAAAAAAACTATCGAATCCAGTTCTTCTCAATTTCCACTCGGCTTTAACCGCTCACGGATGGCGCTGACCAGTTCGTCCCGTTTGACCTCCACCTAGAGAACAACATAACAATGCTGCAGTTTTGTCGTTGATATTTCTTAGGTTTTAAACAGCATTATCAGATTAAAATATTAATATTTTTATTATAAGCAGTATTATACTTCAATTAAAATTATTCCGAGAATAAATGTACCTCATCGCGAGTGGCGACGTTCTTCAGTTTGACCAGACCATTCTGCAATTCCGATTCACCTAGAATAACCGCCCAGGGTATTCCGTTCTCCTCGCAGTGCTGCAGTTGAACGAGAAATTTGGGATTCTGCTTGTAGGAATGCTCTGACTGTCGGAAACAAATAAAATCGATGTTACTGCTGCCAACGTCTTGTATCACACGGTAGCCGCATTTTAACGCTGCCAGAAATTCGCAAGAAATGCTGTAGATGCTGGGATATAACGTAGTACAATGGCCCTAAAAGTACTTTCCCGAACGCGTAAAAATGCTCACCAATCTTGAAAAAAGTTCGAAAAATATTTAAAGAATTTTAAATAAAAAAAAATCTGCTTAAAGTTTTTACACTGTAACAGATATGGTTGCTTCCCGTACAATTTTTGTATTTATAATTTTTTTATCGCAATTTATCACGAGAATAAACAAGAAATTCAACAGAAAATCCCAGTTTGGCAACTACAGTTATAAAACCAACAAAATTCTAAAACGAAACAGAAAAAACAAAATTTTCAAAAACCATTTTTCTGGCATTTTAGCCTTCCATCAACTGACCTTAATTCCAGCGTCCCACAGTTCCCGGCAGATCTTGAGCCGTTCGAGAAACAGATTCTTCTGCGCCGTCACGACGTACACCTCCGTTTCCACCGAGCGGTGCTTCTCCTTCTTCTCCTCCGCGCGCGCTTCCATAATGGCCATGATCCGCTCGATGCCGATACTGACTCCGACACAGGGCACCTGTTTGGCCTTGGTAGACATTTTGGCGTCGAACATCCCCACCAGATTGTCGTAGCGTCCGCCGGCGGCAATACTGCCCACGCTCTCCGCCATTCCCGCGACATGGCCTGCCAAAACAGACGCTCTCTTCGTTAATAAGTGTTTTTACGCAGAGGCACATGCGATTTCATAGCATCCTTCTTTTCGAAGTTTTCCTGTCTGGATAATCGGATAATCATTTACGCACCGTGGCCAAGTAAAGCCATGTGTAATTATTACAGTGCTGAAACAAATCTAAACCAAATTATCAGAAATAAAAAATTAAAATCAACGATAGTTTCACATAATAAATATATAAAATTTCTGGTAAAAATCCCCCTACCTTGTAAAACGGCTTCATAAATCACTCCGGTATAGTAATCCAATCCGTGCCAGACTCAGATCAAAACAGATAACCCCGCCGATCCCGTACAGATCGCAGTACCCCAGCAGCTGCCGCATGGCCTCCAACGCTTGCCGACACGATTCGTGCTGGCCCAGCAGAGGATCATTCAGCAGCATATCCACAAAGGAACCGGCATTGCCTTCCGCTGTAGCAAAATAAAAATATGACCCAATAATCAACAATAAACAAATTTACAGCTGATGTACGCTAAGGAGCTTACAGCACAATGGTTTAACGGTTCCACCACAAAGCCCTCGTTCTACGTTTGTCACCATCTATCACCATGCCACCAACATGGTTCTCTGTAGACTCAACTATCGCTACTTTGTGAACTAACATCAGCATTTACCGATATGGCTAAGATTGGCAAAGAAATCGTTAACCCAAAACGATGTGGATTAGTTCTAAGAACGAAACTTAGACGAGATTCGAAAACGAGCCGCAAAAACCAGTAAAAAAATAGTGCTCTTTATTTAAAAAATATGAAGCATTAAAAAATTAAAAAAGTGAGCAGTCGTTAAAATCTAATACTGACAAATTAGGAAATAAGTACTCTGGCCAATAAGAAAACAACCAACAACTTACACCGGAGTCCGACGTAGTGGTGAATCTTATCGGCCACGGCCGGGTCCAGATGCTTCTCATTGACCATTTCATTGCGCACTTCATCCCAGGGCGTCTTATCCAGTTTGTCAATGGAAGAACAGATTGTGCGGAACATATCCTTCGGCACGCCACACTGCTCCATCATGGCGTCAAGGATTTCTCTGTGATTCACCTAATAAAATCAAGAATTACCGTCAAGAAAATACTTATTCGGCAAAAGTCATATAAAATACAACTACAGTAAGCCTGCGCAGTAGGCAATGATAAAAAATCCAAATTAAAAGGATAAAAAATTTAAACAAAAATCAGTAAGCAAATTCAGTAAATTAACAGCGCACACAAGTCAGTCGATACATGAATACAGATACAAACATTTCCATTGCGTACCTTGATCACGAAGTCACCAATTTGCAGTTTCCCCAAGATTTCCGCTGTGACGCGCAGACACTCCGCATCCGGCAGCATGGGATCATACTGACCGGCGATATCGAAATCACACTGGTAGAACTCGCGGAAACGACCGCGGGCGGTTGATGGATTATCACGACGGTACACCTGATCCACAACAAATAATTTTCACACCCAATTTTACAACAACCATTCATCCCCGTGCAGGCTGACATTACCAAACGCGACTGGCAAAGCATAAAACAGCGTAAACACGACAATTTGTTCCGCTCACCTTGGCGATGTGGTATCGTTTAATGTTCGTGATTTTATTCATGGCCAAGTACCGCGCTAAAGGAACCTAAAAACACGGAGAAATTAGCCAAATAATTTGTATAAGAAAACTAAAATATGAACAAATCGCGATCCCAACTAGAACATATTTTAGAATTTTTTAGCAAAGCGGAAACTGACAATAACATTACATAAATCTTGTTACAGCAATATGGAAATAAAAAAACTAACCTAAAAGAAAAACTAAAAAAAGCAATAAAAAATAAATGATCAGATGTCGATAAAAAAGCGAACTAACGAACAGTCAATAATTAATTTCCACAAAGACAAAAACACGCTACAAAATAAATATGCTTACCGTGAGATCATAACGCAGCGACAGCATTTCTCCGCCCTGATCGGCCAGATCGTAAATCAACTTGGAATCTTCACCATACTTGTTCGTTAGCGTTTCCTAAACAGAAAAACCATGAAAAAAACCGTCACAATATCCCGAATAACGTAAACATCATACTTTCAGCTCAAACACGGGTGTATCGATATTCTCCGCTCCGTGCAGTTTGAAACAATCCGTAATAATGCTGAACACCTTCTCCCGAATGGCCATCTGCTGTCCATTGAAATCCCGCGTACCCTATGGGAATTTACGAGAAAAATAAAATAAAGCACATTAAATTCGTACCTAAAATTTCGTATAAACGGTAAAAAATGTCGGAAAAATAGGCGAAAAATTGAGACGCACCTTGGGATTCTTGAGGATCAATTTCCCGGCGGCATGTTCCCCCGCGGTGTCGTCTTTGGACTCCGTGGGGGACAGGGGCGTCTTCTGAGGGCGACGGGGACCGCCCTTTTTCTGGGGCTTCTCCGGTTTGTCGAGGGTCAATTTGGCCAGTTGTTCGGCGTTTTTCTGCAATTTGGAAACTTTTTATGGCAAACAGAATTTAAACGATTGCAGTGTGCACTGGGAAACCTATTCCTGCCATGGAAATTATTAATACACGACAGCAAGAATGAAACAACCTGGAACCATCAAAAACCACAACATGCAAAAAATTTGGAAGTAAAAAAATATCGAAATTTTGGGATCACAACAGGTCGACAACAACAACCTGCAAAGCTGACGTCATCGAAAAATATTTTCCACTTGTCGAAGAGAGCGCATATAAAGGGAAACATTGCTCAAGCTGACGTTTGTGAACGGCAGCGCAGTAACGAAGAACCATGAAGAGAGTCCGTGGGTTCGCTGTTCCGAACATGATGAACGGATTTCAGATTGACTCATTCAGATTTTTCATAACGTTTTTTTCCGAAACTCGATACAGTTCGGTGCAAAGGTGGGAGAAACGAAAACGTTATCGTGAGAAAAATCACAGTGTGTGCCAGTTTACTGCGGATTGCATCATCAAGGCAGGCGCGTCATCACCATACGAAAACACGAATGATGAAATCCGGAAATCGTTGACTCACTACTTCTTACTTCTAAATAATCGATTACAAAGCAAGAAAACTTTGAAAAAAACATTAACTAGAAGATAAAAACCATAACGAATTTAGGAATTTAATTATTCACGTCAATGCTAGTTTTTAAAAGAAAAAAACTAGAAACTTCCTAACACAACTCAGACTGGTAAATTTAACAGAAACAGCTGTGCCACGGCAGCAGCGAAAAAAGGTACCTGACAATCTCCCGAGCCCACGCCGTTCTCCACGACATCCGGCCGGACACCGTCCGCTGCTGGCGTATTCGTTGGAGCTTCCATATTTAGCACAGATATTCGCTCTTTATAAAATCCACAATACTCCAGACAGGTAGCTGGTAGTAACAAAATCAAAAAGAAATTCGACGAAATCAACGATGGAAAAATGAAAAATCAAGGAAATAAAATGCAGCACGCTGTTATCGATATCGTTTCCGCTAGACACGCGAGTAGAACACGCTATGCCAAGCGTGCGGCTGCCTGGGGCTACGTGTATTAAAGCATGCGGTTGGCTTGGACTTTTACTACTGGCGGCTCAAGAGAATAACGAAAATCCTGAAGAGAAGCAAAAATCGAAATAAAATTTGTTGTTTGTTTGTGAGTTTTCGTACGATCTTTATTTTTTTTGATTCTCTGTTATCGTTTTCGTGGTTGCGTTTGCGTTTTCAGTTTTCGTCCGAAATTTGTAGACCCTTTGCTCCTGTAGTTAGTAAGGTTGATTTGTTGTATGTGAGCATGAAAACGAAAAAGAGCAAGAAATCGCTCCAGCGCGATGAGCCAACGGAGCAGCCATCTAAAAAGAGAGTCCGAATCAAACGCGAACCAGACAACGATGTCGTGGAGATACCTGTCGACGAGGTGCTTGAATATTTATCCAATAATTTTCCTAAAATATTCGCGCTTTCAACACCACAAGTGCCATGCAAAACGTCCTGATGCGTTTGTTTTCATGTAGAAACCAGCCGTCATCGACGCGCACCTCTGGAACCTCACCTACGACCACATCATCCACATCGACAGCATCTCTACTCCCCAGATCCTCCAAGCGCTCTCCTCCCAGCTCCCCTCCCCCGCCACCCTCACGGACATCACCCGCACCATCCATTCCCTTCTTCTGAAAGCTTTGGGACCCCGCGTATCCCATCTGGAGGTGGGATTCCGCCAACCGACCTTCCTGTCTTCCCCGGTGTTCCCGTTAAGCATCGGGTTGAGGCTGGCGCAGCACGAGTACACAGAGACGGTGGAGAAGGGTCCGGAGGGCGGGGGGCCGGAGGCGGAGGGGTTCCGCGGGTTCTGGGGGACGGCGTGCCAGTTGCGGCGCTTCCCGGACGGGAGTCTGCGGGAGGCGGTGGTGTGGCCATGCGGGACGGGGACGCGGATGGAGAAGCGGACGGTGTGCGGGAAGATTGTGCGGACGGTGCTGCAGCGGCACTGTGCGGTGGGGGGAGCGTGCGTGCGCTCTACGGGGAATGTGTGGATGGAAACCTTGGCGTTGCAGCGGTAAGGAATTGTAACATCTGTCGCATTTTTTGGACATTTTTCGGAAAAATTTCTTCCCGAACGTTTTTGTTTATTTATTTATTTCTCATAATTTTTTTTATTTATTTATTCTCATAATTTCTCATACTGTTTGAAAAAATTTTACGTTTTTTGTATTGCTCTAATTTAAATTTTCTTGCTTATTTAGTTTACGCATTTTTTATTTATTTTTATTATATGATTTTCTTTTAGGCATTATTTGCTGTTATTTGATGTATTTATTCGTTATTGTCCTGTTGTGTTATTTGGATCATCAGTCTTTCTGCGAATATTTATTCAGGCTTGCAGATTGCTTAGTTGACAATTTTTTGCGTTAAGGTTTTGTCGCGTCTAGATAACGCAGTATGCCTGAGTATGGTGTAGCCCGTTTTTGCGGATTGTAAAAAAAACTTGGCAAAATGAGGCATTCAGTCTGGTGGCGGGAGAAAATTAAAAAATTATTCAGCAGAAATATTTAATGTAAGCAACGTATAAAGCAACTACTAATTCTTGTTAATTAGTGTACGCAACAGTCGCAACTAGCGCTTGGAAGGCGAAAGCGTATATGTATGCGCCACTCCACTACAATATCTTGCAAAGTATATTGTGTGACATTTGATGATTTAAGTGGCAGTCCTTATGTTCATCTTATTTTACTACTCTAGTTAGTAGTACTTTAGCAATTAATTAGAAACCAAAACTCGAAGTGATAAGAATAATGGTTCATTTGAAAAAATACAATAAGCGGTCAGAAATTACACGTCTTTCGTAATAAAAAATACATTTATTACGAAACACGTGTTATTTCTGATTTCTGAATTACTTACTTGATTAGTCTGCCAGTCTGAGAAGTTACTAGTTAAACAAGTGTTCCGCTTTTCCGTGTAGAATTGAACTTCCCAAGGACTGGCCGGCGTATACCTCGGGCGAAGAGTACCTCCAAACCCTGACCACTACCTACGACACCCTCGCCCGCGATCTCCGCAACATCCAGGACCTCCCGCTGGCCATCACGGCCATCCGCAGCACGGCGCCGGCCCTTCGCCACACGGAGCCCTTCCCCCCGCTCCCGGCCACCTTCGCCCCCGAACACCGCACCCCGCCGCCCTTCACCCGCTCCCTCCCGGTGCAGGTGGTCCTGGAGGGGAGTTCCCGGTGGCCGGATGACCGCCCAGCCATCCAGCGGTTAAAAACGGCGTTCCAGCTGCAGTTCGCCGAGTATCTGAAGGAAGCCGGCTACCGGGTGGTGGTGCGGGGCGTCGAGGATGTGCTGGTGTGGAAGGAGGGCTGGTGTTTCCGGTTGGAGGTGGTGTATCTCGGGGAGATGCAGTTGAGTCGGCGGGTGGTGCTGCCGGATGGGCGGGTGAAGATGGAGGATACGGAGGAGTTTGCGCGGCTGCGGATGGAGTATGATTTGTTGCCGAAGCTAGCTAGTGGGGTGGCCGGTGTGGCCAGGCTGAACGAGAGCTTCGGTAGGAAATGCGATATGATAAAATAAGTTTTCAATCCTGTAACGCAAGTCGCAGCGCAGATTAGTGAGACTGGATTGAAAAACTAGAAAAAAAATGAACAATTTTTTAACAAATCATTAAAAAGTAAATAGACATTATGTTAATTGGATTTAGGGATTGTAGCGATGGTTAATAATAGCAACAACGTTTTTTATTGGTTTAATCATGTGCCGCGGTGCTGCATTTATTTAAAAACGGAGTAAAAAAATATTCTGATGATTTTATCAATCACAGTGCACTGAACTGATGTTAGTTTAAAATCGAATGTTATTCCTTCAATGAACCCTTGCACTACGAAAACCACTGCAGTGATATTATAATGGCGGGCGAATGTGTGCCACACATAAAACGGCAGCTAAATTACAGACTTGCAGTCAACATTAATTGGATAATTTCACGGATAATTGATGAATACCGTAAATTACTGATAATTAAATAATAATTGTGTTGATATTCAGGTGTGGCTTGCCGGCTGGCCAAACGCTGGACCGCCTGCCAGCTGCTATCCGGATACCTCTCCGCCGAAGCCGTGGAACTGATCATGGCGTCCGTATACCTCCATCCCGATCCCGGCCACACCTGTCCCGTGGCACCAGAATTGGGATTTCTCCGCTTCCTGCATCGTTTATCCCACCACAACTGGCACAAAGATCCCTTGATCGTCAATTTCAGTGATGAACTGAAAGCGGAAGATATCGCGGAGGTTCGGCGTGAGGTTGCGGAGGAACGATCAAAGAAAGAGGGAGCCGCGATGTGGATTGCGGTCCCGTTTGAGCGGACGTCATTGTGGACGACACCCTATCCCAATGGGATTGTGCTGAAACGGTTGACGTTGTTGGCGCAGTCGGCACTGACGATCGCGGAAAATATCCGCATGGGTCCAGTGACCAAGGCAGAAACGGATGTTAATGTACGTGAATGTCGTAGTGCAGTGGAATTTGGTGTTTGCGGATGCGTACTTTACACAACCGCCATGATGCTAGAACAGTTATTTGCTATAGTCTATATCCTAGAAATATGCGCTAGATTAACAAGCAGTTCAGAGATTTTTCTGTCGTTTTTGCTATTCTATTTTTATTTGAATTTTTTGTTATTCTGTTGTTTTTTATTTTTTTCTATGTTTTTGTTATTCTCTTTCTTATTTTTTATCCTATTTTTTTATTTTTTACATTTTTGTTGTTGTGGTATTGTTTCTGTATTTTATTTTTTATGGTGTAGTTTTTTGTGCGCATAACCGCCAGAGCGGCCAACATTAATGCTTCAAATGTTTCGAAGATCTTTGTTTTCTATACGAAACAATTAACCTACTGTAGAAGAAAAATGGTTTAAAAAAAATGGTTCGACTGGTTTAAAATTTTTCTTTCAGTAAGCTGTGGAAGTTGAACATTGCTGTCAGTTTGGTGTGGATTAAAATAACACGAAAGTGGACAGTTTGGTTTCTATGGGTATACTGAACGACGTTCCAGTTGTCTGGATTTTTCTATGATACTGGCATACTGCGTGGGATCTTTTGAAGTTTTTATCTGTTATCGTTTGGCAAAAGCGTTCAGTGCTATAAGCCGGTTCGACTAATTGCAGGTGATTTTCCATGGGAAATTGATCAGCGGCGACGACTGGGACGTGATCATCCATCTAAAACCCGCCAGCGTCAGCCGCGCCCACGAGCAACTCCCCGCGAAAACCCCCCAAACCAAAGCAAAAAAATCCCACCTTCCATTGCTCAAATACCGTGCCCAGAAAGACGCGGACACCTCCCCGGCCGGGATCATCGTGGACCTGGACACCGTCTCCACGTACGTGGAGAAGTTACGCGCCGCCTACGACCACTGCGCGTATTTCATGGCGGACCCCAGCGGACACGCCGTGATGGTGAAATGGAAGCGCGCGGCGTTCGCGGCGCAGGAAGTGGAGAAGGTGGAGGAGTTCCCGTGGGCGGGGCACAGTGTGGGAATCAGGGAGAAGGGGCGGATGACGGGGGTGCTGGATGTGGCGGCGGTGCTGGAGGATGTGGGGCTGATGGGGCGGGGGATGGTGAAGAGTGTGCAGGTGCTGACGGAGCACTGGCAGATTTAATTCTGTGGTTTTGATGGCTAACGTTAAAATTAAAATGCAGTTAATAAAACTGGTTTGGTTCGGGTTTTGTTGGATAAAGAAGCTGTTGTTGTTGTTGAATGGCGGTGTGATCGTGTTCCGTAGGCTTATATCAGTTTAGTATTGAAGTAGAGAGATATTAAGGAAGGAGAGCGTAAACTGAAACAAAATTAAAATCATTCGAGATAAAATCAACATGTAAATTTGGAGTACTATTTTAGTTCTGCCGCTCGAATGCGGTTTCCATTGAATATAAATAGAAATTTCTGTACTCGTACTAGCGGCTCTTTCTTGAATCAAGAGCAGACAACCCGGTTAACGGGACTTCCGTGTCTGGCCGGTTAAAAATGGCAGCCAAATGCTAAGAAAACAAAGCCGGTAAAAAAAGCTGGTAAGCCGTCAAATTACTCAATGTACATTATAAAATATGAATCTCGACCTCGGATGTCCTGCTCGTTGCGGTATGTGTAACAGGTTAACAAGTACTCAGTAGTGACTATATTACGGTAAATCGAAGGTCACCATTAACCTAAGGATACGTTTTCCGGTAAAATAAGCTGCAGCTATAAATCAACTTCAAAATCAAAATACTGTTTAAGGATATTGCGTCAGTAAAGGCCCCCACAGACTTCGGTTTGTCGCACGTTTGAAGCGAGTGTCAAGCAATATTTGACGCAAGTATGTGTAGAAAGTAGAAACCGTAATTCAATGAGTGTAACTCATGTCAAACAATGTATGTGGGGAATCGAAAACTGTGTGACAAACAGGTGTTTGAAGGGGGAGGGGAAATCGTTCCTCTTCAAGCATGTTTGAAGGCCTCTGGCCAATGCGGGCGTGCTGACCACACTGACGCAACCGAAGTCCAGTAGTGAACAAGCGATAGCATTGTAATAACAGCACATCTCCTTTCAAATATTGTTAAATAAGCAAAACTTCGAAACAAGTTCCAAGAACATTTCTACGTCCTAGCCGGTATTCAGTTTTGTATTTTTGTGTTTTCGGATCTTTCTCAATATATTAAATATGTCGGAAATCAGTGCTGCCGTTGAGAAAACGGTAATTGAGCTCGTGCGAAGTTATCCTTGTCTTTAATGCCGGACTGATGACACATATAAAAACTACCGATGAAGCGGAACGCGTGGAAAGCGATTGGCCTTGAAATCACCTTTCCGGGGGAAACGTGCAAAAAGAATGCTCGCCAAGGGAACATCCATCTCCAGCAGTTTGTCAAACTGAGCAGGTGACGTGCGAAAGTATGAAAAAAATCACTAACGGTGCGATAAAATTCGCTGGAACGTGGCATGTCCAATGGTTTTTTTACGCACACCTTCCATATTTTATGCACAAATAATTTTATTAAAAAGGAATGTAAGTGTTATGCGGACTTTTGTGAAATGCGAACATACATACAATATAATAATAATAGAATTGTACGTCCAGCGCCTTTTGTGCCGGTCTTGGACTGCAGTATCTGCCCATCGACCGCCTACTTTTAGGGCTTGCTTCATGTTTGCCATGAAGTATATGGGATTGAGTACTTCCAAACAAATCGTCTCACATTCAGTTGTCTCACAATCATTTGCTTGAAACGCTTCACCTTGCAGCAAGCAGTTTTGTTCTACACTCACGGCAATCATTTCAAACGTGTGACAAACCGAAGTCTGTGGGGGCCTTAAGTCAGAGTGCCTTAGCCTTAAGCGTTTGTCTGTAGGTACAATGACGAAATGATGAACAAAGCAGGAGGCCTTCGGCGGAAATTTTCTATTCGCTGCTAGCGACATATTGTGTCAAAATGAAGATTAAAACATAATCTTCGCTTCATCATTTCTGGCATCAGTTTCTATCGTACAATAGAGAAATGTCGCGGATTGTCATGATTAATTTGCGTGCTTCCAGGCTATATAAGATAGGCGTTAACAATTTCCGTCGTCGATAAGGGATATAAAAAAGCGGCATCACCTGCTCCTTACTTTTGCTTGTGTGAAAGGTGGGCACTTATACCAGCCAAACAATAAATATGCGGTACTTTGGCGTGTACATATTGCTGGCGGCGGGTGTTCTTCCTGTTCTGGCGGCGGGTTATGCCATACGCAATAAGGACGCCTTGTGGCCCAACAATACCATTCCCTACAAATTCTATGGGCGTGAGACATTCAGTAAGTAACGTGACTACGTGGTAACAAAAGAAACCATAATGTTTCCGAATGTTTCCAAACCATACTGTGTAACCGTAATGTTTCCGAATTCTGACCTTTAGCTGCGAAACAAAAGGATGTTGTTCGGGAATCCATGCAGACGATCAGCCGGCTTACCGGCAACTGTGTGCAATTTGTCGAGCACACAACGGAGGATGACTACGTCGTGTTCAAGAAAAGCTTGTGGTAAGTGTAGTGGAATCGTTCCAACAGTTTTTAAAGCGAAAGGCAATCGCTATACAGATGCCTATTATACCGGGTACATCTTTACGAGTACTGCATGCTCGTCTTGCTTAAACAGGAATAATTAAACGAGAAATAAATATCAATGGATTATTAATTATTTCGCTAAATTAATATCTGTGTTTCTTTAACGTTTAAATTCAAATCATTTTACGTAGTATTACGCGAATGCATATTTTGTTATATTGATGGCCTTTTTGCCCAATAAAGATAGTTATATTGTGTTTAAGAACAGCTACCGAAAACTGAATGATTATACAGGTGCTCATCCATGGTGGGGCGTCAGCGTGGCGAACAAGACGTATCCTTATCCACGGTCTGCTTGACCAGTCACCGAGAACCCTTACGCCAACTACTGCACGCGCTGGGATTTTATAACGAACACACACGCTCGGACAGAGACGAGTTCATTACCATTAACTGGGACAATATCCGCGACGGTAAGTTCGCATTGCTCTATTTTGCTGCAAGGGCTTTATAACAGTCAGTATACGTCGTACATAAATTGAAATATGTTTATTATTGCTAATTTTTTTAACTTTACCATATTCGTATATTAGTCATTATTTTTTCCTCAAGTATACTAGCTGATTCCAATATTGATAGATTTAAGAAACGTTTTCGCCATTGTGCCGGATGGAGACACGCTGGGTCTGCCGTACGATTATCGCTCTATTCTGCATTATCCCGTTCATGCCTTCGCCACCGATCCGCGTATTCTCACCATCGTGCCCAAGTTCCCAAAGGTCACCGATGTGGGAACGCACGACGAATTGAGCGCTCTCGATGTAATGATGATCGAGAGACTGTACGGGTGCCCGACAGCGGAGGAGAAGGCACCTGTTTCAACATGGGACGAATTGGTGAATGTTGCATAAATGGCAGGAGGGTGGAGCGGGTTCCGGTATTGCCAAGAGAATTACAGCCAAATACATACATACTTACCTTGTCTTTCAACGTATAAGAAACTCTTGTAATGTCGTAGTGCATAAAGTACCGCTGATTTGAGAGTGTGGGTATATTATTTGCAAATTGGTGACAGCTTTTGTAACAAGTAAATATTGATTGGCTACTATACTCGTATACATTAATTATAAAACTATGATGTCGTAGCAAATTAATTTGCTTTTGGCCGGGCTTACTTTGACATCCGTGATATACGTCCTGTACACAGTGTACAGCACACGTGGTCTTCTGAAATAAGCCGTCATGTGTCGACACCTTCTTTCTACGAGCATATCATGACAATAATCAATAAATATGTAGAAGTGTACTGTATTACTGTACTGTACTGTTTGTGCAATATTATGTACCGGATAACTGTTACTGTATTTTTAAAACTTGCCAAGGGCTCCATGCCGTTATGGGCGGATCTGGAAGCATAATACATGGTTAATTAATTTTACATAGTAATAACGATCGCTAACATGCCAATGTTTTGTGGCGCCGTAACATTCCCATGCTCAGTGATTCAGCAAACACCGCGCTGTATAGAATAAAGTTATGTAAATCCTGAAGTATTGCTCCAGTTTTACCTTCTGCCTGTTTTCGATCTCATACATAAAAAAACATGCTGCACCGGTACTTATGAAAACCTTTTACGATTAGTCTATCGAACCAACAACAGGCGCAATCTTATAATGTCTGCACTGTTTTCAAGGAGGGGCTGCAGCACGCCGGTACTCGGAAGATTTCACCGGCCGATATGCGCGTCCGATGCTGCTGGCTGTTGACCTATATGAATTTGCATTTGTTCAGTGGATTGGGTAATATCTGTATAGTAAACCTGTGGAACTGCGATACATGTCTCGGCTAATACCACGGACCACGGGAAATACTGTGAATGCGACCGCAATTCAGTGGTTGCAAAAATAGAATTAGCACCAAACTTCACCACGTCCTTAATCGTACATATGCGGTCCGTATTTGTATTTTGTAAATTCGTAGTGCTAGTTTATCAGTTGACGTACCTCTACAGAGCGCACGCCTTATTAATACGTTGTTGGGATCGCAAAATGCCCCACAGTATCGGCCTTATACTGCAATTCCTGGCGCTTACCTTTCTATGTGCGTTAAAATTGGAATGACCTTTAGATATGCATAATTCGTATTAAGAAATATAAAAATTTACCCGGAAATATTTGACGTACCAGCATAATTATGCGTAAAGAATTGCAACTTATATTTTATGGAATCATTCAGTGCATGAAGTGGATTACATACTAATGATGTTGCGATTGCATCACAGATTGCCGAGTTTTGTGCCAACCGTACGGTACATTTTATCCCCCAGGACCTCCACCTCCCGGGAACAATGTCCCGTACGCCAGTCCGGCACAGCCATATCAATGTTTACGTGTTTTACCCAATTTTATCCCTGGTGCTTATGTAACGGTGCAGCCGGAACAGGTGCTTATAAATTGTTTAATTTCCATACAAACCGTTCCAACTTACTTATGCCGGTAACTTAACTATAGGTGTATAACAATTATATTGGCTATATGTATTGTACATACATATACAATTAATGATAAACTGTAGTATTAAACTATAAAATTGTGTTCAGTTTCACTTGCGGGTACCTACAGTAATTAACTCGCGGCGTTGTACATATAAAGGTCACTTCCTAATTTACGTACGCACAGAAAGCGACGAACTGGTGGTAACAACTTCTTCTTCAATTTTGCAGTTTCTGGGAAAATGGTACTTTTATCGTAACAACAATGTGTACGGTCCGGTCGCCGTCAACGGTGTTCTCAACTACCATTTCATTGTCAAAGATTACAACATCATCTTGAACCAGCCGGCAGTCGCCTCGTGGGTGTCGGCCGACTGGCATAATTCCACGAACGCCGCACCGGCCAACTCCACTACCATAACCTGCGATTCTTTGATTTTTGTGGGGAAAATTATGATCACCGGCTTATTCGATGGATTCCTGTGGTCAAACGGCGAAGGGCCTCCCGGTAAATCGAAATGCTCTTGTCAGGGTGATAGCGAAAAAGTTACTAACCTAAATAAAGTTTCATTTGAAAATTAATTTTTTGAGTTAAATATATGTATCATCCATTATTCAATGGCGCCATCGGCAAATCCAGGAACCATTTTAACTACCTAACAGTCTACATTTCTGAATGTTTTTTGATTATTTTTAGTAGTAGTACGTCGTTTAAACCATAATTATTATTTGGGTCGGTTAAAATAGAATAATTATTTGAGTCGTGAGGTGCACGATCGAAGGATATCATGATCGCAGTAATTCGTGATCAGGTGTTGCGTTCGGCATCATGATCCGCAGCATACGAGTTACGTAGTGCATTGCCAATAACTAAGTATCCATGCTACCATGTCCAGTTATTGTGCTATCCCATGCGAGGAATTTCTATGCGCTTGTAATTTCATTGTCAAATTTTTAGTTTATTACTGTAATTTAATTATTAACACGATAATTGCTTAGTAAATTCTCTTTTCATATTTTTTAGAATAATTATTAAAAAAGACAAAATTTTTACAGCGGTTGGTATATATCAGACTTTATACATCGAGCCTCGTCTGTTCTACATCAAATACAGCTGTGGTCAGGTGAATATACGGACCGGCAACTGCGATCAGCCACAGTTCCAGATCAACACGCGCATCCCCTGGAATAAACTGGACGCCCAGGCTCTCTACCGCATTGACGGGATTATCGACGCCGTGCTGGCACCCTACTGTCGCCGGTCGGCGGATCTCACCCGGTATCCCCAAGGCGCCGATTTAGCGGAGTGTCCGGAGCCGGCGCTGAGCGGATGTGCCCTCGAAATGCAGCAAGGCTACTTAAACGCCGCCACACGACGTTGTCCAAGTTGTTAGCGATTTCTTATGACCCTCGGAAGTCCTCTGATGGACTAAGTCTCAACAACAAAAACGGGGCGAATTTATCTGTTAATTTAATTAATAACTATGAACCTTGCAGTTTAAATAATGTAATTATTCTTGCGTGAACATTTTCTTTCAATTTTTTAAACTACTGCGAATATTAATCATGATAAATAAAAAAATCATTCCAAATTTTAAACCGATTTTGCATTTGGGAAAAAATATTCTGTGTACCATCATTGCTATGCGTCGATTCGTCGAAGCGTGCAGCGTAAGTCTTGAGCTTTTTCGTAACAGAGAAAAATAATACTGATGGTTAGAAACATTAATGGCAGAAAAAATATAACGAAATGTCGCAGATAAATGATAAAATTATCGTTTTATTATCGTCTTCGTTTTCTCCAGCATATCATAACCGGTCGCCCATGTAAACACCCCCGCTTTCACCAACTCCGCGTTTTTCTTCAACAAATTCACCAACTGAAACCGCTGCCGTGCAAAAACAAAATCCTGCGGACGCAACCGTAAACTGGGACAGTAATCGTTCTGCCCATCACCCACAAATATCACACAATCATAGAGACATCCGTCATCCAGCGGCTTCAGCAACTCTTCCGCTGCGGACGGCACATCTTCCTGTTGGGCGTTGGGATAGCAGAGCCGGCGCAATACAGCGCCTTTACAGATATTCCGTGCGCTTAACTCGCACCAGGTGTTGGTGTGATAAAACGCAATGTGCATCCGGTCCGTGTCGTCGATCCAGGCCGGGTTGGTGTGGATGCGGCCGGTGAAGACTTCCAGGAGGTGGTGGGCCTCCAGGATCCACGGGATGAAGAGACCGTTGGCGTCGGAGATGATCGCGCAGTCCACGATGTCTCTAAAAATTACGGCAGTGCAAATACCACAAACACAAAACCACAAATGAAAATACTACAAGAAAAACTGATTAACATATCAATTACTGCTAAGTTTCACACACGTGGACCGATGTGGTTAATTCTACTATTTATACAATATGGGAGTGGAGACTGACCATACCGCGAGAGTTTATATCCACTGCACTACGCTTTTTTATGCAAATATCAATTTTCACCATTTTCTAACACGGAGAAATTGCTAAATTGCATTGCTAAATTTACTGCATGACTCGTGAAGATGATGAGAACCACCCGGCCAGTGGCTCATCGATTACTATTAAATTACAGTTTAAATCAAAATTTTAACTCAAACTCAATTAAAGAAACAAATCTAACAACTCTAGCATCGAAAACGATGTGCGGGCACACTGCGACCGCCACGGGAAGTTTATACTTCGCAACGACATAATATTATTAAGTACTCGTAGTATTACTGTAAATAATGTAAATTTAAAGTTTTTTGGACCTACTTACTTCCTTGTAGTTCCTACAGTCTACCAGAAAACCTACGTATACCCAGGTTTTACATTCTAATTTCAAAACTCACTTGTTGGTGGACAGAAATTCCAAAAATTCCTTGACGCCTTCCACCAGCGGTACGCGCTCCTGGTGCTGGTGTATCGCTGCCGTGGAGATTCCAAGAGAGTGCAGGTGCCCGTAAATGGCATCCATGTATTCCGTCCAGCCTTTTTCGCCCCGTACGTCCTCGATCTCTTCGGGTAAAGGGGTATCCAGAAGGGACAGAATAAAGGTGTCAGAGTTATCATTGACGATCGTGTGGTCGAAATCGAAGGCAACGAGGATACGCTTGTTGCGCGCAGCAGTATCTGCACGAGGCAGAATCTTCGCGGATTCCATGAGTTCTAAGTCGTGCGCAGCAAGATTAGTGCCCTTGGTGCGACACAGATTGTGAGCAGCGCTGACTGATCAGATTCCCACAAGGCCATAAGTATAGCTAAGAAAACGTAAACGGTAAATCCAGAGAATATGGAGGTTTTCTTTCTCACTCCTAATTATAAACCGAAAGTCCTGCATAACAACATATCTGTCCTATCTGTACAGTACTTAGGTATTGAATTTGACATATGATAATTCTAACTGCTAAGAAATAACCTGATTGCAGGATCAATCCATAAAATATCAGCCCATTTCATTCGGGCAAACGTAATAAAACAGTAAAATAGAAAAAAATGTTTGACAAATTAAAATATTCAAAGTTAAAAACTGACTTTTAATAAGCATCACATACAAGTACATACTAAGTACTAAAACAAAATTCATAACAAAAACACTTCTTCAATGCTATCCTGCTCGGGGATCGTACCCATGACACATAACGCGTTTCCCCGTTGCATTTGAATAGATAGCCGCTGTCTAAAAAACTCTTTTGCCCGCTTCTGGCCTGTGGCGGAAGCCATGCAGTTGCCGACCTTCCCCACGAGTTTTTTCGTTCCGCCTCCCCAGGGTCCGTAAATTTCCAAGGCGGCAGCTACTAGATTGTATCTTGGTTGTAGCCAGCCGTGTTTCGACAGTTTTCTTCTCTCCGCCTGCTCCGCTGCTGCACCGACGCACACGGAAGTACGGTCGATATACGACGCGGCGAGTGGGTCCACGCAGGTTACGTCAATAGCCAGTGGTTTTCCCCGCTCCCACGGGACGAGGGTAATCACATCTGGCCGTTTTTTATCTTTCACGGACAGACCTTTTGGCTCCATTCTGGCCGGAAAACCTGCGGTTTTCAAAGCACGGGTGAATTCTCCACTGATTCCATCGTGTCGTGGCAGCCTCCAAGCTGACCGTTTGCAACGGAGCCCGTGACGGCCCAGCTCGTCGACCAGACTGCCGCAGACGCACACGTGAGGAGTGACAATAGGAGCTCCCAGACGCAACGCCACACTTATACGGAAGGCGTTGTTATCCAACAGGTTACCAAGGCACGCTGCGGGCAACGCATGGATCCACACACCGGATTCCGGCGCTGACACCGCCTTCAGGTGAGCGACTTCCTCTTTTGAGACCCTTAACGCGGCCAGCTTTGATAAGGCGTTCAGGGTCGCAGGTGTGTCCCAGGCTTTTTGGACGTGGCGCAACGCTAGGGGCGGAAGTTCATCTGTTTCGGTTAACGCTTTCCAGGCACACGTGGCGGATGTCAAATCCGTAGCCGTTAGCTTCGGGCACAGTCTGGAAATCAGCGGGTGCAACGAAGAAGCCGATGCCAAATAGGCAGAGGGAGCTAGCTTCTCCGTGCGTCTGATCCCCAAACCGCCAAAGCGAACGGGAAGGGAGGCTTGCAGCCAGGTCGGGTGGTCCATTCGTACATTCGTAATGGTCTCCACTGCTTCGCGAAACACCTGATCGAGTCTGTACAGCTCTTTTGGGAACATCCAGGCCAGTGACGTGCGCAAAACATGGACGATTTTCGGCACCGCCAGGCAATTCTTCAGTAGAAACAGGGCTTGGTGCTTGGGTATCAGCTGAAGTCGGCTGCACATAACTTCCAGCTGACGGATCTTCTCGTCGATCATCGGAACTACTGCGGCTGGCAACAGAGGAGATCCGAGTAGGCTCAGTTTTTCCGCCGAAACAATAGCAATGCCGGGAAACAAACCGGCAAAGTATTCAAAGTGAAACACTGAAAATCTGGGTGATTGAAAATTTGCGCGCAGTCAGAGCAGCTAGCCGCCATCCGGTGGTGGCTCCTCGGCTGTTACATTCCACTGCCAAACAGTTTTAATAATACAGTAATATTGTCTATTAAATGGCGGATGACATATGGACATATGCATCCGGTAGCCTTTACTGTAAACATTCAGCAGGCATCCGTACTTCTATACTCGTACGTAGTTGGCAACACCGGAGGACTTAAATCAACAAAAAAAATCCATCTCGATTCACGCGCACGGGAACACATTAATTTTGTCAAAACCTATAACAACTCAAACGACAAACGCTGAAATAAAAATAAACAAAGAAGACTAAAACAGCAGCTAATCTCTTTAAATACAGCAACAGCAGCTTTGCATCACGAACAAAATTAAAGACGCGCGGAAAATAACAACAAACACCAACAACGGTGCATGGTTACAAGGACTCCTACTGTGTCGCTCCTTTTGGACATTTTCCGTCTAATTTCTGAGCAAAGGTTCAACAATCGGCCGGCTATGGCCGAAAAATCAATTGATGGTCGCTGAATCGTAACTGCAAACAGTTTCAGACTTGGAGACAGTCCAACTCAAAGCGTTTCCGTGAGGACCAGTCAATACTACAATTTACGAATTAAATTAAACCGTTTTCGTTACTTATTTTACAGATACCGAGTATCGACATACCGCACTGTATCTGTAACTCCAGTCTCCAGTGGTTTTGCAATATGTCGTAGTATATAAATGAATACTTCAACGGTTCCACCATCTACTTAATTTTTATCTGTTTAGTGTATTTATTGCTTACCAGGGCACATTTTCCGGGTCCAAATTCAGAAAATTCTCATCTTTTGCAGGAAAGTAGTTTATACCCATAGTATAATTAAAAAAATTATTTCATGTGCTGCATGACACTCAAGGGCGTGGCCAGAATAAATAAATAAATACCATAATACTACGTACTATTACGATGCGCTGTTTTTGCAGTACTCGTGCAGGCTGCTTTCGTACTGTACTAATAACCGTGAAAAATCTCCTGTTTTGCTGAAGGATGCGAGTACTGAACGACTGCGAAATGTTTAAAAAATGATTTTATGTGCAAAATAATGTTAATAAGGCGCCGCCCATCATTACAAATTTACAAAAATCGACTACGAGATACAGATACAATAGCTCTGCAGGTATTCGATCACATTTTCATGCATATTTCGTTTTTATGGGCTGACTATCTTCTGATAACTATATTGTTTCAGGTTTACTATGCCGCGTATCCGTGCTTTGAGTCTTGAGAGAATAAGACACAAGATTTGTTTGTTAATTAATAAAATTTCAGAAACATAATGTTGTCATTACGTTTGCCGACCATTTAGCTGCAATACTACAGTAGTGTACTCGTACCTGTAATCTATTTTTAAAACTGTTATTCTGGGCGACGCCCTCTGCACATGCAATTAATTTTTTAAGCATTTCGCATTTGTACACTACGAGTACCGTTCGGCAGAAGACTACATAAACGGCCTGTACAGTGCATTGTAATAATTGTATGTAGCGTTATGGTGTTCATTTATTTTTTCTGGCCACGCCCATGAATATCAGCGCATGAAATTATTTTTTTAATTACACTATGGGTATTTACTAATTTCCTGCAAAAGATGGGAATTTTTTTGAATTTGGACCCGGAAAATGTGCCCTGGTTAGTGGTGTACAATTGTACGTGTATCGTATCTCACCAACAGAACAACTGATTGTACAAAACGGGAAACATATAGATATATATGTTTCCCGTTTAGTACGTATATACGTACAGTTCACCAGTGAAGTTCACCAGTGTGATCGTAAGTTCTAACTAGGCGCACATGCAGTAGGAGTAGAAGGTCACAGGAAGACATTCTATCCATGCAAGGTTGTATCATATCCCACAATTTGGATCAACAAACTTTCTAAAAGTTGTTTGCACAACGATTTCCGCTTGCTCGAATAAATATAATTGACTAAAATCGTACTGCATCAATTCTCAATCAATTTGGGGTAGATAACGAACGTCCCCGTTTTCGGCACGATAAACGTCACTAACCATCCTGACCAATCTTATAGTTCGGCTTATTGACCTTTGTTGATACTCTGATAATTGGTCAAAGCTCCGCGAAACTTTTTCCTTGTTATTTATGGGCGCTACGAGGAGGTCAGAATGATACGATGGCCCCGCAAATACTACAATCTTTCTTCTTTGTTCGAGTAATGCGAGTGAATGCTGATTATTGTGAGCGGCGAATTTTGCCTAACGTTAACGGTATGTTAGACGACGTCGCAACCCGATTTAAACCGGCACGCGACAAGGTACACGACAGCACTTTTTACACCTAAGGTATGGTTCAGCAAAGTGTGCTTTCTGATTCTAGTGTCGACATGAAATTTTATTACAGTTTATGGTTGCTTTTAGCAGCAGCCAGTACTGCAACAATAAGCTGTTCACAGACTGCGATACCATGGAATCGTACCGGCTTCTCTTTGGCCCAGAACATTTACAGTGTGCGCAGCCTCCTGGATGTCGCGATGTACGTCGGTACCGGATATGACCTTTTGCACGGCAGTCCTGATGGAGCCAGCTTAACCACCGGCGGTATGGACCCCGGTCTGAAGGTAGCGAAGACCGTCTTGCATCAGACCAAGCAGCCAGAAGGCTGCATTGAAGAGGCCAACTGCGTCCAGTTCGATACGTCCTTCACGGATCAGGTCTTCTCCAGTGACATCGATTTTCGATCCTACCAAGAGTCTCATGATTCTTCGTGGAATATCGAGGGCGAGGTCGGCTTCTGGATCTTTAAGGCGCGCGGCCGGGCCAGCAAGACTGCCAATGAGCTGGTGGATGAATTTCAGAAGTACGAGAACATTGTGCTTAACGTGCGCAATCTGACCAACTACGGAGAAATCGCCTATAGATATCATGAGCACCTGCGCTTGTCCAACAACTTCATGGCGGCCGTGTGTCAGCTGCCCAGTGACTACGAAGAAGGCCCGTACTTGTCGTTTATCAAGGAATGGGGTACCCATGTGGTGATCAGCGCCAAAATGGGGAAGCGCGTAACATCACGGAAGATTATTACAAAGTCGGAGTACACAAAAACGGTCATGGAAAATTTCACGTAAGCAGACATGTTGCAAACAAATGCGCAGTATACACTACGCAAGAGGAATCCACTTTACGTATGTTCATTATCGGCACCTCTGCTATAAGAACCCCCGCGAGAACAAACGTTGCTTTACGAAAGGCTTTCGCATTACTACTACAAACCTACAGAACATTTGTACTGTGACCTCGAATATCTTATTCATATACGAGAAATTATTGAATTTTCACTAGAGCACAAAGCCGCCTTACCTACTCCCTTTCCGCTGTATCTGAGTCTGCGACAAAAACAATATTCTTTACTTGCAGGTCCAGTGATTCGGGGTCGCTGAACCTGGGTGTGTTTGCCTCGGCCAGCATGTCCAGCAGCCTCAACTCCAGAATGATCGACACGGTAATGTCCGCCACAAATAATTCCTACACCAGCCACCTGATCATCGGCTCGGAAGAACGCCCGGCTCCCATAACCTTTGCGCTGCGGAAAATGGATTATTTTCTGGATATGCGGTATCTCCGCAATTCTGCACAATTCATCGGCAGATGTCCTCTACTCGACGATAATCGTAATCAAACCATCCGCGTTAAACAAATTATGGCGAAAGCTATCGAAGACTATCCTAAATTATCCAATATCAATCCCGATGAACTAGCCGAGGTGAACCGAACCTTTGAGCCCAGCTGGCCTAAAGGACAGTACTCGTTGCTGGTGCCGGATAGATTCCGGTGCCCAAAAGATTGGGCGAGCGGATACCGCAATTTGACACTGTACATGCCGCGACACCATGCAGCGTCCCATGCACCAGGAGGGTATATGGAGAACCCGTACGGCTGGGTCGGGCTCATGTCATCCGGATACGGATTTTGCAGTATTTGGATGGCCAGTTTCTGCACGAAACGGACGGAGAGAGCACAGAACGGTGGCCCGGCGTACTGGCAGCGCGGTTCGTACTGTGTGTTCCGCAAAGGCGGGACGTGTCCCAGCAGTTTCCCAGGCGTTGGTAACATGTCCGTATCCTACAAGGTACATGTGACTGGCGTCATTACCGCGACCCAGCCCTTCTCGCATAAAACTTCCGGCAATACACCTGATGGAACCTTTACCACGGCCTCGACACACCTGAACTTCTGCTGCCGCGACGATGGCCCGACCAACACCCCGCTCTATTTACCGAGCGATTCACCCTTTACATTGCTTCCTATCGGCAAAGTCTGTCAAGAGGTTTCCGGTATGACGGCCAGACTGAAATCACTGACTACATCGCACCAAAGCATAATAGTATGGGTTCCTACGCCCAATACGGAACGAGTTATTCCGACCGTTATTACATTTGTGACTTTTTCCCAGCCAGCTCCCTATTCCGAAACCAGCAACACCATCGGCGAAAACACTTTAGAACAGACTATCTATTTTTGCGAATACGAAAAACACGAGACAACCTAATTGCCATATGGCGACTGTTTCTTTCGAAGGGAAACGTGTGTTGTGTGGAACTTGTCTTACTGAGCATTCTTGCATGCACTCGAGACAGATGTATTCTGTGTAGAAAACTGTTGCCACATACTGCGTTTATACTCGGCTAACCTTAAAAAATGTATCATCAGTCGTGCGCCAGCTTTAAGGATAACTGCGAGAAAACGGAATCGTTTATTTCGAATTGCTTACATAGAATATTGCGATTACAACAGTAACTGTACAGTATATCTGCGGTCAATTTACTCTGTACCGCGCAGTTTTCAAAATTTACATAAGAGTACATAATTTACATATTTACATAAGAGATTTCGCAAGTTATTTCCTTCGCCCATTCCTTTATCACGATAAGCTCCATCGCACACCATTGGTTGCTCTCGTTGCCACTTCCAACGTGTTCTCCATCCAGATGTATTTTCCGAAATTGTACCAGTCCGTTCTGGAATCTGAGTTCTGGATAAAGCTCAGTGCTGGCACTGCATCAGGAAGTAACGCATAGTGCTGGGCAAAACATAATAAAACATTTTAATAAGAATATGCACTAAAATGACAAAAAGGCGTTAACACGATAGCATATTTAAAATCACAATAACTAACGCAAACGCCAGTATTTGGAGTTTGGACTTGACCATTCATTTTATCAACTTTTTAAATAAGTAGCAAGCGCTGGTACATTCTTGATGGTTAAATTTTAAACATTAAAAAAACCACCAAAGTCTCTGTCCTCTCTCGGGTTAAAAGGTAATCTACTCAAAATATCCGTAGCATTTCCTTATCAACAACCGAACTTTTAACGGCCATGAAGTTTACTTTTAACGGCCAGATTTTGTTAAATTTTCCTCGATGTCACGCATTTCCCCAGGCGCTCCATTCCTTGATAAACGACAAGTACGGGCCTTCTTCGTAGTCATTGGGCAGGTGACACACGGCCGCCATGAAGTTATTGGACAAGCGCACGTGTTCATGGTAACGATAGGCAATTTCTCCGTAGTTGGTCGGATTACGCGCGCTGAGAACAATGTTCCCGAACTTCTGAAATGCCACCACCAGCTCTTTGGCAGTCTTGCTGGCCCGGCCGCGCGTCTTAAAGATCCAGAAACCGACCTCACCCTCGATCTTCCATGACGAATCATGCAATATATATGAAACTCTTGGTAGGAGCGAAAATCGATGTCACTGGAGAAGACCTGATCCGTGAAGGATGTATCGAACTGGACGCAGCTGGCTTCTTCAATGCAGCCTTCTAGCTGCTTGGTCTGATGCAAGACGTTCTTCGCTACCTTCAGACCGGAGTCCATACCGTCGGTGGTTAAACTCGCTCCATCGGGACTACCGTACAAAAGATCATATCCGGTACCGACGTACACCGCGACATCCAGGAAACTGCGCGCGTTGATCCCATGGTGTAACACTCTGTGAGCCGAGGACTGCCGCAGTGTTAGCTGATGCTATTAAAAACAGTAAACACAGCACCGGCATGATGGAAAGCCGTGGTTGCAAGAACAGGGCTGCGTTAACCGCTGCACCTGCTCGTGTGCCACGGTTTAAATCGTGTTGGGCGTAATTTCGAGTACACTTTGCAAATCCTCGCACACAATCAGTACCCTGCATTAGCAAGAAGATTGTAATGTTTGTGGCGCCAACACCGTGACCTTGACCTCACTTTAAGATACAGTAACAGGAACTGATGTACTTGTGCAAAAGTTTAAAAGGTTCTGGGAGTTATTTGCATAATTATTTGGACTTAAACAAATAAATATTGACCAGAAGTGCATGCGTGTTTATGACTAATTTTTCATCAGTTGCATTAGATAACGGATGCCTCCGTTTTCATCATGATAAGCGTTAAACACATATTTGTAGCCAGACGTCCCATTGCTCGGCTTGTTGACTTGATTGTTGTTGCGGCTGTATGCCTTTCCCAGTTAACGAATAAAGGAAGCATTCAGTTTTGCAGGTGAAAGTGCAAAACCATTAGCAAGTCGCTGGAGTTGCACGGTAGCCGTAAAGATAACGAAAGCGGTTCATTTTGTACAGCCGGTGTTAAGGGCATTACGATTTTGGCACTTTTTTCGTTTCATTTTAGAATTCATCTTAAAATTCGAGCAAAATGATGTAAGTGTGGGGGAATCATTGAGCTACAGAATGACATAAATCGCTACAAAAAAAAGTCTGGAAGTGTGCGAAAGCGAAAGTGCACGAATTTGGTGCCAGCTCTTTGCCATGAGCACTTCTGATTTTCGTTGCACCGAATACGGTAGTTAAATTCTAGAGTACTACTGCACTACAAGTCTACAACAGCTGCGATTACAACGAAATACAGTCCTGGACTCATGCAGGATCCATTTTGCCGCTTGATCACAGCTTAGAAAAAGGAAGGGACCTCTTCACAACTTTTGCGCAAAAGTTGTGAAGAGGTCCCTCATAGGAAAAATGTACTGCCTTATACGATTGATTCTAATTAGGCCAAATCGGGTAACGGATTCTTATTCGATTCGGGATATGCACTTCTCCATGGCTACAGTACAAACCGAGCTACAGAGTAGCGGTACGACATCTCACGATCAGCCAGAAATCTGCAGTAGTATCGCGTGTACTGTACCAGTTCGTAAAAGTTGAATGTTGTTTATGAATTACAGTATCAAAAGCGTTCCGCGTAAACAGAGCTCGCAAGTACACGTACAGTAGAAGTACTACCGGTAGTACTGGAAGGAGCAATTTTTATTACCTTCGTACATGAGAAACCAACATACCGGTAAGTGAAAACAATACTGATAGTTAAGATTATTTTACGACATCGGACATACTTAAGTACGTACTCGTGGTAAGTGTCTGGCCTAACACTTATGGTTGTGTTACTAATTGTAAGTACCAAGTAAGTATTTCGCACGTTTCGTGAGCAGCAGCAAGCATGTTGTACTTTGTAGCACTCTTTCAGTTATGTAAGTTGCCTGTTTGTAATTCCAAATAAAGTGTAGCTCCTCGCACTAAATACTGTGCACCATAAAAATTAATACTGTATACCTAACTACGTGTGTAGTGCAATATAAAGTATGTGCAGTGTCTGCACGACGTGTGCGTACAATACACAAAATTTATGTGGGCAAGAAGCACCAGGAATTAAATATTTTGATTTTATTACTTACTTATTACCTACTCAACTTTCATCATGCAGCTTACAGTCATAATTGTACGGTAATTCCGTTGTACTATACTCGTACAACCATACTTATACTGTGAGTACAAAGCAGAATGAACGAGCATACAATTGTCGTGCACAAAGACTTCGGTAAGAAAACATTCACACACGTACTATGCGGAAAATTATAAAGAGAATTTTTATGTACCTCGTGTCATATACTTAATTTGCTGCGTAAATAGATCTTTTTACTTGAAAATTAACCGGAACAGAGTAAAAGAGTCAAGAAACTTCGTAATATACATCTTATTAGTGGCTTTTATTCAAAATGCGCGTTACACAGCGCGACCCCCGCCGTCCCACCGTCTCCCGCGCAGGCACCCATCCCCCGCTTTCCGGGCGGCGGAGGCCGCCGCTCCCCAGCCGAGCCCCAGCGTCCCTTCGCCATGCTCCTGACTCAACCGCCCACCCACGCCGCACCCTTTCCCGCCACGGTGGAGATAATGACGCCCAACCAGTGGCTGCATATCCGTCATCTGGCCCAGCCGCCGCTGTACACGGCCCACACATGTGCGGACCACGACGACGATCCCTTCAGTAAGCTGGTGGTGACAACAAGTCCGGACGGTGCCAGACGGCGGACGTCCCTCGAGGAGCAGCGCGCGCCCCCTGAGGGGTACAGTCTGAGCGATGTGGATCTGTCGGGGGCGGATGGGCGTGGCAATTATCAGGGCGAGGTCACGACGGCGTGTCACGAGATGGCCGTTAAGGATCGGATGGCGATGGAGTCGGCTAAGCTGAAAGCCACCTGGAGGAATCTCCACAAGGTGCTTTTAAACTTGAATCACTCTGACTTTTTATTGCCACCGTAATTATTAAAGTAAAGCATTTTAATACTAATTTTTGCTTTTTTATAATTATAACGACGCAAAAAATAGTTGTAATTATTTTGCATTTTTAAAGATGCATGACCTTTATCCGCAGATTGCAGTCGAATTACTGCGTTTTTTACGTCGATACGTTTTTACTTTTTAAGAAATTAGATGATTAGCACAGAAAGTGCTTATTTATCCCGTTTGACGCAGGCTGATCCGGAAAAAGAATTACGGATAAATCGAGAAAGGTTAGACGATCTCGACAAAGATAACATAGCCGATCTTCAGAAGCACACCGCTGCCCGCGCCTTCGAAATTCTGCAAAAAGCTCGCAACACCGCTTTCAACAACCGCGATGAAATTAAAACTCTAAAGGTCATAAATTTTATTCGCCTCTTTTAGCTCAACGGCATATAACAATCGTCATAATTATTTCCTAAATTTAATATTAACATACTGTCCGTCGCAAGTATGTAAATATGAGTAGAAAATCGATTAAATATTGTGTTGAAATGTCTGACAAAATGCAGCGCGCTCTAATGGAAACCGACGCCCTAAACAGCCACACTGCCCAATCAACACTTTCCGCGTGCATTAAATGCCGGCAGGACGCTCGTGATCAACGCATCTTCCAGCAAATGATCGACCACGATAACGCCCTCGTGGAAAAGGAGCGACAAGAAGCGGCGGAACGCAAACAACAATTATGGGCGGACGGCGAGGAACTGCGGGAATATTTGAGCGGGCATCGACCGGTGCATGAACCTCCGTTGCGGCATGATTTCGGCTATATACACCGGCAGGCGCAACATATCCGGGAGCATAATGAAGAGCTGGAGAAAGAGCGACAAATGGAGGAGGCAGAACGGGAGGTTGCTAAAGGTCACTTTCGCAAGTTACTGGATGAACAGCGTCGGCTGGATGACGAGGTTAGAAGAAAGGAGGACGAGGAGGAGAGTGTGCTAACGATGATGAGAAGGGCGTTTATTAAGGAACAGCTAGAGAAGATCATCCATAATAATGAATATGAAGCCCAGTTAGAAAGGTGACACTGGCATAAATAAGCGCAAATTAGATTATACGTGTAACAAAAATTATATTTAATGTCACAAAATACATTTTACAACAAAAATGACTACCATAAAAGAAAATAAATTATTTCAACGAGATTTTCTACGTGCAAAATACATAAGCGCAAAAAATTTAAAAAAAATCGAATTAATTTTGAACTACATTATTTACTGGTACAAAATTAGTGTTGCAAGAATGATGACAAATTTTATAATAAAAAACAATATTTGTGTGGTGTTCGGAAATAGGGATAAAGTGGATAAATCGTCAATTATCGTCCAACTGGCGGAAGAGCGCCGCATCGCCGCCGAAGCGATTCAGCGTGAATGGGACGATGCCGCCGGTGCCAAATCTAAGGAATATTTGGACAAACAGGATGCAATCTTGGCAGAAAAGTTGAGAAAACGCCAGGAAGACATCGACGACTGCACACGACAACGAGGCCAACAAGTCAGTCCGCCAAATAATTTCCGCTCAACAGATGATTTTTTAATAATTTATTCCTTATTTCCGATGTGTTTGCTGCTTGTGCTTTTTAAATTGTACATGTATGTGCTCTAGGTTAAAGACGCGGCTGAAATGAACGAGCTGGAAAAATCTCTAAAACAGCAATTCGCCGAAAAAATCATCGCCGACGTCGCAGCATTTCACGGAGAAACCAAAGAAAAAGAGGAGGAAGCGAAAAAAGGGAGAAAAGATTGGAAGAACATCTGGCAGCAACAGAAAGTAAGCTACTACATAGCACATGTCTGATTTTTCGCTTTGGTCTAGAAACCAGTAAAAAAATTAAAATACAGTATCAGCAATTAAACCGCAGCACTTAATAGCATACTTAATTTTTATCAATCATACTGAACTTATCATACTTAACTTATCAATGACGTTTAAAGTTTTAATTAAGATTAAGATCCTAATTTTTTTGATTCTTTCCAATTTTAAATTTTTTTCCGGAACAGCAGGCATTTTCTGCGTTGGATTTTATTTATCAAATTTACTGTACACAGTACAACGTAAATCCCGCGATTTGAAAAATGCAAAAAATACAAAACACCAAAAACGCATAAAAATGGTAAGACAAACTTAATCAGAATACTTCACAAGAGCTGCCTTTTACCCAGGCCGAGCGCGACATCCGCGACGCCGCCCTCCGCCATGCCACCGACCAGTACGCTCGGGACCTCCGCCAACAATCCCAGCAGCACAAGCACGATTTCCTCAGACACGCCCACCACCTGATGGCCCACCGCCAGCAGCAGGACCCTCGCAACACCGTCAAACCCCTGCAGCGAGCGGTGGAGCAGATCCTCCCGACCTTTCCCTAACCGGCGGCTTATTTCCGTTTGGGCGCCTGTTCGAGGCGGTGGAGGTAGAGACAGTCGTCGATGAGGAAGCGGTACCACAGCAGCGGCAGCGGGATGGTCCCTAGATGCCACAGAGAATGCGCGTCGAAGGTCCAGAGGAACGGCGGGAAGTCGAGGAGTTCCAGAAGCATCAGGGCGTCCACGGCGAGGACGCTCAGGGCGCATTTCCAGACGGAGCGCGGGACACGGGCGTGGCGGTTGGTGAGGGCGACGGTGATGCAGAATAACAGCCACCCCAGGGAGTTTAGGACACCTGCAAGTGGATAAGCGTTTTGATAGGCGATGTTTAATGAATTTTTAAAAAAAAATCGACTTCGGCAAATGCACCTTCTTTGCCTGTACACATTTTTCATTTTGGAAAACGTGAACAATTCACTACAGGCATGAAAATAAATTATTTAATATATTATTATTTCATCATTATTTCGATTAAAACACTAGATACTTATTCAGCCTATGCTGCAGGAATTAAAAAAACAGACGAAAAATTTAATTATAAAAGCCCATAGATTTAAACCAATTTGTCGAACCTTGTACTTGAACAGTTGAACTTGATGTATCCACTATTCATGCATCAACTATTAAGCCAAAACACTACGATAACGCTACTGCTGACCAGTGAGTGCCGACGTCAGTACTGCAAATTCACAGCTGACAACGTGCACATTTCCATATGTTTTTACGTGATATCTGCATAAAAATTTACCAACGGTAATGTTAGCTAGCATGTTGTAGCCATAATCGAAGCGGACGAAGGACAGGTAGTGGACGTGATAGCAGTAAAAAATCAACAGGGGAACAGCCGGAATTATCCAGGTTTTCCCGCGACCACATCCGTAAATCCTGCAAAGCGGCATATCGATGCAATCACCGTTAGTAATTAAAAAGCTATGCATCAAATAACGACCGACAATCTAACCCCCATTAAATAAATTAGTTATTAAAGGAGGATAACACTTGCATTACTGGTACTTGTATACCGGCACAGTATATAATTTTAGATCAAAACGATCAATTAAAATATTCGTTACGATCAAGTGACGGTTAGCACAACATCATAAAACATTAAGTGTGCCAAAAGCGCAGTTAATTTATTCAAAAGCATCAAAATAAAAAGAATCTCACCGCAGTAAAAAGGCATAAAACGAGAACAGCACGCCCAGCAATGCGGAGAAATAGTCCATTTTCTACAAAATAAATTGTATATCAAATGCACGTAAGAGTAAATAATGTACAGTAACTGCATACGCTTACACATGATGATTATTGATTAAGTATGTTTTATTTTAAAAACCCGAAGTAATAGTAAAAGTTTTTAATTACCTCGGTGAAGGAGAAATCGCGAGTATGAAACACCGCCGACCAGAACCACGCGTTCATCGATGCCTGTAGGACACAGAAACCGGTTTTCTTACACTTGTTAAACAGCGAAAAATAAACGCTGTACCAAGCCATAGAGAAACCACACACGGAACATGGGCGCCGATGAGGGGACATTCTGGACGAATTTCTGCAGCATCCAGCAGTGGGACACGCCGTTAAGCACCGAGAACAGCGTCGACGCCGGCTCCTGAATCCCGAACAGACGGACAAACGGCCACTACAAACATTTTAAAACATTAATAAAACTGACCAGCTTAAGCTGCTAAATCACCAGAAAAATACCACAAAATCATACTGAAATCTAATAAAAACCAAAAAATGGTAAAATTTCACCAGCGTGACTGGCTGGAAATTTACGGTCGTTAGTCTAATCCAGTCTATGAAATTCTTTTAACCACGGTGCGTGTGTTTCATCTAAGCACGATAGGAAAACCGAATTTCGATATTTTCCCAACTACGGACTACGAAATGCAATTGTTTGTTAATTTATTGCACAAAAAATAAAACTCGAAAATAACAGCAAAACACAAAATTTCCGGATGCTATCGATGAACTGATATTCATAATTATGATCCATTTATGATTTATAAAAAAAATCATAAATAAATCACATACGTGAACAAAATTAATTTTTGATTTATCAACTGTGGGACGTTCATTTATTTTACAATTTATTACGTCAAAAAGAAAACTTCTACGCATTCTATCCATCAGCGGATTTTCAACATTTTTTTCCATTTATATTATATAATAATATTCAAATGTTAAAAAACTGCGTTCGGAAAAGTCATGGCTGGCGTACCTTACCGTAGAACTGGGGAATGGTGAGATTCTCCCGCTGGAAGACGTCCACGGTGGTCCACATGCACTCGTACTTGCACTCGTCCTCGCACTCCCACAACAGGGCCCGCAGATACCACGGGTGGGTGTTAGTCCACGCAGTCAGACGGTCGCCGTTGTCATCCTCCTCCAGCGCTGCGGGCAACTCGTCGAGGAGTTCCCGCGGCACCGTGCAGCTGCGCCGCAGACATCGACTCAGGCAATCCTGGAAGACGTTGTTGCGGTCGCCCCATGAGGCACGGCTGCTGGAGATTAACGAGAGAAAGGGGATTAGAAATGAGGAGACCCAGTGGGCATTCATTTTTACAGCAGTCACTTCAAAATGCTGGCTGCATGAAACGGTGTATGTACAGTACAACTAACAACTGTTTACGCTACCATAAAAAAATGAACGACATCGTTTCTGGCTACCACTAACAGGTAACACACAGACTACCGCACTTGGGTGTCAGCTCTCTTATCACATCTATGCAATGATTCCGAGCCTTTGCACTACATAATTCTTCAACCTTACGTGGAACGGAACAGTCAGCGTGCCCATGCATTACTCAATTATGTCTATCATAAACTGAATGCGATTATCGTCCTTTGTAACTGAAAAGTTTAACTGCGACGCCATGTGCGACGGTAAGAGGTGATTCTAACCTTGAGAGGAAAAACACTTTAAAAAGGCTGTATATAATTTATTAACGATAAGAAATGCATTAGCGTAACTGCGTAGTCTGCGTATAGTATCTGTAAGTGCTGTAGAAGCTGCGCAATTAAGTACATTTTTATGCTCAGCGCTTTGGCGCGCTAAAGTGCCGGACATAAAAATGAAAACGCAGTGAAACGAAAAACTGCTCGAATGCACAATTTTGTATATCTATATTTACTATTTGTACTAGTTTAATTGTAAGTTGACATAAATATAATGATATGAATAGATAGAATTTTACTTTGGTTGATGTCCGTGGGCTTATTACTGCGTGAACTGCTATTGCCGAATAAATAGCTCACACGTACTGAATATTTTGAAGTAAATAGTCGCAAAGTGGTGTTGAAAAATATTTTTACTTATTGGCTTGACAGCCGCGCATATAGATATCTATGTATATTCCTTGTAATACTATATAGATATTAATATACTCGTATATCTATATAAATATCTATATAGGTATATGGTACTTTGTACAATGCATGTTTATATAATATATTCTCCTAAATCTTTCACAATCGTACTATTGTTTTATTTTTTTTACACTTTACTATATATATAGTACAAGGTAGCCTCGCGCATTCGCGCTCGGCACTTCAGTACTGGAAATTATGAATATTTTCAAATAAGACATAAGCACACAGGAAATTGTAAAAATTTTGGATAATTGGGAAGGTATGGAAAATGTGATTTATTTAAGACTAAGATTGAAATCGTATATACGCTTTTGTAGTCGTATTTCATAAGACGTAATAACGTTCTAAGGTTTAATTTTTTACGTTCGGACGTTCTTACGTTCTGACCTTCTAACGTTTTAAAGTTCTGACGTTCTGAATTTCCGACGTTCTGACGTTTTTAATTTTTTCACGTTCCGACTTCCTGACCTTCTGACGGTCTAACGTTCTGATATTCTGACGTTCTAACGTTCGGATATTCTGACGTTCTGAATTTCTGACGTTTTAAATTTTTCACATTCTGACATTTTGATATTCTGACGTTCTATCGTTCTGACGTTCTAACGTTCTGACTTTCTAAAGTTCTGACGTTCTGATATTCTGACATTCTGAATTTCTGACGTTCTGACGTTTTTAATTTTTCACGTTCTGACTTTCTGACCTTCTGACGTTCTAACGTTCTAATATTCGGACGTTGTAACGTTCTGATATTCTGACATTCTGACGTTCTGACGTTTTGAATTTTTCACGTTCTGACTTTCTGACCTTCTGACGTTCTAACGTTCTGATATTCTGACGTTCTAACGTTCTGATATTCTGACATTCTGAATTTCTGACGTTCTGACGTTTTTAATTTTTCACGTTCTGACTTTCTGACCTTCTGACGTTCTAACGTTCTAATATTCGGACGTTGTAACGTTCTGATATTCTGACATTCTGAATTTCTGACGTTCTGACGCTTTTAATTTTTCACGTTCTGACTTTCAGACCTTCTGACGTTCTAACGTTCTGACATTCTGACGTTCTAACGTTCTGACATTTTGGATTTCTGACGTTCTGACGTTTTTAATTTTTCACGTTCTGACATTCTGACGTTCTAACGTTCTGATATTCTGACGTTCTAAATTTCTGACGTTTTTGATTTTTCACGTTCGGATTACCTGACGTTCTGTTTTTTGACGTTCTGACTTCTGATGTTTTTACGTTGTGACGTATAGATACTGTATAAGCGACATACTGGGCGATGTACCTTTTATGGACGTTTGGGTACTAATTTATTGCTCATATACCTCGTAACAATTATTATCTATACTAAAAAGAAAGTATTAATATGTATCCGCTATAGTCTCCGTGGTTTAATACAGTCATCATGTTAAGTACGAGTACTTACTTTGTATTGCTGTGCAGACTGCAGTAGTGAATACTTCTTCGAGTGCTCTTTACGTTTCCTATACTTAAGACCTGGTGGAACCATCTTCTGACCACTGGTTAATTAAAAAAAACAAAAATCTATTGGCACACCTATGGAAAATATGGAATTTTTTAAGACCAAGCTGGACTAAAACTGACCACGCGTTGACGAGTCTATAAAAACGGCGCATAAATACGTTTTGGTCGGTAAGATTGTATGAATACAAGGTAGCCTCGCGCATCCGCGCTCGGCACTTAAGTACTGGACAGTATTGGCATTGTTTTGGAAAGGTCATTAAAAATATATGAAGGCTGACGTTCGGAATTTCTGACGTTCTGACAATTTTAATTTTTCACGTTCTGAAGTTCTGATGCTCTGACGTTCTAACGTTTGACGGTCTTACGTTCTAACGTTCTTACTTTATGACGTTTTGCCCTTCTGACGTTATGACGTTCTGACGTTCTGACGTTCTAACGTTCTGACGTTCTAACGTTCTGACGTTCTAACGTTATAACGTTCTGATTTTATGACGTTCGGACGTTCTAACGTCTAACGTTCTCATGTTGTTACTTTATGACGTTCTGACGTTCTGGCTTTCTGACGTTCTAACGTTCTGACGTTCTAACGTTCTGATTTTATGACGTTCTGACGTTCTAACGTTCTGACGTTCTGGCGTTCTGACGTTCTGGCTTTCTGACGTTCTAACGTTCTAACGTTATAAAGTTCTGATTTTATGACGTTCTAACGTTCTGACGTTCTAACGTTATGATGTTCTGACGTTCTGGCGTTCTAACTTTCTGACGTTCTAACGTCATAACGTTCTGATTTTATGACGTTCTAACGTTCTGACGTTCTAACGTTATAACGTTCTGATTTTATGACGTTCTGACGTTCTGGCTTTCCGACGTTCTAACGTTCTGACGTTCTAATATTATAACGTTCTGATTTTATGACGTTCTAACGTTCTGACGTTCCAACGTTATAATGTTCTGATTTTATGACGTTCTGACGTTCTAACGTTATAACGTTCTGATTTTATGACGTTCTAACGTTCTGACGTTCTAACGTTATGACGTTCTGGCTTTCTGACGTTCTAACGTTCTGACGTTCTAACGTTATAACGTTAGAACGTCTAACGTTCCGATGTTTTTACTGTATGACGTTCTGACGGTGTTACATTCTGACGTTCATACGTATTGAATTTCTGACGTTTTGACGCTCTGAAATACGTATGGACTTTGCATGACGTAATAATATATAATTCTCTACCTAAAGAGCAAGTATTTATGCATCCGCTATAGTCTCCGTGGTTACAGTCATTATTGTGTTATTGGCTTTTCATAACTGTGCAGTGAATACAGTACTTACTTCTTCGAGTGCTCTTTACGTTTCCTATACTTAAGACCTGGTGAAACCATCTTCTGACCACTGGGTAATAAAAACAAACAAAAATCTATTGGCACACCTATGGAAAATATGGAATTTTTTAAGACCAAGCTGGACTTAAACTGACCACGCGTTGACGAGCCTATTAAAACGGCGCATAAATACGATTTGGTCGGTAAGCTTGTATGAATATAAAGATATAAAGATATATGCACTCAGTGTACAACGATAAAATACATCTATGTGGTAAAAGGAATTTTACAGTTTAACCTATGTACTGCTGCAGTGAAATCGGTATTTAATAAAGTGTCATTAAAATAATAATAAAGTGATTAAATTACGCTCGCTTTTACAAAATATTAGCTTTTACAAAATAATAGTTTTACAAAATAATAAATAATAGCTACAGTACAGATAATTAGAAGCGACTGTCAACGCGTTTTAAACGGCCCCTAACGGAATTGTTATTACGTGGCAACTTGTGCAGGTACAGATGTACACCTGCCTTTATTTGCCTGTCTCGATTATTGTAATACAGCAACTCAGCTGCTAATTACTGGAAAGTAAAACAAATGTCATCGCGGAATGCAGTGCATCTTCCACATGCGCCAAAATCGTGACCGGAAGGACAACTTCCCCGGCATCGCAGCATGTGCTCATTATCGGCCGGAAGCGCAATGGAGTGTCGGAAATTAAAATAATCACAGCTTCAAGAATGGCCGAGCCATGATGCAGCAGAGACAGGCTGCTGAAATTACTGATTTGATTATCGCCAAATTTTAACATTCTCTTCGGAAAGGTATCGGTATCAGTCAAACAGTGGCCGCTAGTCTCCTAATCAGTTTTCCAACTTCTCAAGCCAGTCAGCTGATCCGACAGCATGTTGAAACGCATCAATGGGCCACTACGCAGCGCACTGCTCACAGCTGTGTTCCTGAAATAATTCTGTCGGTTACATAATTTTTGTCTCCTCCAAAAATACTTTTAAACCTAGATTTTTAATCTGCGTCTGGGAATAACTTCATTAGAACTTTAAAAAATGACAAGCAGTCAACGCTGGTATAACACAAAGCAGATCAACGTGAACGGAAACTTCAAAATCCATTCTGCGCAGGGCGGGGCGCGCACAAACAGTACGAGTACAGCGCTTTATTAATTTTAAAACTCCTGCAGTTTTTCGACGGTCTGAAAGCCGTCGAACCGCGGACCGGCCGTACATTTACATTACTTCGCTACGGCGAAATGCTGCATCACGGTTCGGTGGCTAGCTGACAGCCCGACAACAGTCAAGACTCAGCACAAAAAAATCCGAACAAAATTACCAGAAATTCTATGAAATCAGAGAATTTCTAATTATCAAATCGTTGTTCTACCGCAGTCTGCCATCGATAAATCATGCTATCACACACGAGACAATTGACTTAATTCTTCTGCGGTCTTTCTAGCGAAAATGCTCTCTCTGTACGATGTTAATAACTGGTTTGAGGCAAGCAGGTTGGCTGTGGGCTGGCACAGCTAGACAGCAGCGACATGCTGTATCACGTTTAACGCCACTCTCTTGTAACCCGTCAGCAGCATCTGATCGGCCCCGCGTTTTACAGCGTTCATTTTCCCTACTTCGGAGTGTGTGTCGATCCGGTGGTGTTGTCCATCATTGTGATTATTCTACGCCCCGCTCCCGTGTCGTCCGTGGAGGAGGGAGAGGGACGCCCGAGGCGGTGGGTTCCTGTGGGGTCCCCGGACTCATCACAACAACAGCAGCGCAGTGCAGTTCATGCTGGCGCGCTGATCCTCAGTTGTCCATAAGGAGATTGTACTCCACTGATTGTACGGAAAATATGCCGCCCATCACGGAGGAAGAACGGGAATTGGAGAAAAATAAAGCACAGGTTCGTAGGATAGGAGGCGGATTTCATAAATTAGTACTTATTAGCACTCTGGTTTATAACAATATAACCTAAAAAAATACTGTTAACTTTAACTCAGATAATTGTTATTTATTTAATTTAATTACTTTTTTATAAATAATTATCTATATATTTAAATCACTAAATCTAGAATTTTTTAAAAGGACATATTAAGTAGCCATTTCTTCTCGTATTATGTTATGCGTACAGCGTACTTGTGAAATATTTTAATAATATTTTAATAATATAATAATATTTTATGTATTTATAAAAATTGTGGCAGGGTACTGGTGACGTAAGTTTCAGTGATGAATTTTATCAGACATCTACTGAAGAGTTTTGAGACGATGCCAGATTTGTTCGTGAAAGCGGAAAGCGTCTGCTCTCATTTGTAGGTCAATGTGACGTTTTTGTGGGCAGTATTCGTTAGGTGGACCTAGATTTTCTTTGCCAAAGTGCCCAAACAAATTTGTTATTAATTGTAAACTTGTAAGGTTTTAATTTTATTTATCAGTAAACTTTCCCGTATAAATGCCATCGATTGGTCATAAATAAATGGCCGTTTTTAGTGATAACCAGGCGAGTTGTGGCTTTTCGTGGACTTACACTTACAAGTTAGTTGAAGATGGAAAACACCTGTGTATACAGCGTAGATGAAGCATTAATTGAAAAATATCTGTTGAATTTTCTAACCTTTAACTTGCTAATAATTCATAATTTAATTGGAGTATTTTGAAGGATTTCTGGGCAGGAGGTCAGAATTCATAAATAATAAAGCTGATAAATTGCTGTGTTTCACTGCGTGATTCTAATCGTAAAGGCCACGAAATCCGAGAGGTGCAGTAGATATGTCGACTTTACGTGTAATTAAATTGTCAGAAATTCCGTTTAAGGAATTAAGGATTAGTTCCTGCGCTCTATAAGAAAGACGTTAAATTAACGTCTGGAAAATTGAAGAAAAAAGAGCGTATTTAACGTAATGGGATAGATTGCAGCATCCGCTTCGCTGCAGTCCTCTTGACACTCCCTATTGATGTGAAAAGAACCACTCGGTCTGCGTGGTGGGGTTCAAGCGGGATCAGAGAACGTTTACGGGGATTGGGCGCTGATTAGAACTCAATAAATCGATCGCTACCACTGAATAGGTATTGCTGTGAATATCCCCGGTGTTGAGAAGAAAAACGCCGCAGGATACGTTTCCGGTTAAAGCGTCCTTGAATACTGCATGCCAAGTCGTATCGACGCAGTCGAGGGAAATGCGGCTTGGCGTTTGTTTTTCGTGAATGTCAGCTGGGAGTTGTGCGGACTATTTATCATCATAATCCATAACGTATCGGCACAAGTGTTTTTGTCGGATATTTGTTCATGGGCGGTTTAGAAGGGGGCTTTATCATGGAAAAATGCCATCCGTCCCACACAGCAGTGCGTGTTGTGTCTTTCATTGCCGGCAGAATGTAGGCTGACAGGGCGTTTTTGTAATTTTTCCAATTAGGATATCGTGTTTGCATTGTCTGTTGAAATTTGCATTCAAAGCACGGACGTATAATCGATAGTACTTTCTTGTATTCTAATATTTCAAGTAGAATTATTGCAGGTAAATGATGCAGTGCAGTTCTTGTGTAGATTTTGTAATTACTGCTGTTTCAAATTAATGCCGGTTTTAAGCGGAACGTAGACTGTGCACGGTGCTCGGAGGTTAATCGCTAAATTTCTAAATATTTTATTTTTATTTTATTTTTGGATTTTTTCTAAGTACAATCTGTGAAGTGTGAACGCAATTATCGAAAATAAATCAGTGCCAGTTTTTAAGCAGTAAGTCTGTAAGCAGTTTTGTCAGAAGATTCATCTCTTGTTTTTGTGAATACTGTAGTGAAATACGACTTAATTCGTATCGCTTATTACGAATTTACTTTTTTACTTTTTTTTATTCTTATCACTTAATACGACTTAATTCGTATCACTTTAATTTGGCTATTGCCAGTTCAACGGTAAACTGTGATGATAGTGTCTAATTAAAATTACTGTTTTGGATTAAACAGTTGAAAATGCATTTAGACGTCGTAGAATATTCTTTAATCATTTTTCCTTCCTGTGTACTGAGTGCGGATACGGTATTAGCATAAAATATTACGAATTTTTGCAGGGCACTAAGCGTTTTCTTCGTTACAGGTGGTAAAATGGATCAAAGACGACTCGACCCCTGTGATCGTCTTCAGCAAGACCACCTGTCCCTTCTGTAAAAAAGTCAAAGAACTCCTGAACACCCTCACCGTCAAGTACACCGCCATCGAGCTGGACACCCTTCCGAATGGTCCAGCGCTCCAGTCAGCGCTGCACTCTCTGACCAACCAGAAGACCGTCCCCAACGTCTTCATCCGGGGCCAGCACATCGGCGGCTGTGATGCCACGACCAAACTGCACGAGGACGGCAAGCTCCTCCCGCTGATCAACGCCGGCGGCGGGTCGGCGGCCACCCTCCCCGCCAGCGCCAGCAACACAAGCACCAATGGGGAAGTGGCGCAGCGGAAGTATGACTACGATCTGGTGGTGATTGGCGGGGGATCGGGCGGGTTGGCGGCCGCCAAGGAAGCGGCGGGACTGGGCGCCAAGGTGGCCGTGTTTGATTTTGTCCAGCCGACGCCGATGGGGACGGCGTGGGGGTTGGGCGGGACGTGTGTGAATGTCGGGTGTATACCGAAGAAGCTGATGCACCAGGCCAGTTTGTTGGGGGAGGGGATTGAGGATGCCAAGAAGTACGGGTGGGAGATTGGGGAGGAGAAGAAGCATAACTGGCAGACGATGATTACCAATGTGCAGGTGGGTGGACAGTTTAGTCAACGCTGTCACTACTGTCTCGTTGAAAAAATGTCTCATAACTAATTCACAAGCCGAAGACTATTATGGCTTTTTTATATTTATTTTTCGTCGGTACTTTTATTTCCTAATTTCGGTGGAACACGGAGTAAAATGTCGAGATTTTCGAATAAAACTGAGCATTTAGAATTGTTCATGCCATTTTGTTAAAATTATATAGAATTTAAATACTTGAATAAATATTGCTAATAGTTATTAATGAATAAATATAAATAAAAGCTACTTCAACTGGCAATAGCCATCAGATACAGTTAAATAAGTGCAAACGCTAGTCCACAGTTAAAAACTTTAAAAAATATGATGTGACTGTATAAATGAATAAATATCGATTTTAATGTTATAATTATAGTAAATTACTGTAATACTTAACAGTTTTTGCAAAATGCTGGCGGCAAAATTGGGTGATACGTTTCTCGTGCATATTGTAATATGAGAATCTCGTGAGGGAAACTAGAGCATCATAATCCGACGCTGTCGTGTGACAGGTCCTGTTTTGTTGAACAGGATTACATATCCTCGTTGAATTGGAAATACAAGTTGGCGCTGCGCGACGCCACCGTCACCTACCACAACGCCTACGCGAAATTCGTCGACCCGCACAAGATGCTGGCGGTGACGGCCAAGAACAAGCAGGTGGAGCTGACGTCGGAGCGCTTCATCATCGCCACGGGCGGTCGGCCGCGCTACCCCGACATCCCCGGCGCCAAGGAGTACTGCATCACCAGCGACGACATCTTCTCCCTGCCCTACCCGCCCGGCCGGACGCTGGTCGTGGGGGCCAGTTACGTGGCGCTGGAATGCGCCGGTTTCCTGCACGGACTGGGATACGATGTGACGGTGATGGTGCGGTCGATATTTTTGCGTGGATTCGATCAGGAGATGGCCGAGAGGATAGGGAAGTACATGGAGGAGACCAAGGGGATTAAGTTCATCAAACAGGCCGTGCCGACCAAGGTCGAGAGGCTGGAGGAAGGCGAACCGGGCCGTTTGAGGGTAAGTGTCTTGAATATGCACGCCAGAGCAAGACTATCGGTTTCTGGAATTTTTGGTGTATTTTTAATTTTTTTCTCAATATTTATTGGTGGATACTAGCGATTTATTGTACCGGTCTTTTTAAAATTTTCTCTTGTTGGACGAGGGAGCGTTTTGAGTACTTGTCCGATTTATTTTCCGCTGTTGTGTTTACTGTTTTGTTCATTTTTCATTTTATAATTTGCTGTTATTTTGCTTGTGTTGCCTTTTCCTTGGTCGATTCGGTTATTTCTTAAGTTATTTTTTAAGCTACTGAATGTATTATGATATGGATGTGTGTTTTCGTGGTGGACAGGTAACGTCGGATCAAAAGGGACAGGAAATTGTTGATGAGTATAATACCGTGTTGTTTGCCATTGGACGTGATGCCTGCACAGGGACCATCGGTCTGGAGAAGGCCGGCGTCAAAGTCAACCCCAAAACCGGAAAACTGGATGCCATTGCCGAGCAGACGAATGTCAAGCACGTTTATGCCATTGGCGATGTGCTGTGTGGCCGCCCCGAATTAACGCCGGTACGTGAAAACCATTTCAGTATTTGTTTTGTCCTTATTCCTTACCTCTTCCGAAATTTTGGTGCTTATGAAATTTGGGTAGCAGTATAATTTAAGCAAAGAATTACTGTAACTGTACATTATTTACGTCAATTTTAGTTGCGTAAATTTACCCAAGAAACTACAATATTTATCGGAATTTTGTTTTCGGTAAATTTAAAAAATAAAACGTTAGGTACATTACAATGTACGACAAAAAGAGGTTGAACCGATCAGTCGGTCCGTGGTTCAAAATAACCTCGCAACGACACGCCACCACTAAAACTTGGACGCTTACTCACTACTTTCAGACGCTCGCGCTACGTGAATACCAAAGTGCAGCTCTGCTAGTTGCATATCAAAAGGTGTAGAAAAAAAATTTTAAACTTTTTGATACTAAACTTGTGGCTGTTTATGGCGAACAGCGCAAATTCTAGCCATTTTGCTTTCCCATAGACTTAAGCATTGATTGCAAGCCAAACGGTTATGCGCAGTGGCGCACAGATCCTATGCTGTGCCTACGAGAAAGCAAAATATTTCCATAAAATAAATTTCGTGATTTTAAAACGGATTGAATATTTTCTTCACAAGGAAAATATTGTTGTCCAATTATTACGGCTGAATGAATCAGCAGAATGTTGTTGTATTGGGTTAAATATTGATCAAACCCTTGAGTGAGAAAGTCAATAACATTCCCGGAAAGATCGTGGAATCGTGTTGTTTTTGTAGGTGGCCATCCAAGCGGGCACGATGTTAGCGCGGCGTCTGTACGGCGGATCGAGCGAAGTGTACGACTACGACATGATCCCCACGACGGTCTTCACCCCGCTGGAGTACGGCGCCATCGGGTACGCCGAGGAGGCGGCCATCGAGAAGTACGGGAAGGAGAACATTGAGGTGTACCACACCCTGTACCGGCCGCTGGAATGGACGCTGCCGGGGCATGCCGATAATGCGTGCTACGCGAAGCTGGTGTGTCTCAAGTCGGAGGACGAACGGGTCATCGGGTTCCATGTGTGCGGACCCAATGCCGGCGAGATCACGCAGGGCTACGCGGTGGGAATGCGTCTAGGTGAGGGACAACAATTTTATCGAGTGGCAGAAATTACAGTCTCATTATTTTCTGTGGCACCCGCATGATACGTCTATAGTGCCCGGCATAAATCGGCAGTGTGGGTTCTTTTCATGCCGGACATTTTCGCCCGGTGGATTCGCTTCCGGGCACCAGAGACAGGGTATTCTCTGAGTTGTTCCGCTTTAGATAACTTGATAGTTTTTCATTAAACTCGAAAACAAGCTTGTAAAAAAAATGTTTACCATGTAATCCATGTTCCGAAAAGTTTTGGTCATGTGGAACAACGCGGAGAATACCGTTTCTCTGGTGTTCGGTACGCGAACCCATTTTGTGAAGATGTCCGGAATGGGAAATATACGTCGAAGTAGGCTTTACGATATTAAATAGGCTGTGCCAGCTCTATTGTACAGATGATATCGTAGTAATGTGGCTTTTATAGCTGTCAAGTCGGCTTTTAAATATGCGGCACGTTTCTACAAATGTTTAAATCGCAAGCACTGGGTTTATTAGTTTGCATTCGTTTTTGACTTTACCGTAATTATTACCCATTCCATTATTTGAAAATCGAAAAACGGAGTAGCTGGTTTAGGCTGCAGTTTCAGTCTTTTTTAAGCGTTTATTTGTCGGAGGCGTTTTATATCGCTGATTTATCGTATGTTTATTTCTGAAATTTATTCTTTAGAAATTTGTAGTTTGTTATTGTCCTATCGTTTTTCATACATCAGTTAAATTAATTTGATAACTGGTAATTAATTTATTTTTTGAAAAGTACTTTCGATCGCCTGGTTTGGTTTGTCTAGTACATACGATTAATTGGTGATTAACTTTGCTTGCAGGTGCCCGGAAGAAGGACTTTGACCTGACGACCGGCATCCATCCGACCTGCTCCGAGATCTTCACCACACTGAACATCACCAAGAGCAGCGGGAAGGATATCAGCGCGGCGGCCTGCTGAGGTTAAAGATCCCGGCGGGAACGGGGGAGGAACAGCCGTTCCTTCCCTGTTTCCAGCCGGATGCGGGCGTATGGGGTGCGGAGCGCTGCTTCACTGTCTGGTTGGCGTTATGATGATGCCCATTCTCAACCGGATTATACCGGCGGTGGGTGTCGGATGGATCAACTGGGCGGTGGCAGTGCGTGGGAAAACTGTTTGTTGCGAACTGATTGCGGCATGGTAATCGTATGATGTGTCTGTGTGTCTGCGTATTTATCTTTTATTTTCCGTGATTTTTTCATTTATGGAGTAGATGGGGGGTCCCTGCTTTTGTTTGTTTTTGGCTTGGTTATTGACCGGATTATTGTATTTTTTTTCTCTCTCTCTGTCTCTGGCTTTTTGGTTACGGATTGCGTGTCGCTTTGATACAGTGGATGACAGTCGCTGCGACGTTTTGGCTACCTTTTTGATCGAAGATTTTTGTCGATTCGCATAGTATGGATGATATTTTTAGTGGACAAAATTTAATAATATTATTCGGGAAATTTGTTGCATTGGATCGACGCTCGGGAATTCATCGTACCGTAGCTGCGCATTTCATGCTAGATTTAACATAAAGAAAGTGGATGCGCTTAGTTTAAGGCATACCGTAGTACGATGGCTATTGAATCGATTCAACCTCGTATCTGGTGCACATATGCTACAGTATGGTGAATTTGTGTTCCGGAAATTCTCAATTTCTTTGGGCTTTAATGCAGTAATATTAAGTAGTGTCCTCTAAAGAAATTGGATGTATATATCGTAGTACGATGGCTATAGCCCATTTGGATGTAGAGTTACAGTACTGGTCGGGGTACAAACTGAAAGCATCTACACACTGCTACAGTTTGGTAAATTAGTGTCCCTTAAAACTTAATTTTTTTGTTTTGAATGTAATGACATGGATTGATGGCATTTTTATTTATCTTTTTAATTAGGCTTTTGCTCATGATTATTTGTCTGGGGTTAATTAATTGGCGTATTTCACTGAAATTCTGCCTAGCGAGGATCTACAGATATTGCCATTCATATTCACTCAGTTTCTTAGCTTCATTTACAATTATTAAAACCGAATAAAAAATTGATTCTGCTTAACTTCATCGTGTGGAGTCCGCGAACAAATACAAAACAACAATCAAAATAAAAAATAATGGCCACATTCTTTGGGCGTTAATTTTGCGTTAATCGAACCAGTTACAAATGCAACTGCGGCCAGGCGGCGGCTACCGCAGTAGACAGTCGCAGCGGGGTGTGGCCTATCGGCTGACGCGCTGCAAGTCTGCAACGCGTGAATGATAAGTTCAGTGTGATTTGTACTTTACACCGCACACGGAAAACGCACACGAACACCCCGAGCATCCCTAAAATCTCCCGCACCCCCGCCACCATTGCCATTCTCTTTGCCTCGGATTATTTATAATTTATTATCAAGACTGCATCGTTCTCCATCGGAACAGGTGAGTTGCGGACATCCTAACTCCAACCAGCACCATAAACTTGCCGTGGAACCAGCAGTGTCGTTTTCTGTGACGCTTGGTTCGTTGCATCATGGTGGCATCTCTGCGCGCCGTAATCTCTCCGCACTTTGCATCGTGAATTCTTCAGAGATAATTTCCTTATCAAGGGCTAAAGTCCCTGTATCGAATTTACAAGTTTACAAGAAGATTTTGAGCTGGGAAGCCTCGAAGACCTAATTCCTAGGGGTCTAACATTTTTCCTGGTGTTTTTGGTGTAGTTGGTTGTGGAGTGGACTGTGAGGTGGTGGTGAAGAATGGCTTGGCAGGTAGCTGTGCGCAGCGGATGCCGACAGTCGCAGCGACTGCTGCTGACGGTGCAGGGTCTGCCCCGGACCTCCGTGGCCGTCGTGCAGCGTTCCCTGGCGAGCGATACGCGTCGGGCTTTTGTGGTGGGCAGTCAGTCGTTTGGCCCCTTGACAGGTAGGCAGTGCACGCGCTTGATCGGCGCAGTTTTCCGCTTTAGCCGTCAGTTTCTCGTATTTTTAATTGAAAAATAATTTTCCGTATTTTTTCAACAAAGTAGAGAAGAAAATATTCCATAATATTTTAAAGAAGATAAAATTTTGCAATAAAAAAATTTACTTGCTGATTATTTATTGGACGATGGTGGTTTTGCTGCGGCGCCAGTACACAGTGTCGAAGGAGTCGTTTTGCCAATTTTTATTTTGTGTTATTTCGCCCTAGCCAATCGCGAATCATTAGATGGATGATTTTTGATTAATTTATTTGTATTTTGCAGCTTGGTCAGCCCGAAATATGTCCACCAGCAGCGCCATGTTGGCATCGCAAGGTTTGTGGAATGGATTTTTTTTTCTCTTCTAATCAATTTACTGTTTTTTAATAGATAAGTCACAAGTGCAGCTGAATGATTTATTGTAAAAATGAATAATAATGATAATAACTTGTGGTTTTGTATCATTAATGCAGTTGACTGGATTGTGCATTAACTGAGATTTATCCCTGGTTCGTGAATAATTTTCATTATGATTGATAGATGTGAAGTTTATCAGCGCAGAATTACGACACTCGACCAGTGCGATTTTTTAAAATTGCTCATAACGATTTGTGAAATTATTGGCAGGCGGTAAGCAGCGCGATCCTCTGCAGTCGTTGTCCTCCGCGGGCGCTGAGCAGTCCGGTCGCCATCTGCACCTGGACGTCCGCGACGGAGTGGCTATCGTGCGCTTTGATGCGCCCAATTCCAAGGTCAACACGCTCAGCCGCGACATGCAGGTAACCAACACATTTATGATTTCTGGATACAAATTTGGAATAGCTGACAGTTTGCTGCTTTTCGACGCGGTCAGACTTATCTATTTGCGCTTTGAAGTTATGATCATTTTTTATGATAACACTTTTACGATTTTATTCGCTTTTCTAGTTCTTATTGCTTAATGAACAAATTTTCATGAATAAATAAAAATTTGGGGAGAATTGTACTCGTACATCGGTAATTGTTATTGGTGATAAATTTGTCTGTTTTCCATAAACGAGTTGCCATTAAAGCCGCTGTACTACGATGTTCGTCTAAAAATAGGATTGGCTGTATTTGTAGCATGGGAAGGAGAACTATCGTTGATTATTATTCTCCACGTGGTTCTGTTAATATTCGAGGAAATGAAATTTTGAAAAAAGTCTTATTGATATTCGAGGAATATTAATTTGCTTTGCAGAATGAATTCGAAGAAATCATGAACGAAATCTGGAACCGCAACGACATTACCAGCGTGGTGCTGATCTCCGGGAAGCCCGGGACATTCATAGCCGGCGCGGATATCAAGTGAGAACGACAATGTTCGAACGGTTTGTGACCCTAATCAACTGAAATGAGCAATTGCTCGGGTGTTGTGCGCAGTATGATTGAATCGTGTGGATCGGCGGAAGCGGTCACCGCGCTGTCCAAAGGCGGCCAGGCCATGTTCGAGAAGATGGCCAACAGTCCCAAACCGATCGTGGCCGCCGTGTACGGATCCTGCTTGGGCGGGGGACTGGAGGTTAGCATTTAACATGTTGGGCATCTTACTATCATCGTTATTAACATGCTTGTCGAAACTGCTCAAGTAAACTTTCATCAAGAATCTGATTGTGGATTAATTGAGATATTCTTAGCGGCTTGGCTAATGGACTGTGTCCGTAGACTTGGAGTTGTTGAAATTAAATTTAAATATATTAATTGCTTCAGAAAAAAATTATCAACTTAATTGGTATTAATGTTATAACTAATAATGCTTGATTTTGCTTGATAATTATAACTAATAATTATTTTTGCTTGATTTTGTTTTTATTTTCATTGATTAACCCGTTGACGGGCATTGGCGTCAGGGCGCAACATGGTGTTCAGAATTTTTTTCCAAGGGATCGCGAACAGTTAATTGATATCCCTTTGCATAATTAGCAACAAGGGACCTTAAAGCAGCAGTAACAACAGAACTCAAACTTGTATCTTAAGATAATTACAAACTACAGGTGTCCAAAAATGACCAATTTCGGACTTTCTGATCTCTCGCAGATCTTGCTAATTAACTAATTAGTGGATGAGTAATTAAACCGGAGATAAATCAGCAAGGTACAAATGACAACGCTTTATTCAAAAATGTCTAACGCAGATTCTATAAGTTGAACCATAGATGACCGCAGTCCGTCAAAACGTGTGTTGCGTGCCAACACCATTGCCCATGAAGGGTTGTGAATACACGGGCGGGTGCACTTTCGACAGATTCTTATCACTACGTAACCGGAATAACTTAATATCGGTTCGGACGCCAAACATGCGCCATGCGGTTTGGTTGTAGGAGGTTGGCAAAACATGGGGTTGCTGAACACCACCCGGGCGGTCGGCATTGTAGATGAGATTCTAATTCTACCGTCAGTGTATAATTGTAGCTCTGTGAATTGAAATGGCAGCACAACACTGCTTTCTGCCACGTTCCACCTTCGATACCGAATACCGATGCACCGCTTGGGCAAGCAAAGCTGTGAAGCCACGTAGCCAAAAACATGCAAATTTTGAGTTTTGACCAGTCTCGGGCAACTGCGAACTGTAATGATAACATTAGTGATGTTAACGTTTCCGAACAGCCTTATATAGGTCACATCCGGTTACTAATGAATTTCGTTCGAAAAGTGCTAGTGACAACTAACATTTGGTTCGGCGCCAATCGCATTTGCATCTGAACCATTTCCGCCGCTTTCCCCATACCGGCAACTGCGGCCACATCCAGGAAACGTGCAAAGCAAAACAATGCACGCAGGTAACTCGGTGTCAGAAATGAAGAAGTGCAATGTTAAATTGCACAAAGACTGCTTCGTTTAGTACGATGGGAGAGACTGATAAAAGTTTTGGGAAGGATTAGTCTCAAAATCGCTTGTTTCAATGTTTTTTATATGTAGCAGTGGTCAAAATGCAAGAAAACGGGTTTTGGCAGTTTTAATTTTTTACTGACCAGTGGTCAAATTGTTGACCACTTCTATACTTCTGTTTTAAAGTACTTTTTTGTGCTATTTAATGAAGTAAGTGCTTTTACTTTATTCCTGTTAGCCTAATTATTACAAAATAAGCATTTATATGCTGTAGACCGTCCATGGGCATTGGCGTTGGCAAACACCTAGTCACCACCGCTGACCTATGGTCAGCACAAACTCTAAAAAATTCCCTATCTTAATTGATTTTTTTCATCGGTAAATCCCGATTTTCAAAAGAAAATTCGCACTCCTTCGGGCACCGCCCGCTGGAGGGTTAACTGGTGATGCTTCCGATAGTGATGAACGTCCTGGTTACAGACGATTCTAGCCTGCCAGTACCGCATCGCGGTGGACGATAAGAAGACGGGTTTCGGCTTCCCCGAAGTGATGCTGGGCTTACTGCCCGGTGCAGGCGGCACCCAACGAACTTTGAATTTGGTAAGGGAAAACATACCGCTAATTTTATCTGTATTTTTCTGTCAAATCTGACTTATGCTTACCGACGTTGCTTCTTGGCTTCGGTATCAGTTAAGTGTTCCGATAACGAAAATAGACAGAATATTCATACCTTTGATGACCAGCTTGACTTTATAATGGCTAATAGCAACAAAAAATTAATTACGAACGCTACATAACGGTAAAGTGCGCATTTAATTTGTTGATCATTATTACGCGTGTTGCTGAACGTGGGTATGATGCTACTACAGCCGTTACACTACGATATTTGGTTGATCGATCAGTTTATTGAACTATGACTTGTTGTCGGGAAATACATTAAAACATGATGATAGCGTAGTTATTTCGACATAAAACCGGGTTTAAAATTAACAGGATGGTTTTGATATGAAAGTATTCAAAAGTAATTTCTGGAAATTAATTAATCGGACGTTTATCAGGTGGCGCTGCCCGCCGCCATGGACATGATGCTGACCGGCCGTACGATCCGCGCCAAGAACGCCAAACGAATGGGTCTGATCGATCTGACCGTGGACCCCCTCGGACCGGGATTGGCCGACCCGGAGACCAACACTATCCGCTATTTGGAGGATGTTGCCGTTCAGGCCGCCAAGTAATACGCTACAGTGTCTTTGTCCTTTTGTTGGGGTGCTAAATAGTATGATTACTTAGGGATTTGGCCTCTGGCAAGCTCAAACCCAACCGTACACGCCCCTTGGTGGAGCGCATTCAAAAGTTCATCTTCAGTCGGGAGTTTGGGCGTAACTTTGTGTTGAAGAAGGCCCGCGAGACCGTCATGAAGACCACGTCGGGATTGTATCCGGCGCCGCTGAAGATTCTGGATGTGATCCGCACTGGATTGGCTGAGGGATCAAGCAGCGGTTATGACGCCGAAGCTAAGGTAAAAAGCCTTTATTTTTTAAGGGTTTTCTCCTTCACTTTTGATATCTGTATATATGCGCATTTCACTGGCGTCTTAAGATGTACAAATACAGCAAAACATACCTATACTGAATATTTATTTTCTTAATTTTGAACATTTTACTTTTTATATCTGATGCCGTAACGCGTGGCAAATGCCCGCCCGGTTGTGGCATATGAAAGTAAAAATTTATATGTTAATTTTGCATATTACACATTAATATAGTGTGTCGAATTCTAACCATAATTCGGAAATAAGAGTGCCGAACCATGATCTGGTTCTGGTATTAAGTGCTAGCGAGTTGCTGGATGGAATATGGGTATGATTTCGTAGTGTATGGGCGTACTCGGCTTTCTCGAGAACAATTTTGCAAAGCTTTAATATACGAGTACAGTAATACGACCGTGTAGTTTATTATAAGACTTTTCTTCTGTTATCGAAGTACCATTGTGTATGTGTTTTAAATTTTTCAAAACTTTTAATGGTTCATTCTTTTAAATATAGGTATATTTTTCTATGTGCTTCTGATTGCTGTTTCACGTATGCATGTTGGTGGTGAGTCTCGGTGTGTGATGCAGGCGTTTGGTGAACTGTCGTCCACCCGGGAAAGCAAAGCCCTGATTGGTCTGTACCATGGACAAGTGGCCTGTAAGAAGAACCGATTCGGCACCCCGCAGCATCCCATTAAGTAGGCACCCCTAACTCTTCCTGCAGTAGACCCAGTACGTCATTTGCTTCGTTGCGTGAGAGTAATCCGGTATGTTTTGGCAGGACGATCGGGGTGCTGGGAGCCGGCCTGATGGGCGCCGGGATTGCTCACGTCAGCGTGGACAAGGGCTTCAAGGTGATACTGAAGGATGCCACCGATAAGGGGCTGGCGCGCGGCCAGGAACAGATCGCCAAGGGACTAGCCACCGCCGTTAAGAAGAAGAAATTCACCAGGTAAAACCGTAGCTGTACAAACCACTGCGGTAGTGGTGTGTTTTCGTAGTGTATGGGCACATTGAGCCAGGCAACGCATCGGCGACGTGTCGTGAGAAATTCTGGTGCGCTTCTTCTTTGATTTTGAATTCATGTGGACAGTTGTAACTTTTTGTTTAATTGATAGTGGTTGTTTATTATCATTTACAGTGGCTTCCTTATGGCATTTATTTACATTTAAATTACGCTGATATAGATTTTCTTTGCGAAAAAATTTTTTAAGCTTTTCTACATTTATATTACGAAAATCAGAAAAACGAATTGTGAATTTACTATTGTAAATTTATATTACGAAAAAGTTTCAGGTTTTTCATAAAAAAGCTAAGTTTAGCCTTTTTAGCTTTAGTTTTCTTTAAAATTTTTAAGCTGCTACTGCGTGGTTGCTGGCTATAGTGTAATTTGGAGGTAAATATTTCGACAACGAGTTCGTAGAACAGTGGCACATAAATGTCTGTTTTCTGGTCATTTGGTTCTGTAATGCTAGCGTGACATTCAATTAAGCCCATCTACTCAGCAGTTGATTTCCGACTGATTTTTCCTCACGGCCTTCGATTTTTATGCGTGAGGCTGAAAAATCTTCAGCTAAAAAAGGGCCATTGTCATATATCAGATTTTGCTGAATGGTTATATTTGCGCATCAGCTTTTTTCTAATATGGAATTTTGCCGGTGATTTGCAGTTTTGAACGGGAGAAGATCATGTCGCAACTGCTGCCGACGCTGAAGTACAACGACTTTGGCGAGTGCGATATCGTGATTGAGGCGGTGTTCGAGGACATCAACCTGAAGCACAAAGTCCTGCAGGAAGTGGAAGCGGCCACTCCGCCGCACTGCGTCTTCGCCTCCAACACCTCCGCCCTGCCCATCACCGACATCGCCAAGGCCAGTAAGCGGCCGGATAAAGTGGTGGGGATGCACTACTTCTCCCCGGTGGACAAGATGCAGCTGCTGGAGATCATCACCACCGACAAGACCTCCCAGGATACCGCCGGTACGTAGACGCAGATAGACTGCTCGTATCGTGCTCTACCTCACTGATAATATTCTTTTGTTTTGCCTAATAAGGGAATTACGAATATGGACATACTTGTAACTTACCATTAAGTTAGTAATCATTTTAGTCCGTCGTTCTTTTGCGTGGCATGGTTTTTCGGTTGTATCTTACGGTTTTTGGTGGTCTTGATAGGGTTCGTAAATTCATTCTTTTTTTTGGAAGTGTTTTTAGTCGCATAAGGTGCATGTGCTAGATTAGTATAAACCGTATTTTTAACACTGCGATATATTTTTGTTTAAAGTTTGGTCAACGCTGTGTAATTATTTTTGTTTGACGATTTCTATCCAGCACATTGAATTTGTGTAAGACTTGATTCGTGACGCACATGGTCGGTGGATTGGTAATGTTATTGAACAGCGTAGTACAGTGTAGATATATTGTCGTTAAAACACATTCTTAACATGTTGTCCGTATACCAGTTTAAATTTTGTTTATAATTACTGCTTGGTGATGAATGATTTTTCTCGTTTTGATTGTTGACGGGCTTTGGTTTGCAGCGGCGGCAGTGCACGTTGGATTGAAGCAGGGGAAGATTGTCATTACGGTGAAGGATGGGCCGGGATTCTACACCACCCGCATCCTGGCGCCCATGCAGATCGAGATGATGCGCCTGTTACAGGTAACAACGTGCTGGCAGTGTTCTAACATTCTGTTGATTCAGTATAATAATCTTTCCATGCATGAATATGCTTTATCCTTTAATAATGTGGTTTCTGCAAGTGGTTAGCGTTACGTAGACTTTGCTAACCAGTTTACGGCGGCGCTGGGTTTGGTTGTTTAGTGCTTTCTTATTTGATAATAATATGCATATTATCATGTACACCGGCGACGGTCAGAAAAATAAATTTTTTGTATTAGTTTTTCGAGAATGCCAGGCTTTTACGCGCTAGAAACGGTTGCAATAGCGCCAGTAAGCGATTAATTTTATTGTTCTTTTTTGATATTACGAGTACATCAGCTACTTTCCTGATTAATATTGTTTGATCTTTTACGGTTGTCTTCTCTTAAGATTGTTTTATCAAGAAAGTTATTACGTACAATTTTCTTGAAAATATTAATTTCAATTCGCAAAGGTTAATTTTAAATGGTTACTGAATTAAATAGAGAATTTGATATGTCGCAAGCTTGATTTCATCGTGGTTATGGTTATTTTTTAATTGCCGAACAGGAAGGCCACGAGCCGAAGAAGCTGGACAAGATCTTCAAGCAGTTCGGGTTCCCGGTGGGCGCGGCCACCCTGGCGGACGAGGTGGGTCTGGATGTGGGCTCGCACATTATGGACTACCTGGTGGGTGTGTTCGGACAGCGGCTGAGCGGGGCCAACCCCCAAGCGTTGAAGGACGTGGTGGCCGCCGGCTTCCTGGGCCGCAAATCCGGCAAGGGCATCTACATCTACGAGGAGGGCAAGAAGAACCGCGAGGTCAACCCCGAGGCCGAGGCCATCTTTAAGAAGTACCTCACCAAGCCCGTTGTGGAGAAGTACGTGCACGCTTCCGTCGGTGGTAAGAATTATGCAAGAATGGTATGTTTTTGTAGTGAGAGCGTGGAGGATCTGCAGATGCGTATGGTGTCGCGGTTTGTCAACGAGGCGGTGTTGTGCTTGGAGGAGGGCATCCTCAATTCACCGGTACGCTGTGATTGAGCCATATGCAGGCTTATTCGATATGGAGAATTTTTGTATACATTAATATATTTATTTCACTTTTTGAATTCTTTTTTAAAAAAATAAAAGTAAATCGGGAATCGTGAAGTTTTACTGCACCGAGATGATATGATGATGATTGCGCTTTTTTTGCAGGTGGATGGTGATGTGGCTGCCGTTTTCGGATTGGGATTCCCGCCCATGTGGGGAGGTATGATTGTGCAATATATTCGAATACATTGCCGATTGTACAATATTCGAGTATATATTAGAACTATCGGTACAACAAATTAATGAATTATTGGTCAGTTACCGTCCCATTATGACATTAAAACATTTTAATGTTCTGTATATTTTTCTGTTCTTTATTTTTTAAATGAAAGATTAAGTATCAGGTTGATATATTTCTGGTAGAATTATTTTTTGATTTGGTTTGCTTTTTTTAAGAATTGGATTGGCGATTTGTTGTCTTGTGCAGTATGATTTATTGTCTTACATTAAGTAGACATCAACAAGGATGTGTGTCCATAAATGGTAATTATGTTATGATTTTTGTACCAGGTCCGTTCCGTTTCGTGGACCTGTACGGAGCGGATGAGCTGGTGGAGAAGATGGAGCACTTCCAGCAGCTGTACGGCGACCAGTTCCAGCCCTGCCGCACGCTGCAGGAGATGGCGCGGGATCCCTCCAAGAAGTTCCACCCTTCGTCGCAGGGCGGATCGCGCTCCAAGGACAACGGCGCGGAGAAGCAGGACAAATCCGCTCAACAGCAGCAGCAGAAAGCGGGAAGTGGATGGTCGGTTTAGGCGCTGCCAGATGAGAAGGTTGCATTAGTTATTAATTTTGATTTTGGTTGTTGTTTTTTTCTTCTTGGTGGAATTAATTCGTCGCTTGTGGATTGTGGGATTTTCCCGGCATTATTTATGGTTGTTAGCTGTTTGGTTTTGGTTTCTTGTGCTGCATTGCATTTGGTAAACGCGCGTAGTATTTTTAACGGAAAAAAAGATATTAAATAAATAAATTATGCATTAATGGTCGCCATTGGCCGTGCGATAATAATTACAAAGATTACATAATTATATAGGATTATGGAGTTAAGATTTCAAAGTAATAATAGTTTTCCACTTAAAATTTGATAGTAATAATACCCTACTTGAAACTATGAATTAATAGTACTTAATCACACATACTCCGCATTAAAATTTAATACTTCACTTAAATTACGTAACATTTAAAAAGCATCGCCAAGAATGAAGACATTCCACTGTGACGCGAGTGCGCATTAAAATCAATTACGCAATTCATAATAATTAAAAAATAAAAATAATTTTTGTAACAATAAGCTTTTTAATGTTAATTACAGTAATTATTGACTGCCGGGACAATCTCGTATCTGGCCACGAAACGGGTAAAAATCATTTCGTTGTTAATTATGGTCAACTGGCGACGCACTGGGATCTTTTCGTACAAGTATTTAATTAAGTTATCATTACTTTTTGACATTTAGCCAACGAATCAAAGCCTGCTTATCCGTAATTGCGGTTGGCGCTGCCTGTGTAAAGTGCTTTCGGGATGATGCTCTTACTTTTTCCGGTGCTCTGGGAAAACAGCATGACGTGATGTCACATGAATAGATTAGACACACGGAGAAGCGCTAAATCTTTACATACGCACAGAGTTCAGGCAGGAATTTCATTTAAAAGGTTTTTTTTTTGCTTGCCTAAAAGGATGGCGCAAAAACGCTGCTTTTAAGTCTAATATCACCATTAAACGGCCTCTGTGGATATGGTAATCGTGATCCAGGCAGCAGTGGCGCTAATCTACCGGCTGGATTGCCAAGTTTTTGCCACATCCGCTTTAAAATGAATGTGCGTATTTCATGAAATAAACAAATCGATATCGTCATATTGATATCGATTATACACATGCTCTTAGTTCAGTGTTCAGATGGTATTTAAGCGCCCACTAAACAGATGCCGGCATCCTCTGGAATCACATTTTTTAACAGACGTTTTTATCGGTCTTCTTCCGAAATTAACGATGGATTTCCAAAATGCCACTCGGGTGGCGCAGATGGAACTTTCGTACGGCTTTAATTCCAACATGACCGATATTGTTTGCGCCTCAGATCGGGCTTGTGCCACGTACAGGATGATCCTGTACGCACGATATGGTTATTGGATGACCATCTCCCTGTGCGTAATGTCCGCGGTCACTCTTCTTCTCATGCTCCACTCCGTTTATAATCTGATTATAAACCGGAATTCAGCGAATCAAAAAAAGCAGTTGCTGCAGGAGGCGAAAACGCAAACGCAAATGCAGAAAGAAATGGTCAGCAGTCTGCAGTATCATACAGAGGTCCAGACGGAGTTACTCTCGGTGCTGACGCTACCGGCGCGCCCGGATGATGAAAATATGACAACAGTCTCTTTTTCACCTTTATCAGCCGGCACTTCTTCATCTGAATAATTATTTTTATCCCTCTTCTGATCATTAACTTTTGCGGTGACAATCTGTTGGGAGTGACCTTTTTCCAGTCCCAATTAATTTTATCAGTTCATTTCCGCTCGCTGTGGCGTCAAGTTGCTGTCAAGGTACGATCTTCTGCAGGTTTTGTCCGTAAATGAAAAAGTACAGCTACGAAAATCGTTTTCACGTGCATAACTCCCTTCAAATTTTAAGTTAAATTTTAAAATTCGTTAAATTTACTTTAAACTTCTAAAAAAGTTGGAATTTAAATTTAAACTGTTAATTTGAAATGTCTTCTGATTGAATAAGTTCAATACTGCAGTGAGACCCTGTTCATCGTATATTCAATAGAGTAGGCATTGTCAATCGCACGGCCGAACATTTCATCTTCATTGCCAAAAGGTCACTCAAGATCACCCGCTGCATAAACGCAATAATTATTTGGTAAGCAGTTTTTGTCATGTGGAACAAGTTCCGAGCAACGCGGAGGATATATACCGTGTCTCTGATGTCCGGTACGCGAATCCGTATTGTGAAAATGTCCGGAATTTGCTACGTCGAAGTGTACAGATTAGCGATTATATGTTCTGGTCATTTTCACATTTTGTATTAGTTATTTTTTAATATTTACCTTATGATCATGGTACTGGAAAGGTAGAACTGCTTTAGTGTTAATCTACGCAGATTTTTCTCGAGGTCACTCTGACTGGTCAGCAAGCATTATGATGGATATTTATTGTAATTGATTGAGGTGTAATCTGTGTACGGCATGATTACATCGTACTCTATTTGTACGATACTGTTAATCGGCGTTTAACTGACTGCGCTTTCGGTGCTAATATTGTAACTTGTACAGGTAACTTGCAATTAAAGTAATTATGTTTATATTGGCTTATTAGTTTTTATTCGCGTTCAGCAAATTATGGCTTTAATTTCAATTGTTCAATAAATGCATAATTTTATTAAGCAATTTACCGATTGTACTTTTACATAACCAGATAATTAAAGAACCGAAAAGCTGAACATGAGTTACATCACAAGAGCATGAGTTCGTTCACAGATACAATATACCGCATTTCGATTTTTTTAATAACTCATAAACTTTGAATATAATTTGTAAAGTACAATGTGGAGTTCTTAACCTCGTTTTCGTTCTTCTATGGGAAATTACTGATGATCGGTAAAATAAACAATAACAAAATTTGGAAAATTAAATTAATTTGCCGGTAAATAGGTGTCCCGGATCTGGACCGCTTTTGCAATGAAGACTCGGTTGACCGGCAGCCGATGCAGCACACGTACAGCAGTGTGGACTACGTCCGCGTTGACTTCTAAGATTCCCACGGTAGGTGATGCAGACACACCCTTACGCTGTCACGCTGTATGAACCGGATCGATTTGCAGACATGGAGTGCCTGACGCTTGAATGGCCCTTGCTGTGACAGTGTGGTTGCAGATGTTGTCGCAGGATGAGTGGAAGGGCTACCTGAAGCTGCTGCAGTTCAGCGTCGCCGGTCTGGAGATGACCTTTCTGAGCTGGGGTCTCGCCGGGATGGGCAGCGCGTCGCAACTCGTCGTGTTCGCCTACTTGCACTACTGCTATTCGGCTAAGCTTCTGCCTGTTCCCGGGCAGGCGACCTGGTCCGCTTCCTCTAGTTTCATGCAGCTCTTTCCTTGGGTCAGTTTCCCCGGCGCTGCCGGACTCTTCCTTTTGGCGAATTGAAAGCAATTTTAACTAATTCATCAACTAATTTTATAAATTAAATTCAATGCATAACCATTTATTTAATGTTAAATTCCAGTTCGAGAAATTATGAAAAATAGACTTAAATAATTTAAAAATAATCACAAAAAAAATTACCGTATATGGTTATATTTTTTACGGCTTTTATTGGTTGCAGCCGGTGTCGGCATCGGCCACCTCCTCGCCCACCCCGATCTTCCGCCTGGGCGTCCACACAGTACCCTCCAGCGGGCAGCTGCCGGTCTTTGACCGCGGCTCGATCTTCGCAGGCCTGAATACGGATCAGCTGGCTCTCGAATTCCTCTCGGTGATGCACAGCGCGGTCAGTCCCACCACGATCCTCATTAGCCACCACAACGAACCCGCCACCCCGCCGATCCTCCGGCCCGCTGCCAGTGATGGGATCCCCCACTGTCCCAGCAGCTCGCTGACACCCCCTTGCAGCGACCTGCACAGTCCGCTGGTATCCCCGTTGGGTATCCCGGAATACCCACTCAGTTTGGTCAGTAGAATAATTTTCCAACATATAATTCACCATTTTTGCTCTCTAAATTATATATAAGATTGGTGACATAAAAAATTTGGCGATTGGTGATTTAGAAAATTTTAAAATACGTAAATTTAAAGTGTCATATTATAAAATAATAAGTTTTAAATGGATAAATTATTCCTGGTTGGATTTTAGGCTGGCTGCAGTTGTGCTACTCGGTGCTTTGCCTATTCTCCTCTACCGCCGCTGGCCGCGACTCCAACGCTGCCGCCAACATTACCCCGATTCCGACAGCGGCAGCATGTCTCCAGCTGATCTAACTGATCCCGCTTCCATGTGGCGGTGTCCTTGCTATGTAATTCGTGCTGCTTCATGCCGGTGTGTGCACGCTCTCGCTTGTTCGCACGCTACATATTGTAACGATAGAAAATTGTAGTACCGCCAAATGGGATTGTTAAATGCTTTTCTACATCTGCTATTGGTTCATGCATTGCTTCTCTTCCTCATTAAGATCATGAATCAGCATCAGCATCTCATTATCTTACCGTTTTACCGCTACAATCTCGATGCTCTTGACTTTTACTTTGGCGCACTAGGATCATTTTTGGATTTTGCTTCTTGCTAGCTCGCTAACCTTGCTTTTTGCCTGCTTGCCCAGTTTACTTGCTAATAAGAATCTTGCTGTGACTGCCATGACCGGCGTTGATGTTTGTGATAACGCTGGGATGAATCGTCTCATCTCACTTAGGGTAGTTGTAATTGCCACCTCATTTCCGGTCAGCATCTTGCCGACCATGCCAGCCTTTTGGCTATTAGTTAGCTTTACAGCTGCTACATCGTGGTACGGTGGATTAGCCATCCCACTTGAACAGCAGCTTAATTCACTGTAAGGCGCGATTCAAGTATTACGTAACGGAAATTTTCAACTTTTTCGACCACCCCCCCACCCTTTTGTGACCTTTATCCATGTATTACTTATGGGCGGGTAACGCCAGCCGGACCCACCCCCCAACCCTGAGCCGTTACGTAATACTTGAATCGCGCCTAATCGTTTTGTGCCTGTGTTTTCGTAATAAAATCATTCCTATAAAATTTCGGACAATATATCAAACGATATTTCCACCTATATATGTATGGTTAAATTTTAAATTGCACTAAAATGACTTTCCGGAAAATTGATCGTAGACCACAAGAGCATCTGAGGCGAAGCCGAAGATGACTCTTGGAAATTATATAGTGAAATGACTGCCCGTACGAGTAGTGTTCAGTGAGCAAAGCCCTCTATATAGGTTAGTGACTAACCGAGTTACTACATCCGTTCAGTGCTCAAAGCCGGCTAAGTTGGTATGCATTAACCGAAACACCGTTACTGTCCGGTGTACCCAGTCCGTTAACTGAGCGAGTAACCGAGCTACCACTACATTACGTGAGCGAGTGAACTAAACTATCACTATCCGGTGCACGCGTCCGTTAGGCGGAGGGTGACCGGATTACCACCACACCACTGTTCAGTTCTGTACGTATTTTGTGCGTAGTTGACAGTAACTGTTAGTTAGATTTCGGTTAATTTCCGCATTCAAAATTTAGCATTGTTCACCTGCAAAGTAAATGAAAATGCGCATGAGCGCCAAGAAATTGCGTTTTTGCACTGTTGGATTTCACTTACTGTGCTTCGCCGAAATCTGAAATGTTAGTCCATAAACTAACCAAAATCATTTTTGAATAAACCGGCCATAGAGTGCGGACCACAAGAAACGCGGAGGCGAAGCTGAAGAGCTGTTATTAATAGACCGAACACCCGCATCCCTATTTCGGAATAAAACGAAAATTTTCAGAAACAATTGTTTTTGTTAGTAAATATTTCTGTTCATGGATCTAAATTCATAGAGTATTAACCGATTTTGTTTCTCAGGATCTGGCTTATGCTGCTGTCCGAGGGCACCGTGTACTTGTCGCAGACCCGTCGGCGATAAGCCGGTCTTCTAGTTAGGTGGCAACATCATCAGGTGCACCTTATTACAATGCTACTAATAATATTCAGAAAAATTGTATTTTGGACGTCGGGCTATTTTCTGTTTTTAACTCGTCTTCGCTGTTTGAAGCCGAAGCTGTTTCGAAAGAAATGAATATTATCTGGCCGGGTTTTTAACTACGGGCTTTCAGACTATAATATTGGTTTTGGTCGGTCTTTTCTGGTTTGGTGGGTCGAGTACGTGGGAATATTGATCTATCTGATCTGATTGTGGATACGAATCATACGAGTACTCAAAGTGACCTAGCTATGAAAAAGCTATGACCTAGTTATGAATTAGGTACAAGTATTGCATTATACAGTATATACAGATCAAGGAAGAAGATCCACATTACAACAACCCTGTAACCTCTGGATCAGAAAAACAAGAAGGAAATCGATAAACCTAAAAACGTTATTCGATTCATCACGGTTAAACACCGTGTCACCCACATTCTGTTTTAACAAAAAACTTCTGCGCCCGCTGACAGACATGCCGGAACCGGTGCCGGTAGACCTTCAAAAAAATTGCAGGTGTGGTTGCATTAATTAGAGCGAAAAACCAATAATTTAATGTGTTTTAACTGAAAACGATATACTAGGATCAAAATAACAAAACCTAATTTGACCATAATCATCGGCTGACCTCTCATTACAATCCTTTTAAAGTCTTTAACAAGCTAATACTTTCTAAGTTAACCCGGTACATAACACTGATCGAATTCATGTACATCCACGGAAACTTCCGCTTATTCGCAAGCCCAAACACCTTTTTTTGGTCGTTTTCGTAGTATATGACCTATTTATTATTGCAAAACTCTTGTCAAAAATTCATCAAGCTGACGTCAAAAAACACTTTTTTTTCACGAACGAACAAAACAAAACGAACATAAGTATGCCAAAATGTTAAAAAATAATTAGCGTTTCGACAAATATAACGGGCCGTGCTTTTCTGCTTCAGTAAACTGCGTTCCGATAGAGCCAACGACGAAATCTTGGGCCAATGTTGATTGCCCCGAATTCAAGACAAACAAGCAACATCGATGCAGTCGGACTGCCATTCCACTGGTTCAAGCGGATGCTGTGACTATTCATTCCAGCCAGGGCCGTACAATGGAGAAGACTGTGGTAGATCTGGGGAAAAAGGAGTTTGCTCCCGGTCATAGTTTTACGGGTTCTTCCCGCACTCGTCGCTTACAAGATTTAGCTTATGGAAAGACGTTTGATTATAAGAGAATTCAGTTTTCTGGGTCTAGAGTAATTGCTGACCGGCTGAAGGAAGAAGCCAGATTAGAAGCTCTTGCAAAATCAACGTTTTCCAGTGGTATGTAACAACTTGTTTATGGAAGTAAAGGGTTGTTTTACAAGTTACAATTTATAGGGCAATCAGTATGCGACATCGAACCGGCAGAGATAGAAATAAATTATCCACAAGAAGAATCTGACCATGAAGAAGAAGAAGAAGGGAGGAATAGACTGGCTGTCTGGAACGCGTTTTTAAATAAAACGCTGGCCGATAGAAGCTTGACACTCGTCAATGTTGCGGGTGATGGGAACTGCTTTTACCGTGCTTTGTCGTTTGCACTATATGGAACTGAAGATCGTCACCTCGAAGTTCGAACAAATATTTTTGATTTCATGGCTCGTCCTGAAAACTTCCCCTTCTTAAAAGACCGATGTCCGGATTTAACCAGAGAAGGACTGTTAATTCTTTTGAACGGAATGCTGCAAGCTAACACTTGGGCTGGTGCTGAGCAATTGGTAGCCGCGTCTAAAGCCCTGAAGTGCAGTATTACCTTTGTTCATCCATATACTGTGTGGGATTTTGATAAGACTAATGTTCAGTCTCAGAAATCTTGTACATAGTCTATGATGGAGTTAATCATTATATGACGGCAATACGTGAATAAAAATCGAAACAAAAACACCTCACGATTTTAAATAAGTATTTAAACGCAAGTGTTACGATTTATAGCTGCATATTCCCAGCGGACTAGCGCTCGCGCTCGGTGCATTGATGTGGTTAACAACCACCACTAGTTAATTACTTACAGACGAGCACAGAACGTAAGTACAATACGTACGGCGTACAGCTACATGTCAATGCAAAAGTAAGCATGCAGTTAATTAATGCAATACTCAAGTTTCATCCAATCGCAGTGTTTATTAATAATGCTTGCTGACAAGTCAAAGAAGCCTAAAAAAGTCTACTCAGTAGACAAACACTAAAGCGGCTCTGGCTCACCAAAACCATGATCGTAGAATGACTGTTAAAGGTCACAGCTGCGGCTTGGTCATAAACCGTAAAATTTATATAATCGATATGACATCGCTAAACTAAATTTTTTCGCCTAGGTTATTAAAAGTGGCCTTCTGGACGAACCATTCATTGCGGGTACGGTCGGGCTGCACCCAGCACTGGACGACTAACGGTTCATCGCGGAGTGACATACACTCGTGGGCGCGCATGGTCATCTGGCAGGGTCCTTGATGCGGATGGTCGACATCCCGGCACCCCCATGAAATATTCTTGAACGTCACACCCAGCGGATTCAAAAGGTCAATGGTTTTGGAGTCAAACGCTTCCATCAAGAACTCTTGCAGCCCGGGTGGTTCTTTGGAGACCACGACAAATTTATCATCCAGTTTCCAGATAAATTTAGGCGGGTGTCTACCGCATATGCAATTAAATGTGGTCTTGCATGTGAAAGCAATTGTCGAAGACGTGAAGATTTCGGTGGCGCGTGTTCGAACTGTTGTCATCTCACCGGCAAACACTTGCTTAGCCGAGTGGAATTTCCCCACCAGCTCCCAGTGTTTAATCACGCGTAATCCGTCGCTACCATTAATATACTGCAGGCACTGGACGTCGCCGTTGGCATAAAAGGTCATGTTATGGATAAAGAAATGGCTGGCATTTTGGTGTGTAGCGAGGGTGTAAAAATACGCCTCGGACGTCGTCGGCGGAGTGGTGTTGGCGGGGATCGTCAGGAGGTTATGTCGCCACACCAGTTGCAGGGAATCAGGCATTCCCGTCGCCATTGGCGTACAGGAAAACGCCGCGGTGGTTCCGATGGGCACGCGCACGACCTCGTGCTCTACTGCGGGTAAAAACCGGTCCAGCATCGGTAATAACATTCGTCCATCCCGGGCTTCCTGTTCAGCTTGGCGAAGGGACTGTTCCACTAAAAAAATAAGGTGATATTCCTTCTACAGATGCAGCTGTAGAAAGGAGAGAGTAATAGTCACACATAGAGAGTAATATAGAGAGTAATAACATAGAGAGCAATAGTTAACATAGAGAGTCATAGTCATACTGTAGTACTGATGATAATCATCTTGATACGGTAATTTATTTATAATATGTACATCAGCGAACACCATGCTCAGTAAACACAATCACATAAAGAATTTGTCCCAATTAACATGAGAAGGGACTGTGCACAACACACTCATACATTCCCATGATACTATGCACTTAATTTTAAGCTTACAGGGCGTCAACCGCGGATAACATCCTCCGCACCATGCTCCTTCTAATATCATCTTCACTGATATTAACAGCCACAGGCCGCAACTACTCGCCAATGCCGGAATTTGCGGGAGCATTCTGGGAACATGTACAAAGTGAAATTATTCCGGAGATACAGATTTTCAGAAAGAATTCCCACGATCGACGCCCGTGTGCGAGTGAACGTTTCGTCACTTGTTCGACTGCATGGGTCCTGCTGCACCAACGCTGTTCTTACTCATTTACGTGGAATGTATGACTGGGCATAATCCCTAGCAGCCATATTGTAAGGCTTCGTTCGTATATAGTAACTCATATGATTATCATGGTCATATGTTATATTGAGGAATGGATTCGATTATGAAGCCAGTAAATGCGGCACTTCTGTTTAACGGTTCGAGCAGTTTTCGTCAGTTTAAGCTCAATCCAGCTTTGGTGTAAATAGCTTACGACTCGTTATGAGCAGTATCGTTTGAACTTTATCCATAACACAGTCAGTACAGTGTACGTACGTATAATCACTATCATGCACTAATATTACGCACACAAGGAGTCATCGTCGGCTGCGCCTCGGATGTTCTTGAGGGTCTCCTATCATTTGATGGAAAATAAATTTTTAGGCGATCCGAAATGTAAGCACAGGTGGAGCAGAGATACGCGGCGGGCTATCGTGACGAGCAGTCAGTCGTTTGGCCCTTTGACAGGTAGGCAAGCGCTTAATGCGCCCCTTGGTGGAGCGCATTCAAAAGTTCATCTTCAGCCGGGAGTTTGGGCGCAACTTTGTCCTGAAGAAGGCCCGGGAGACCGTGATGAAGACCACGTCAGACTAAGGTAAGAAAAAGTTATTTTTATTGTTTTCTTCCGCGGCTCTTTCTGTATGTTTATGAGTATATTTACGTATTTCAGTGGCTGTATGTTTTTTTGAGAAATAATTCGCTGGTAGCTTTTTAAGTTGCGAATGAAGCAATGAGAGCTTCTATAGTACATAGCACATAGCATGTACGTCAATGAGACGCGTTCGCGCACTTCCAAACACTTTGTAGCGCAGATTGAAACGGCGATGCCGGCGTCTCTCTTGCCGGTGCGCTGTGCCCTAAGGACTGTGACTAAGCAGTACCCACCACTAAGTTTTACTCTTGTGGACGCCGTTTAAAGGCAGCGAAAACAGATTCGACGCAACAGCTATGCGACAAGAGCTGTACGTGGAGGATTACTCTAATACTTGTATCATTCAGTGAGAAGCGCATCGGGATAATGTAGCGCCGGGTGGACTTTACACTTTACACACCGCATAGCCGGCTTCTTAAAATTGGTTACGGTAGGCGTCGCATCGTTGTTAGACGGCAAACGTTAGTACAGTATAAATTTCTTACGTTGCCAGGTTCGGGTTCCGAAGGTTAGTGTTAATCCACCCAGTATTTAATCTCAAAAGAACTTAAAAGTAAAAACACTTCAGCCCGTGGTGAAAAACTTGGATACCGTTTTTAAATTAATGAGATTGTTCATTGCACCGATGATGGACCGCATTCCAACCAGCGAAAACTGCTGCTACCGTCAACCAAAAGTGTCACCCATTTACTTACTTCATAATAGAATTCTTTCCTTAACAATAATATTATAATATTTGTATAAAGCAGTTCATACAATATGGCCGCGAGGAATTATGCGTAGTCATACATTCCATGACTGCGCAGTCGTCAGCGAAGTAAGGAAGCGGCTGATGCTGAACAAGCTGACGATCGAAGCGTTGCTCACACAGCCGTCAATGGTGGGAACTGATTCTCACTGCAACCCCGTATCTCAGGAATCATTCACTGTGTACACCTTTCTAGAATGCTCCCACAAATCCAGGAGCTGCGCAGTAGTTGTATGTGTCTGTTAATGTCAGTGATGATAATGAGAGAATCAGCTTTGTGCGAAGGATGTCATCCGCGACTTACGCCATGTAAGCTTAATTATAGCATTAGTATAAGCATTTCTCCTACTAGAAGGATCATCATACTTTTTAGTGGAACAATCCCTACGTCAAGCTGAACAGGAAGCCCAGGATGGTCGGATATTACTGCCGATGCTGGACGGGTTTTTACCCGCCGTGGAACATGAGGTCGTGCGCGTGCCCATCGGGACCACCGCGTCGTTTTATTGTACGCCTCTGACAACGGGAATTCCTGATCCCGTCCAACTGGTATGGCGACATAACTACCTGACGATCGCCGCCAACACCACTCCACCGTCGACGTCCGCAGAGTACTTCTACACCCACACGGTACACCAAAATACCAGTTATTTTTTCATCCATAACATGACCTTTGATGCCCGCGGCGACGTGGATTGCCTGCAGTACATCAATAGTAGCGACGGACTACAAGTAATTAAACACTGGGAGCTGATGGGGAAATTCCACTCGTCTAAACAAGTATTTGCCGGCGAGATGACGACGATTCGAACACGCTCCACCCGAATCTTCCAAGCTTCTGAAATTGCCTTTACATGCACGACAACGTTTAACTGTATTTGCGGTACACGCACCCCCGATTTTATATGGAAAGTGGAAGAGAAATTCGCCATCGTGCCCAATGAACCACCCGGAATGAAAGAGTTCTTGTTCGAAGCGTTTGACTCGAAGACCACTGACCTTTTAAATCCGCTGGGTGTGTTGGTATACAATACTTCGTACGAATGCCGACTGGCCGCTGATCCCGAGCAAATACGATGCCGGATGACTATGCACGCCTACGAGTCTCTGTCACTTCGCGATAAACCGTTGCTCGTCCAGTGCTGGGTGCAACCCGACCGTACCCGGAATGAATGGTTCGTCCAGAAAGCCACTTTTAATAATCTCGGGAAAAAGTTTAATTTTTCAGTTTATGCGAGTAGTTGAGCGATGTCACATTGATTTTATGATTTACGGGTTACCAGTTTGGTCGCATTGGTTGCATCAGTTTGATCAATCTGTTAATTTTTTCAATAACCACCTTACCGAAAACGGTTTTCACGCCCTTGTACAAAAATCATCTGGCTCTACAATTTCTTTTAAAAAACAATGCTAAAGCGTGTTTGAGTGAGTGCGAACGCAAGAGTTTCGTGCATATTAAGTACAAGATCTATACTACATGCGGCACCCCATAGTTCTGAGTTCTCAGTAACCAGAACATTTTTTTAAACAGACACTACCAATAGATCGGCCTCGGTCCGGAACTGGATAACATGATTTTCGTTTTTAAAATTCGTTCGGCCAGAACTGTGCCGGCACGATGCCGCAAACGATCCAGCCCACTTTCAAAGCGACCTGGGAATTTAGAAAAATTTTGCTCGGATACAATATTTAAGAATACTTATTAGGTGAACTAAAGTGAAAGTAAAATCATAGTTAATTCTACTTGTTTTCGCTCCACACGAAGCACAAAATCGCAGATCAAACTCCCGGGTTTCCATGTCGGCATTACGGCAGTTTCCATGTCGGCATTTTGTACAATATTACGTTACAAGTACAAAACAAGAACCTACATTACTATTTATACAGTTAAACGTTTATCGTACTTACTGTTTGATTTGCTAGGACCACTCCTCAAACACTTACTGCAGGAGCCGCATTTACAGATGTATGGCTTCGTACCGGCTCCTCACAATTTAAAACCCATATTGCTGTTCAGCTTATCGTTAATAATGTACGTACTACTTGTTATGTATTCAGATTGATTAGACCTGGTTTTCGGTTAAAAAACATCAATATTATAATATTCTATACAAGAAACAGCTGCGGCTTCGCCTCCGCGTTGGCCGCGTCGCTTAATTCAGCTTGCTTTGAACGCTTGTCGGAATACGAGGATGTACATATTTTGAGAACAGTTACTGAAAAAAATTTTCTTCGCACGAGTACGTTTTAAAATATTACGGTATCTGCAGGGAAGCAATGAAATGAGATGAATTTAGCAGCGCTAATAAGACGACCTGACGACTCAACGGGTTTATGCGCAGTCATACACTCCATGATTGCACAATCGCAAGCAAAGTAAGGGGATGGTTGGCTGAGCGGCTGATGTCGAACAAGGTGACGATCGAAGCGTCACTCACACAGCCGTCGATGGTGGGAACTGATTCTCGCTAAAAACCCCGTACCTGCATAATAATTCACTTTGCACGCCATGCTCTAGAATGTTCTCGCATATCCAAGCGCTCCCAGGTAGTTGTGGCACGTGGCTGTTCATATCAATGAAGGTGATATTGGAAGGAGCATGGTGCGACGGATGCTATCCGAGATTAACGCCCTGTAAGCTTGTATATCTCAAAGTATTTAATAGCACTGTACCAACTAAACGTATCAACTTACTTTTTAGTGGAACAATCCCTGCGACAAGCCGAACATGAAACCCATGATGGCCGGATGTGGTTACCGATGCTAGACCAGTTTCTACCAAAAGTAGAACACGAGGTCGTGCGCGTGCCCATCGGGACCACCGCGTCGTTTTCCTGTACGCCACTGACAACGGGAATTCCTGATCCCCTGCAACTGGTATGGCGACACAACCTCTGACGATCGCCGCCAACACCACTCCGCCGACGACGTCCGAGGCGTATTTCTACACCCGCACTATACACCAAAATGCCAGCCATTTCTTTATCCATAACATGACCTTTTATGCCAACGGCGACGTCCAGTGCCTGCAGTATATTAATGGTAGCGACGAATTACGCGTGATTAAGCATTGGGAGCTGGTGGGGAAATTCCACTCAGCTAAGCAAGTGTTTGCCGGTGAGATGACAACAGTTCGAACACGCGCCACCGAAATCTTCACGTTTTCGACAATTGCTTTCACATGCAAAACCACATTTAATTGCATATGCGGTAGACACCCGCCTAAATTTATCTGGAAACTGGACGATAAGTTTGTCGTTGTCTCCAAAAAACCACCCGGGCTGCGGGAGTTCTTGATGGAAGCGTATGACTCCAAAACCACTGACCTTTTAAATCCGCTGGGTGTGACGTTCAAGAATATTTCGTGGGGGTGCCGGGATGTCGACCATCCGCATCAAGGACCCTGCCAGATGACCATGCGCGCCTACGAGTGTATTTCACTCCGCGATCAACCGTTAGTCGTGCAGTGCTGGGTGCAACCCGACCGTACCCGCAATGTATGGTTCGTCCAGAAAGCCACTTTTAACAACCTTGGGGAAAGAATTTAATTTTTCTCGATTTTCTGTGCAGCGTTGTCACATTAATTTTGCGGTTTACGGTTGACCAAGCGCAGCTGCGATCTTTTGACCTTTAGAATCATCCTGCGATCATGGTTTTGGAGAGCCACATCTGCTTTACTGAGTACTCTAGATTTTTCGTGGGATTTCTTTAACTGGTCAGCAAGCGCCAAAAGGATACATACACCGGTTTTGCGATTAAGTGAAACACTGAAACTTGGATGATTACGCTATTATTTGTGCCTGTATCAGTGTATAAGTGTACGAGTACTGTACTTTCTGTGCACGCCTGTAACTAATTATTTTTTTTCTTGGTATATATATTTTCTGTTATTATCTGCATGGAAAAAGATGCCACCGACATCAGTTTGATGAATTTTTGCCAGAATGCATGTAACTCCTAAGCGTAAGGTCGGTAAGGAGACAATGAAAATTATTACACGAGTACTGACATAAAATGTAAAAACGGTAAGCAGTAGAGTGAACTCTTTTTTTCCTCACCAAAGCATTTACAGTAACTTAGAAGGCAATCACTCTTATTAAGCATCAATCGAGAGGGGCGGCCTAATTACAGAGAGAATTTGATTTAAATTTGCTCCCAATGGCGCTGTCCCCATGATCGATGCCGCATTTCCTCGTTGAATTTCAATGCTGATCCGTTGGCGAAGGTATTCCGTGGCACGTTTTTCGCCAGTTTCTTGTTGTATGAGCTGTCCAAATTCCGTTATCGTGCGGGCAGCTTCCGGCCCGGGCGGCCCGAGCGTTTCAAAGCCAGAGGACGGAACCAGTACTCTTGGCCGATATCGCGATATTTCTCGATCTTGCCCTGTTCGGCCTGTGCTGCTGCTGCTCCCGCTCGTGCGGATGTCGCAATAATATGCGATATGGCCATTGTGTTGACGCAAGTAGCATCCCATGCCAGCATTCGTCCTCTATCCCATGGTGTCAAGGTAACTCCGTCTGGTCGCTTACTTTCTGTTGGAAAGATACCTTGCGGTTCCAGTTCGCTTTCGAAACCAGCAGATGCGAGGCTACGCTTCACAATGGCGTTCAGGCATTTATGTGTGGGGATTCGTCCTCGGCTTTTCTTGCAGCTTAGGCCATGGTAGCCTCGAGTATCCGCCCATTCACCGCATACACAGCGGTGTGGGGTAATTACCGGTGCCCCCAGACGCAAACCAACGGCGATTCTTACCACGGAGTCCGTAAGAAGGTTGCCAAGGGAGGCAACCGGCAGCGCTCCCAACCATGCCCCATTTTCTTTCGTGCTCACACCTCGCAGCCTTGCCTGTTCGGAGATGTCGGTAAGCATACCGTATTTACATAATTATAGTCGAAGTGGGTACATATCGAAGAAGATTCGAAGTACGAGTAGGTATTGTACATACTGAATGTTTACAGCGATATAGCCTGATATAAGATATTCATAGCTATGTTATGTTATGCAGCCTGATAAATGTGCGCATCGCCTTCTCGATTAAGGCGGGTGCCCGCCATAAGCACCTGGGCATTAACACTGCCCAATACCGCTGAGACGTACAACAAAATCTTTATTACGAATTTCATCCAAAGTAAAATTCCCTGCTATGCTTAACAACAAAATCTCCAAAATCATTGCGCCTCTACCCATGCAACGAACCCGAGTCCAGTACAATACAGCCGCTAATCAAACCGAATTCCACCAAGTACACAACGTTCAACCTCATCCTCAAGAACAAAAAAAAACATCAAACCTACAAATCTGCATTCCCTGTGCCAAAACACCAATCCGCGCCGCGAAACAATCTTAACAAAAAGAAAAACAAATATTCGACCTAGCAATTTCAAATAATCATAATGTATTTTACTGGTAAATAATATGTTTGTAAATAATGCAACGATTAACGAACAACTGAGACCCAAACACATCCGCATCAGCCGACAAAAAGGAAGAGACTGAGATTCCCCCGGCCCCAACGTCCCCTGTTTCAGCCGTTGGCGTCGGCGAACTCGTACACCTGCGAGCGGTCCTCCTCCGTCCCCGGGCCCTCTTCCATGTCCACATCCTCGTCGACGCCGTTGCGTTTGGCCTCCTCCTGCGGGTGAGCGCGGATCAGATGGAATTTGAGCGTCTGCGCCCGGTCAAACTGCCGGCCGCAGTGCTGGCAGCCGTACTTGGGGTTCCCGTCCCCGGCCGCGCTACTTCCCCCTCCTGTCCCGCTGGAGCCCGATTGGCCGCGGGTGTGGTGGTGCGCGGCCTGCTGGGCGGCGTAGCTGTCCGGGAAGGCGTACTCCACCGGGTGGCATTTCTTCTGGTGAGTGGTGAGATTGTGACGCTGGGTGTAGGATTTGTCGCAGTACTGGCAGGCATGACGGCCGCCTTTTCCGCTGCTGGAGCCGGGCGCGCCGCCGGCGCCGTCCAGGGCCTCCACGGCCGCCTGCGTCATCTGCATTATTACAACAATTTATGTAAAACGAATAAAAAAAAACAATAAATAAATTATTAAAACAATAAACAAATTAATAAACACTAAACTAACACAATAAATTCATGTTGTATCTACCGACTTATTATAAAATCAATATCCACTCAAAATTTCAACGCAACGCCGATTTAACCGACAATTTACTACACCAAACGGATCGAACTTGCTGCTTGACGCGTAATTGAACCGTCTGCTGATATTCTGATGCCAAATAAGCATAAACTAAATCAATGTAAAATTCGTCAAAACATTCTCCCAATTTTAACAATTTTCGATATTGTTCCCAACGAGTATCAAAGGATCGGCAGTTGTTTTGAATATTCCTGCACCTTTGCACGGCTACGATTTGTTGGCTTAATAAGTTTCCTGATATATTATTAAACTGCCAAAAAATTCTCTTCGATATGTTTTCGCTTGGCGCTGTTTCCTACGTCGCCATTCGTATAACTAAACTATTTCGAATTCGAAGGACGGAAGGAGAACAAGCAAGATAAGCAGCAGTTTTAAATTTTAATAAACATTCCCACAATACACATCGTAGAAATGGAAACCAGCAAACGAATTACAAAAGGAAAAAAGCCACATTTTTGGATATTTGGTTTGCAGATCGATTAAAAATTTAGACAGAAAAGTTACAACAGAAAAACGCCACCACAGGAACACCAAGAAAATGCGGGAGTCAGTAGTAAAGATTCGAAAAATCCAAAGCCAACCACAACCGTGAGATTTTCATTACAACTGCACACTTCTGTTTAACAAATTGAATAAACTGCGCACATAGTGAGATGTATTCCAAAAGAGAAATATTTAATATTAAAGCAAAAGCAGCGAAATGCCAGGGTTAAACGCTCACCTCTTCCGTCTGCGATCCGCGCGGCTCACTCTCCGTGGCGCTCTCCTCCATGCCGTTCAGCACCGGCACCACCACCTGCGGGGCGATCGCCGTCACCGCCGCCGGCACCGGGCGCTTGCGTCCGCGTCCCCGCCGCCCTCCCCGTCCCCGGCGGCCTCCACGCCCGCGTCCACGTCCGCGTTTCACCACCGCGCCGCCTCCGCCACTCAGCGTCACCCCCGTCGTCAGGGGATGGGTCTTGTCGGTGTGAGCGCGCAGGTTATGCAGCGCCGTGTAGGATTTATCGCACTGGGTGCAGTAGAAGCGCTTGGGATCCTTGAGAATGGACACCTCGAACACGGGGGCCACCGGCGCCGGCGCCATCGTCTTGGCGACGGTGGACAGGCCGCGGTGCGCCGAGCGGGTCACCCGGTTGGAAGACGACCCCGCCGCGGTGAGGGCGGTGGATATGATGGTGGAAGCAGCAGGGGGATCCGGAAGGGTGGAGATGGTCTGCGCCCGACGCGGACTGAAGCCCTTCTTGCGGCCGCGACGTCCGCGCACGGCCGGCGGGGTCAGGGTGGCCGGCGGCAGCGCCGTCAGGGACGCCGGCTCACTGCGCTCGTACACGGTCATACTGCCGTTGTGGAACCTACAGCAGCCGGAAAATTTTATCAAGTAATTCTCTTCCCCACATGCTGTCATTTCACTCCAAAAGAATTCCGTATATAAGTACAATTATTAACCACAAAACTTTTCAAACACTCCCTGATCAGTAAATTTTAAAAAAAACAATTTAGAAAGTGAAACTGTACTCGTATTGTTCAATTCGTTAATCATAAAGCCATTCAAACGATTATATTCCACCAAAAGTAGAAGACAGTAATACTTTGAACACTGATGTAGACGGTCCAATGGAAACTAGCCAGTGCACTACGAAAGTCACTCAATAACCAACACCGCTTGTTATTAGTTCTATGCAGCAAAACTAAAACGTCCCGATAGTGGCCAGCTGCAAAAAATATTTACAAAAGCAACTGCAACAAAAATGAATAATAAAATTTGTAGTTAATAAATTGATCCCAATTGTTTTCTTTCACTGTGCAAACATTGCACCAAATCGATAAACGGCAAAATTAGCACTTCAGAAATTTACTCTAAGATGCTTCGCTATTTTTGCAAATATTTTTCGAACAAAGCAAAGTAAATTCGTTAAATGAATTTATTTTTGTAAATATTTTACAAAAGCTAAAAAATAAAGTTAAACACTTACATCATCGGCATGGTATTGACGCCCTGATCCACGCCCAAATTCAGCAGCGGCGACCCCTCGAACGACGCATCCATGGGAAAGCGCTCCACATGCTGCAGCAGCCGCTCCACATCCCCGATTTCCTGCAGCAGCACGCGGCCGAGAATAATCTTCACAAAATCATCCGTCATCCGGCGCTCGCCCAGGAAGATGGTGGCCTTCACCCAGCGACTGACGGCACTCTCCTGCTCCAGACGCAGCGCTTTGGAGAAGCGCGGCAGATCCCGTCCGTGCATGTCCAGCTGGTAGAAGACCACGATATGGCGCGCCTGATCAATGTGCAGTTTCCACGGGGCCAGGGTCTGGTTCTTGTTGGCGGCCTCCTCCAGGAACAGATACACCGTGTCCAGGGTGACGGGCGGCTCCGGGGTGGTCGGCAGGGCGACGACGACGACGGGAGCGTCGACGACCGCCACCGCCGCCGCCGGGGCCTCCGTGGGGGTCGGGGGGTTGCTGGCGGTGACACCCGGCATCCCGTTGCTGATGATGGGGTCTGGCTTGGTGTGGAAGGCGATGGACTGCGAGGCCAGATTCGTCGAGAACTCCTCGGTGTCCGTCATACGGAATGGATTCAAGCTGCAACCATTATACATATTTTTAAATTTTAAAATATAAAAAACTCAAATTATAGAACATGCTTTTTTCTCAGAGGATACAAGTAACAAACTTGTCAAATTTTTCAGCACCGCAGGCGAACATCTCAACAACGGAAGAAAACCCTGCTTGCAGCTGGCTCTCTCCATCTCTGATTCTCTCTTCTTCCAGTTTCTTAATTTTCTGCGCTGATTAACATCGAGCTACGTTGCGCTGCACTACATCGCCATTTTCGTATTTTTTTAAACTATTCAAATTTTACTGCTAACCGAATACAAGAAAATTCCCATTCTTTCACACCTTAACAATTTGACGACAGTATACTGTACAATGTACATTTTATCACCATTTACTTAATTTTACAAATTTTTTTACAAATTATTTACTTTAGATTTTTTTACAAATTATTTACTTTAGATTTTTTTACAAAGTACATTTTTTTACAAATTATAACTTTTTCCCTAAAGCTTATGCAAGAAAATTGCTGTACTTAATTGTGCACCGTGTTTTTTAAATGGTTGCCATATTTTAAAACTCTTCAGAAAAGTCAAGAACCACAGAACTCAAACTATTACATCATTCTACTCGTATTTATAATTTATTATTATTTAATTATAGTTATTTTTAAAAGAATTTTCACTTTTTTCAGTTTCGAATTCCTACAAATTAAAAAAATTTCTAATCGGAAAACCTACAATAAAAAAATGATGTGACACGCGGCCAAAGTTCGCCTGCGTTGTGCTGGAGCCACATCAAGTACTGGTGTACTGTGACAACTATGTAGCCCACAATCAGGAGAGAAAGGAAATCAGGTCAAATTGTGTTAGTGCAGAAACCCCACCAGGCACCAGGGAACCGCATCAACGCCATATTGCAGCTTTTTACAATCGTGTGCGTTTACCGCACGACACCGTACAGGTTTTTTGTAAAATAGATATTTAACTAAAAATTGTTCACAAGTTTTAGACTTAGACCATCTATCGCATAAGTATGATAAGCAGAGCGATAAAATGACGTCAGTGGCCGTATTTTGCACTAGTCGCGCGAGGGTTTCTCGCTGGTTCCTACGCATCTAACACTACGTACCTCGGTCAGTCGGTGTAAATTTTCCCCGGACAAATAAGGGAGGCTGCTGGCAATCGTAAAAATGGCCAGCAATCACGCGGAAATCGTTTTTGACAAAAGCGAACAAATAAATCGAGAAACACACGCTCACCACATCGATTTGCAAATCGAAGTGATGGCAAAAACGTCACGAACGCGCGTTGTCGATCAGCGAACAGCGGCCTAGTTAGCACTGACAGGCTGCCATTACGCAGTCGAATGCGCAGTTCCAGTTCCAATCGGTTCTGGTACCACTGGAATATCAGTCGAATTGCTGCAAGATTGCAAGACTCACATGAATTTAAAAACGCAAAACATTTTATAAATTTTTTTATTGGGTGTTCGGGTTGATCAACTTATTTCGCCATACAAAAATTAATATTATCTTATTTATTTATCTTGCAGTCTTCCGGTTGAAAGGGAAATGGAATGGGAAAATGGATTTCCAGTTTTACTGGAACTGCTGCGTGCGCCTTGAGAATCAACCATCTGAAAAGAGCGGCCAAACTAATTTTACCGATGTTTCTCAATCATTTTGTTTCGAAAACGGTGCTGATGACAAATAAATAAACAAAAATTCTCTTAAATAATTGCATTATTAAATTGTGTAGCTTATAAATTTTTGTTGAGTTGCGGTGAAAAGTGGACCGATAAGGGCGATGCCGCTGAGTTGCATCCTTTACTACTGGAAACTGCCAATGCAGTGAATGCACTATGCATCGGCCGGATTCGAGATTTCAACACCGACCCGTTTATGGATCATCAGCGCGTCTGTACCGACCGACGTACGTACGTACACGTCTACTGCGGCAGTGCGGCTGCCTGTGCAGTGCACGGCCTGCACTGCAGGCTCGTGTACCGAGCTGGTCCGAGCACGTACGTACACGCTCGACAGTGCGCCGTCAAGTTTGTCTCGCCTACATTTCTGGCCAAACGGCGCTTTGATTATCCGCCGCTGCTTACTGGCCGTGTATTTCTCTCCTTCAAGTTCGACCCGCAGTCAAAGTGCGCGGCTGTATTTTTCTTTTGCGTGACATAACCGTGAGTGGTATTCTATCGACGCCGTCTGATAGAAAATAATTTTCCTTTATTTGTATTATTTATTTAATTTATTCCTCGACTTTTCCCGGAACCATCTCTCCCATCTTATTGATCGCAGCGGAGGGAATATTTTATATTAAATTAAACCTCTGACCGTTTGATCCGTGTGAGGTGGTTGGTCGCGTCGCATAGCATAAAAAATTCAATTTACGTAACCTGATTTCAACCCCGACTGCCATTGGCTTCCTGTGTCGTTGACGTTTGTTCGCGCGTTGTTCTGCGTGTGATCTGCTTGCTATTGACCGTCAGATTCGGGATCCTTGTGTGCACGGTGTATCGGTGATTATCCGGGGATAACGCAAAAACCGAAAAGTGTGAGGAAATTCGGGATGAACATGCCGTGTGTGATGGAGACGCTGGCATCGTGAAGGCAGTGAGTCACGACCCGTCAAGAAGCGTTATTTCGAGGAATTGGCCCACACGAGGATGGAGCGCTGCTGGCTCATGGCGTGTCATACCGGTGATATGAATGTCGATGTGACGGTTGAGAAGGGAGAATTTGTCCGTTTGTGATTGACGCAAGGTGAAGAAGTTCACCGCTTTTGACTTTTCACCGACTTATTTTATTTGTGATTTTGAATTGGAGATTCTATCAATTCGGGGATTAAAATTTAATCTCACAGATTGGGAATCTGCCCAAACATAAATCTTTAATAATTACATTTATTGCATAATTGATTATTTCAGAATACGATTTACGCTCTAAGGATTGATCATTGCTTATTGACGGAAAATTTTTGGCAGAATAAAAAAATCATAATTTGATAATAATCATCATAAAAATAATTTTAATGCCACTATACCAGGAGAATTTATGAAGAAATTTGGTGGAGATATGACGGATTAATTAATAAACCTAATTAATCATGCTGAAAAAAATTTATATAATAATTAGATTATTATATATTAAATAATATTTGTATTTTAAAGTTTTTTTGTTGGCAGAAAAAGCTTGGCATGGTTAGGAACTGAAAATAAAATGCTCATTATAAAATTTTTTTCATGGATAGTGTACAAGTGTACCATGGAATTCACGAAGAAAGTGGGTGGAATATAACGGGTGGATGTTTGATTTTTGACAGGATTTTGAATGGTGGAGGATAAGAAAGAGAGTTTCAATCATGTTCTTCCCACTTCACTGTCCCCCCTGCACCAGCCCCCTGTGAAACCCCCGACAATGGGCTCCCTCCCCAACGTCCCCACGGACTTCCCCCCGTATCCCCCTCTGGCCCTCCCCCTGCCCCCCTCGGCACCCCTGGAGACGTCCTGGCCATTGGCCCGCCTGCCTCTCTCCTTCGCCTACCCGTCGTCTTCCCAGCCGGAACCGGTGCCTTCCCTCAGCATGCTTCCTTTGACACCGCTGACCACCAGCGCCGGCGACACCTACTTCCTCCCGCCGGCCGCCATGGTCCCGCGCTACCCGCGGCCCACCACCATCCCGTTGCCCAGTTGGCCGGAACCCGTACTGCCGGGGAGCATCTCGGCCTACTCCTCCCCGGGGGATCCGCGGACCCTCACCCACCCGGTGCACGTCCGCTGCGCGTTGCCGGTGTCCCTACCCTCCCCCGCCGGGGGGTTTGTGCGGCCCTATCCGGCCATCTACCCGGTCCTCCCGGGTCCCAACCCCTTCATCGTCCTCCCGGTGCAGATGACGACGTGGCCGGTGGTGACCACGGCCCCGGCGCCCCATCCCCCGCCGGAGCAGGTGATGTTCTGGCAGCCGGTGGTGGTGGCGGAGGGGATGGGGGGTGGGGCGTTGTATCCGCCCGTGCCGCAGTTGCGCACCAGTCCCTTCCAGCTGCCGGATGCCGGACCGGTGCATGTCAGTCAGGAGAGCGGGCGGTTGGAGCAGGAGAAGGACGAGAATGGGGAAGGCGAGGAGAAGGGGGTGCCGTTCTTCCGCTCGGTGGAAAATCCGCTGCGTAAGCTGTCGTTCGATCTGATTAAGACCTACCGGCAGATCAATCAGGTAAACAAAGTGTGACGTTTGCCAGTTGGCGTGCTGTGACGATGTCTGGTGTCATGTGCGATTAATTCGGGGAATTTTTGGTTTGTCTAGGTTTATTATGATCAGAAATACGCCAGCCAAGGACCGGCAGTGCCTGATTTGTTGGGTAGCGAAGTCGTGGATCCCATGTGTTCGTTGATGGATGGCTCGATGCATGGTGATTTAATTTCATTGGGTAAGAGCCACTAGACACAGACTGTGTATGCGGTATTTGGTCGAATTGAAAAATTAATTAATGCTTTAAAAATTAATACTGACGCCGTTGTTCATAGCTTGCCGTTCAAATTATTTAATAAAATTTCATCAATGATGGATACGCAATTAAAAACATCTCTTTTAACTGCTGTGATTTAATATTATTAGAGTGAAATTGTCGTTTAGTATCCTTTTTCGTCAGATGACTGATTTGAAAGTGTCTTAAAACCACTGCGGCGTTATGTTTGGCGTGTATTCTTTCTTTTCCAAAAAAACTAGTTTTTACTTACTGTTAGTTGTAATTTGAAACTTGTTTTACTTAGAGCGATACTCGGGTACAATTTTAATCGATACAATTTGAGAGAATTTGATTTTGTTGCATAATTAATTGTTGCGTAGTACGGTAGTACAGTAATTTAATATGGTACAAAACTCTGTGATTATAACTTGTGAAAACTGAAATTAAATGACTACAGGCCACAATGGCCTTTCCGTGCCTCCTCCCCTCCACTGTGCCTCGGAGCCACTCCCGCCACCTCCCGCCCGGCCCCCTCCCCCGCAGCCGGCCGCCCTGCAGCCCAGCGCCCCGCCTGCCTCCGAACCACTCCCCAATCTGACCTCGGAGGCGCTGCGCCTGGTGGATCTGGCGGCGGGGATGACGCGGCCGCCGCCGGTGACACGTGAGATCATCTTCAATGGAGGTACGTCGTAAACCGGGTGTGAAGACCGTCTGTATGAATGGAATCGTCTGAGTGGTTGTTCGAATAGGTTTCGACGACGCCAATCACGATTACATCATCTGTGTGGGTGAGCGCTTCATGGAGCGGTATGAAGTGCACGGATTAATCGGTAAAGGATCGTTCGGACAGGTAAGGCAGCCGATGATTCACTGGTTGAGAATGTGGCAGTTAAAAGTGAGATGGATGCATGCCGCTGCCGCGATAAGTCAGCGATTATGCGGAATTACTCTTTACTCGGCGCATATTTTTGCTTCTGTATTTTTTTTTCTATTTTTGTTTCTATATTTTATTTCTGTATCTTACTTATATTTTTATTTCTGCATTTTACTTCCATTTTTTTTCTATATTTTCCATAATTTATTCTGTATTTTTCTATATCTTAGTTATATTTTTATTTCTGTATTTTATGTGTATTACTATTTTTTTTATTTCTTTCTATTTATTTAGATCTGTTTTTCTATTTATTTATTTTGTATTTATTTTATCTGTATTTTTATTGCTTTGATAGACTGTCTGGCGATTTTCCATATCTGTTTTTAACCGCATTATCATAATTACAATTTGCCATAATAGAACTGGGAAGGCCGGGTACTGATTACCGACGCGTCGAATTTCATTGATGATTTTGGAAGTAATTGTCAGCTGTCTGATCGTCTTTTGGCAGGGAAATGCTCGTATAAACGGCAACATGTTATTACGATTATCGCTTTATTATTATTATGATTATCGTTCGGTTATTACTGTTATTATCGTTTTTACTACTGCCGCTTCCGCTGACAATTAGGCGATAATGAGGACATAATCGGGGCATTGAATACGCCTTGTCCATGCGATTTCATAGCTGATTGTGCGCACCGTAGGTTGTCAAGGCCTTTGATCACGTGGAGCAGACATTTGTGGCCATTAAGATCATTAAGAACAAGAAGCCCTTCCTCCTGCAAGCCCAAGTGGAAGTCAAACTGCTGGAGATGATTAAGCGCCATCAAGGGGATTCCAAATTCGGCATCGGTAAGCGGTTAAATAACTTAAACTGGATTTTGTGGAATTTTGTGGAATGCATCCGTAATTGCCGTTTGGATTTGATGGAATTACCCGTAATAATGACTCAGTGATTTTTATTAAACTCCCGATATTGTCATAATGGTTCCGGAATTTTAAGTGTTATTGCATTATTAAATGCATCCTGCAATTGAGGGCAATCTTTAAAGTTTGCGGTTCTAAATTCTGAATTTTCGTGATGTGGTGTACACAGTAATGCCTTTGGTTATGCGTAAATGCATCTTAAATTTAATAAATTTCTCTTGACTGAACGCGATCGTTTTCAATGAAAGTAAATTTTTTCCAAGAAAAAGGTGATACGAAAGGATTTTTGTCTAGATTAGATTTTAGTTACTGTAAGAGCGAAAAGCAACGTGACATATCATTTTGGGGTGCCACTGCACTACGAAGTTCATACATTTTCGTTTTGTTGTGATTAAGCTGCGTGCATGGCCCATGGGCATTTTGTTTTGTGAGCGAATTTTTTCTTGGCTTTACGCGATCTTAATTTTAATGGAGGCTAATTTTATCCAAGAAAAAAGTGATGCGAAAACAAATTTTGTCTCGGTTAGATTCTTCATTTTTGCAGTCAATGTTAAAGTGTAAACACCACGATAATAGAGTAAACACTAAACACCACGATATTTTGCAAGGCCATTGCACTACGAATGCTCGCAGCTTCGTTAAACTATGCAGCTGCGTGCTAGTCAGCCAGTGCAGCAGTTGCATTAACAAAATTTTAACTATTACAGCTTTTTTTTATGATTTTCAACAGTGTCGATGAAGAGCGAATTCATGTGGAAGAACCATCTGTGTCTGGTGTTCGAGCTGCTCTCCTACAACCTGTACGATCTCCTGCGTAAATCCAACTTCCGCGGCGTCTCCCTCAACCTGACGCGGAAATTCGCCCAGCAGCTGCTCAGCTCCCTCATGTTCCTCTCCTCGCAGGAACTGCAGATCATCCACTGCGATCTCAAACCGGAAAACATCCTGCTGTGCAATCCCAAGAAGAGCCTGATCAAGATCATCGATTTCGGCTCGTCGTGCCAGATGGGCCAGCAGTTCTACAACTACATCCAGTCGCGCTTCTACCGCGCCCCGGAAGTCCTGCTGAATCTGCCGTATGATCTGGCCATCGATATCTGGGCGCTGGGCTGTATCCTAGTGGAGATGCACACCGGGGAGCCGTTGTTCTGCGGCGCGGATGAGGTCGACCAGATGAATAAGATTGTGGAGGTGTTGGGGTGCCGCCCAAGAAGATGCTGGATAAGAGTAAGAAGGCCACCAAGTTCTTTATGCTGGCGCCGGACGGGTCGTATATTCCACTGCCCAGGGATGGGAAAAAGGTTAGTGTGAGTTGGGACTGAAAAAATTCGAACCAAGACAGATACTTCCTGAGTTGCTTTTTGCTGAGTTCAGTTGATTGTTTTATTCAATCAAAAATATTTGACGTTAATTTGACTCTGAAATTTTAATGTGGTGCGAGAATAAAAAATTTTAAGAATGTTTATTCTTGAGCGTATAAACGTTAAGTTTTAGTTTGCTGCACTTAGTCAAGGCGCGTCGAAATGCCGAATAATAACATCCCCAACACTACGAAGCTCGTGTTAATGCATGATGCAGGAATATAATAAATTCAGTTGTGTGAAAATGGTGAAGTATAACGCCGATAATGTTCGGTTATTTTTATTTTCTCTGTTATTGCAGTTGTTGACGTTTGCTGATTTTGGCAGTGGCTGTACAGAGAAATTTACATTTCCTTTACTTTAAAATTTAAACTACTTAATACGATAATTTGCAAATTCGAATGTGTGAGAATTTATAGGATTTTGTTGGTGTATGTATGTATAATTATTGGTACCTGAAACGATTTAATGAAATATTACAGTATTTGCCACCGGGATCACGATCTCTGGACAAAATCCTCGGCGTGGAGACAGGTGGGCCGGGAGGTCGGCGTGCGGAAGAACCGGGTCACTCGTCGCTGGATTACATCCGGTTCCGTGATCTGGTACTAAAGATGCTCCGCTATGAGCCGTCCCACCGACTGATCCCCATGGAGGCGCTTTCGCATTCCTTTTTCCGAAGGTATAGTGTTTGGCTTAAAAATTCACATCCATTTAGATTATAGGTGGGACTGTTTTTCAAATAATAAAAAAATTTTGCTAGATTATATATTATTAAATTTTTTTATTCTGTTGCTTGTCATATGTGCAGTATATCTAATAATTTGTGTTAATGGGAATTTAATATTTTTGATGCGGAATGCTTTTCATCATCCTGTTGTGTTCATATCGATTATGATTTTCATCGTCAGTAATTTTGTACATGGATTTTGTCAACGCTGGCAAGAAGCGTACGTCGGCGATAGAATTGACACACGCCGGACTAGTTGCGTTGTACAAATGACAAGTCTAGCGGATCATTTCCGTAACGCGATATCTTTCGGCATACACTGTATCGTAATGCTGTACATCGCTTCCTGCCTATATCTAATGAATCACTGTGGACAGAACCGGCGAGGAAATGATGACATCCTCCGGCTACTCCTTCAGCGGACTGAACCTGTCATCGCCCGGCAACGGGCCGAGCGGGAGCAGCAGCGGCGGCGGGGACGTGGTGAGCCAAGTGGGTGGCGACACGGCATGGTCCACCTTCCTCACCGGTCAGTCTGTGTGTAACTGTATTTGTATATTTAGAACACGGCAGAAGGCAGCACGAAGAGCACCTTCAGTAGAATGTGGGAGAAGTGGTTTCAAGTGTAGCGGGCTTTCATTCTTGCCTCGGGTCCCTTTTGTGGGTGATGGTCTCTGTCTTTGCTCATCTTTCTGTGTCTCTCTCTTTCTTCGGTCAATCACGTGGTTGTGGGTGTTGAAAGTTTGTTGGTAAGAACAACAATCTTTGTTTGTTTTTATTTTCGTTTTTGTCAATAATGAAAGGTGATTGTAGATGCGGTGTGAAAAGGGACCACGCAAACTGTGTTTTTGGGGACGAATTTGATCTCATTTGTTGTGTTATCGAGAAGCGAGATTTTGGATGGATGGCCGGGGATCCCCATCGTTCAAAGCAGTATTAAAATGCGTAGTGCCGTCGTGAGTGCGGGATACGGTCCGAGAGAGAGATCCGTGTTGTTCAGGGACGGCGGTCGGTGCGCGCGGCTACGGTAAGCAGCGCAGACGTTCGTTTTTAACTATCTTGCTTGAATTTTTCACATTGTGTCTGGATATACCGTTTGTGTTCTTCATAGCTGTGCGTCGTTTGGTGAAGCGGAGGGGCTACCCGGGACGGTTTGGTGTGTCTTTCGGAATCTCTCCACTTGCCCGTTTTGTGATCGTTGGCGTTGATCTAATCCAGTGATGACAGATTTGCATATGGTACGGTTTATTTGGAAGTACATACCCACTTTACATAACAGTAAACTTGCGCTGGTACTAATTAAAATAATTCAAATTTTAATTACGAAATAAATTTAACTGAATTTAATCGAACTACTGCTCATGAAATTTGACTAGATAAAAGCAATTAAATATTTAAATGATCAAATTTTCAGAATTTTATTGGACCTTTGTCAGGCGTATGCAATTTAGGATATCATTTGTGTTTACGTTCTTGTCATAAGCCGACTTCTAGACCGGCTAATTATAATTTTGTGCTAAAGCTGACGTTCTCTTAGTCACTTGCTAAAATCAGTGTTTTGTAGTGTGCACTCGGGAGAAAACATTTTTTTCGCCTTATGCGTCACACTGGCTCGCATGCGTTCGCTTTCTTTGAACAGAAAATCATTTGGTTCCGCTTAGCGTGATAATATATGTGGCGGAAAGAGAATCTTGTCCTAAATAGATGTGTGCGAAATATCATTGAACAACGGTGGAAGATCAGATTGCATGTCTACTGTAGGTTAATGGCTGGCTGTTTCGGAGACCGGTTGATCAGATTATTTTCTCGCCGGAACGAAGAGGATACCGTGCTGTTGTCCGCTCTCGCAAACTCCTGTTTCCCGGCCAAAGGAGTCTGTCGTTTGTCTCCATTGAATCGCTGATTGCCGTTTGGTGTGCGCTGTTTGCACTGCTCTTTCGCTGAATGTCGGTAGCGTTTTTTGCTGCTCTACTGGGATATGAGACGAAACCGATAGCGTATAAAATTGGAAATTTTCTGCTTGAATAAAAAACACCTCCGAGAGACCGGCTTGTTCCCCCATCTTCTGTAGCGTAGGGTGTTTACGTTGCGTATTCCATGAGCGTGTAGATAAGGGTCAGTTTCACTCCCCGTATTGAGCAGTGCCCGGCATTATTGGATGACCGTTACCGATTCTGCGAAACTTAAGTAAGCTAATCTGAGTCCGTGGGTATGTGTCCTGAGCTGGAAAAGTTGTCATAGACCGGATGTGGGCAAAAACTATGGATAAATCGGGATGGTTTTTGCCACATTCCGTCTCAAATTGGATGTATTGAGTAACTACATTAACTCAGCCGCCACAAGATAAATAAATCAACAATGTAACTTCCCATTCTCTCCCCGTATATATTATGATGAAGGCATAGGAGCATACTTTCATATACGTAGATGAGCAGGAAGGAATACCTTCCGTTCCCGCTGCCGGCATGCAAGTTGCAACTTTGTACTCGTAATTATTATTAATCTAATCTGGAAGTTCAGATAAACCTGTGCTCCAAGTTCCAACAATGGCTAATTTATCCGAAACGGAATTTGTCGTATATGAGACAAAATTCGGACACAACGTGTCTGACGTGGCATGCGCTCTGGACTCGGACTGCTCTTCCATTAGGCTATTTAATTATGCGAAGGAAAACCGTGACCTAGCAGCCGATATGCGACTTCTATCGATTTGTGCAGTAATTGTGGTGATCTGTTGTGGTGATCTATGCAGCAAAATCGGCGATCCAAGAGCGCGATCTTTTGGAGTTGCTGCGGAAACAGGAAAATATCATTTCGCAATTTGGGGAAGCGAACTTAATTCCACCAGACTGACCACCGAGCTGGTCAAGCAGACAGAGGCCGTACCACAGATATGTGTGGCCTTAAAATAAAGTTAAAATTAAATAAAGTTAAAATAAAGTTAAATAAAGTATCTGTGCTTCTACCGACTGTACGAAAAAATAAAAATGCTATTCGAGTATATAGATATTATGTGTTGCTAAATAATGATATTATTACCGATATATTACGTATAAATCCGTATACGATATATATGTACGTGTTGTTATTGTTTTAACTGTGATATCGCTTGCAGACTGATCGATTTCATTCGATTAAATTTTGTTTTCAGAAGTATATATATATTTATCGTTTTACATTTATCAGTTGCCGTCTTCTAAATATTTTTACATTAAATAATAATTTTAAAAAATTTACTCGTGCGTCTTAAAATTCTAAAGTACTGTAACTTGTAAATCTACATTTCTGTTTTAAAAAAGGTGTTCTAAAAATCTTTTGAAATTAAAACAGCTAAAAATTTGTTACAGAACTACGTACCTGCAACGGTGCCGCTCTGGCAGCAGCTGTATTGTACATTGTGTATGCTAATCTCCGCCTTTCGGATCCCCCACACCACAACTCCCGGCGGGCACTGGTTCATATACTCTGACAGCTTCCGCACATCGGCTTCCCCGTGCACCTCCTTATGCGCCCAAGAATCACCAGTCCACACGCGGGATCCAGCCTTTTCTTCCCAATAAACAGCAGTCGGTTGCAGATACAGATAGATGTTGGTTGGACGAAGCGGGATATTGAGAGCAGCGTCGGCGTCGGTCTTCATCGCCGCGGAACAAACATTATAACACTATGTATTATCCTTGTGTTTTACAAGCAATATTCAACTGATATTAAACCGCTGTTGTACTGTATAGTAAAATATTTCTATATAATACAAACTTGCTGTGTGTTAACATTAGTAGTATTACTCACAACCTAATATGCGCAGTTATTTACGGGATGAACGATAAATTAGCGGCTGACGGAGAACAAAACAAAGTGAAAACAGATAAAATAAAAGTAAGTCCATCAGTGTTTACGCAGATAAGCTACTGCAAAGTATATGTAATGTAAGTATATTTATATGTAATGTTGTCTTGAGCTGCTGGTGGTAAAAATTGTATTACTTATAAAATGAAAAATTAAAAAATAATAAATCAAACAGTGGTATGCGGGGTCAAAGGTGATATTAGGAGTCAAAAGGGTATAAAAGGTGATACCAGGAGCCAAAGGTGGTATGCGGAGGCTTCACCTAAAAATTTGAATTATATGAGTTTCGAGTACAACAATGCAGTACTGCTGATACACAAACACGTCACTTATAAAAATATTATATAACTCACTGCATATGCTGCAATACATGGATATTAATACCGGTATAACATTACCGCTGTGACGTCGATTTCATCCCGCAGTCGCCATAGCTTCGTGAGATCGTCGAACTGCTCTCACACAGCCGTCAATCATGAGAATAAGTTATCGCTACGTACGAGTAAATTCTTACAGTACACGTACTTACAGGTACGCCTACGCGAAACACGCGTACCTTTACAGTGCCAGCTGTATTGACGTATGGGAGTAGGATCATACGCCGGATGTACGTACGGATGCTGACTGTCCGCCTTCCACCTGCAACACAACGGATAATCTAGTCAATCTCTTTTGTGATTTGTTGTTCTCTTTTACTAGCGATGTATATGATGTCATAATGCGAAGTCTATATAAGTTCCTGTTTCTTCTAATATCGGAATCAGTAGTCTGAGATTTACTTCTGAGACTGCTTCCTAATTACGATTTCCTAGCGTTGTGAACTGTGATGTGTATTGGATAAAGAGACAGCAATACTTGTTCCTTCTGATGTACATGATCGTTCCCGGATTATTGCATAGAATACAGGTTTGCTCGTGACACTATCGTCCTAGCTCTTGCCGATCCTCACAGGACTTACGACCGGAAGTTGTGGTTAGCTTGTTCCTGAGGGATTCCTGACTCGTGTTCCTGAATCGTTCGTCTTATTTCCACCATAGTTCTTCTGTTACAGTTTGAGAGTACGAGTGCCTACCGATTGAGCATTACAGGCGTGGAAGAGTAAAGATTGTTCATGGAGCCTTAAACGGCGTGAACGCTTATACACGACATGGCGCCCACCGGTGTCTTTTAATTTTCCCGATGTAACAGAAAATTAATGGTGGAAAGTTTGATGGTAATCTATTGGTAAAAAGTGGTCCGTTTTTGAAAAGCGTCGAACCGCAAAGGTACGCCGAAGGAGGTCAGCGTTCCTGATCTGGCCTAGTTTAATTTATTTTCAGCGAGCTTCCTCGCAATTGTGAGCTTCCTCACTGGTGAGCTTCCTCGCCAATTAAATTAAATTTAATTAAGTTGGACCGTAGGATTAAACAGTCGAAACCTGAAAGGTCGGCTGTGTAATTAATCGGTGCCTGTGTGGGTAATTTCCGGGTTGTCTGCACAAAGCAGTAACCGTGGTGAAGAAAGCGTAATCAGCAGTGTCAGTGCACCTGGCCTGCAGATAAATCAGATAGTGAGCGCCGAGCCATTGTCAGCGGCCAGGTGAGATAACGATCTCCAGCTAGACTGATAAAGGCAAGCCGCAAGCGGTAGCCAAAATCAGCAGCTAGAGAGAGTTGACCGTGAAAAAAGGTAAACACCGGCAAACGGTGATTGACCTGCGAATTTTAAATTGCTGTAGCACGCAAAGTGCAGCAGTGTAATTTTAGGAACTTGTTACAGTCGAAACCGCAAAGGTCGGCTGTCAGTAAACCATCACTGAACAATTCAAACCTAAAAGGAGGATTGGGAAGTGACGTAGTAGTAACTGCACAATTGCAATTTCGGAAGCAGTAGCACAATCGCTACTGTAAGTATTATTTTAAATAGCCGCAAAGGTTATTTAAAATAAAAAGCAGAAATGTTGGGCGGTTCGATTCCTAGAAATCGCCCACCACCGCGTAAAATTCCAGACAACAAAGTGATCATTGGGGCGTATGATGGGTCGAGAGCCCAGACAAGGTTCAAATTCAACGCAAAAGAAATTCCGTTGAATTTGATGTACCTTGCTCTTAATGTTGAACCACCAGAAGCACAAGATGCATTCTGTGGGAAGTCATGGATTGATTACCAGGAAATCAGGCGGTACTTAAATTCCAAAACGAGATTACCAGCACATTTTAAACCTTGGATTGAGTACGAGGGATGTATCCCTGAAGCTTACCTGGACATCACTGATGAGCAGTTTAAAGCGGCTTTGCAGGATGCAAACAGGTGGCTGCCAGAATACACGGAAGATTTGAATAGACGAAGAGAGGCGGCCCAAGCAGCACTTACAGCGTCAAAAGCAACCGGAAAAACTCCAAAAAAACAGGCAGCAAATGAGCGCGTCACGCGCGGTGCCAAGGAGAGAATTCCAGCCCAGGCATCCGGTGCGATATTGGATGAACCCATATCGGAAACTCCAAGCGTGGCCGAGAGCCAGACAGAACCCCAGTCGTCCCAGTCGGACAATAACTTGATAGCGTTGTCGGCTGCGGATAAAGCGGATATTTCTGAAGGATCAGAAACAAGAGCAAGTAAAAGCATTCGAGGTGGAACAATGACATTCCACCCGGCACAACTAAAATTACACAGTTTTGTATCGGAAAAAAGATTTTGAGCAACCAGATGAGGACTTTCTTACTCAAGCTAGGGAAGTCGATGAGCAGTTAGCTGCGGCAGAAACTGACCAGGACGTGGGCTTGATAGTCCGGCAAACTATGCCCGTATTGATCCAAAGTCTCCGCACGCTCATCGCATCTACAAAAACAAAAGTAGATGAAATGGGCAATTCAATGTCTTTAGACGCTCGTGTCGATGCGGAACGAAATGAAAAATTGAAATTCCAAAACGATTTCAATGAGATGCGTGTTAAATTTGAAAATGAACAAATAGAAAATGATAGATTGGCTAACGAAATACGCATTGCGAATGATAATCTGCACGGTTTAAGACAAGCCAACAGAAATGCGGAGGCCGCGTTTAATGCAATGAAAGATGAGCGCGATACTTTAACAGACACGAATCGTAATTTTGAAAAACAGTTGGAAGATGCTCAGAGAGATCTTTCAAACGCGAAAGCTACGATTGATGGCTTCAGTGCTCATCCAACACCGGATACGGCAAAACAGATTGTGG